TAATACATACAAGTAAAGCACACAAGAAATCATGAATTTATAAGATATTTTGGTGACATTTTTTTAAGTTAATCTGACAAGGGGTTTGCTAAATTTTTAATCGCCCTGTGTTAGAATTCTAATATTAAAAGCAAACCTGTTAGTGCCACAGGCTACTTAAATAAAAATCCCAGACTACGTGTGCCGGTAGTTTTGTTTTTTAAATCCGCCTCTTCGTGTGTTTTTCTGATTAAATTTAAATTGCTTTTTATTGTCGGGGTTCATTTGTATTTGTTTTCGTTTGTTGATTGGACCCCAAAAAACCAGATTCTACTGCTGGAGAGTGGCTCATTAATACAGGCTTCGTAGAAAACACATTTCAAAGTGGTTTCTCGTTTCGTTCGAATCCGATTTTCTAGACTTCAAACAGCTGCTAAAAGCTTTCTTTATCCATTGATTTTGTGGGGTACTTTTGTTGGTTGTTGTTTTTTTTTTTTCCTTCCCGCGCGGAGATAACACCGTCACGTAAATAAGCTCACACACAAGTTTTCCTAATCTAATCTTGAATTGCTTATGTCGGCGTATGTCTAAATTTCGGTTTATGCCAATTCACGGTCAATGTTTTTCCGATTTGAACTCGTATACACATATAAATATCAGAGCTTTACGCATTTCCGTTTCACTTTTTAGCTACAAGCAGGCAAATCTGAATTATGCAATGATCGGTCATTGAACGAGCAGTTTCGATTCTTCAGTTGTTATCCCCTTCTTGTTGTTCTCATTCTGAATCGAGAATTTGAACGGGCTACAAGTTCATTGTACGCACTTTTTTATATGTGGCTTATTGTGCTTATATTTTGATATATCTTTTTGTGACTGCTGCCGATATATAGAGAGTTCAGTGCCTTCAGATAAGCTTAGGATGAATTGTGCATCATAGGTTTGGTTATTTCTCGAAATAAAAATAATTACACACATTTAACGTTTTGTAGCATTTCCCACAGGCGAAATAAAGGCTTTTCTTGGGAACCTTTTACTCAGCACGCTAAATGTTTACCTCGGAATGTTAATACACGACATTTTATAAGCTAGTAATTGTTACAGTAAACTGAGTTAATTGCACAATTAGTTCGTTTAAAGTTCAATCTTTAAGTACGATAACCGATTTATCATTAAATAGTACTCCTGAATGGAGATGCATAGGTTTATATGAACATCTACTGGGTTTTTTGATTATTTCAATGACACACGATTAGGCATGTTCAAATCGATTATTTCGATAACCGGACTTAACAATCGGTTAAACACTGTGGGGACTTAACCCCGCCAAGCGGCATCTGAACTTCGAGTGCGGTGCGACGGCATTTAGCACCTTTTTATTTTTACTTTTTTATCGTGAAATATTTCCCACTTGATGTGTGACTCACACAGTCGAACAAACAAATACTGCTGTTGAGAGAGCATATTTGTTGTTTTTCTTGTTGTTGTGGGTGCTTCTCTGGCGTTTTGTTGTCGTTTCTGGACTATAAATAGCACACTGCCGAAGATAAAATTTAAAATATTGCCATTTTTATTATATAAAATAGATGTGGGCATGATGGGATTCGGTTCTCTCGCCGCTCTCTGAAGTACTGAAAATGCACCCATATGGGGGAAAAACAATACGAAATATGTTTGCTTGTTCAATGTCCAAGGCATTTGTCGTCGGTTTGCCGGAATCGCTGCCCCACAATGAGTCCCCCAACTGCTGGTTGATCGTCAAGATCCCGAGCCCCAGTCGGTTGGTTTGCCATCATTATCGGTTGCTCCGGCAATTGATTATTCACTCGGCACTCTCGCAAACCCCGTATGTATAATACTTGCCCGATTCCTTATACATACATAGATATACCATATAGTCGCTTTTGCTCCCAGACGGTTGCATTTCAAGCACACTTGTATTTCTTCGTTGTTTTTTTGATTCTAGTAGGTGCAAAGTCTGTTAATTAGTTGTGACTGCCATTAATTTCGATAGTACTCCGACTAATGAAAAAAAACTTGAGTTGCAGCAATATTAACAGATTGGCTTCGGTTGTTAAATTCAAGCTATTTTTCTTTAGTATAGTAATATACTATGACCTTTTCTCGTTTCCCAAGAATCTCAAGCAATTTTTATCACTTTTCCGAGAATTTTTAAGCTTTTCTTCTGAGAAATATGTTTTTTATGAGTGCGTACAAATAGTTTTACTGAAATATTTTGTTAAAAACAATCTTTAAAAATTGTAAATATGTATTTAATAAACAACCTAAATTTTAATAAATGCATTTGACTCTAGGTGATAAGTTTAAACTATCAACTAAATTTATGAGTCTAAAAATGGTCTAAGCTTCGATAAGATAAAATGGCAATTCTTTCTAATATAAAACTTAAACGTAAACGTGATACTAGTAACTTCTGGAAAGTACTCCATTCCGCAAGTACAAATTTTCCTACAGTCGCTGTATTTCTGTATGTGACCATACTTTTCTTCACTTCCCTGATAAGAACCTTATTTCATTTTGTTTGATAACAAATGCTTGCATTTTCCTTTTTTATGGTCTAGCCCTAGTCGGTCGATCGATTGTTGTGGTATTTGTGAGCGATTGTAGGTGGCAACCCTGGTGTTTTGCAAAGATTTTCCAATAAACGTATAGCCCATAAATGAAGTCTGCACATATGTGCATGCATAGTATATACAAACGTAGCTGAGAGGCCCGTCCCCGTTGATTTTCTTGTTGCCCCATTTCCTCATTGGGCATTGTTATCACTCGTTTTTGTTGTAAAGAAGTGTAGCACAAAGAAAACTGCTCGTGCACAGCTGACAGCTGCATCGTTCTACGAAACACTCACAAGTACATGTACATACATTCATATACGTGTGTATGTAGAGCGGCGAGTGTGTGTCATCTATTTTTCACCCGTGAGATTATACATTTTTACATATGCGGTGTGGTGTAGAGTATGCACCACCTAGGGGAATTGGATTGTACGTTCGGCGGGTTTAGGGAACGGAACGTGTGTGTTCGCATTCGTGAGCGTGTGCGTTTGTCTTTTCTCTTGAGCATTCCATTGCACACGTTTTTCTTCCATCTTTTTCAAAAAGTTTCCATTTGTTACACCTCGCATCGAATGAGGGTATATTGTTTTGACAGACCGAAACACATTTTACCCTAAGAAGTGCCAAGTAATCCATTGGGATTATCTGTTGTCCAATAATGAGCTATTAGGCCTATAAGTAGTGATTAAAAAAAAACAAAAGTAATTTTAAATAAATTAAATCTTAAAATTCCTTCTAAAATCTTAATTTTTGTAATTTTTTAATCAGTAAAAATCTGTAAGTTTTTTAAATTTTATCTGTAGTATCTCGTTTGCAGTATTACTTTGGTATTTACATATACATTTCGTTGTCAAAATTTATCTCTAAGATTGGCACGTTGGATTGTAGACTTTGCTTTTGTATAAACTGGGACCACGTGTTCTTGAGATTGTTAACTGCAATCTTTAGAAACCTGTATTTACCATCATCTGGTATAGTAATCTGCAGGGTATTTTCGAAGCCTGAATAGTGCACTTCCTACTTGTTCATTGTTTGCCTTTTCCTTTGGTTTCTTAGCGGTTGATGGCTTCTGTTTCCTGCGGCCAGCTGTTGTCGAAGTCCTCGCATTTCCTTTTGCCTGTCCTTTGCCCCCTGACCCTGTGGCACCTCTTCTGCCCTGCTTCCTTTTCCCCTCTTCAGTTCCATCCCTCCTCGACCCCCTCCTGCCATCGTAGCTCTCTTTGTATGTTGGTTGTATATATCAGTGCATTGGCCTTTCGTCGTTTTTCCCTCAATGCTATTTGAACAAAAACGAAACTTGAAATTGTATTATGGTTGCTTGCTAGCTTCGCTGCGACTCTTTGTTGTTTTATATGCCCAGTTGAATATATTTCAGCTAATTTGTTTAAAGTTGACTGCGAATTTTTTTTTTGTTTCCGTGACGTACGAACGAATACAGGCCGTTCAGGGACAGTATTGTATTTACAGTTGAGGAAAAAATAATAGGTAGTTATACATATGTAATGTAAACAATATATAAATCAGTTATTATATTAACGATTTTATATTGTAGAGCTTAAAACATTCTAAGAGCAAACCCTTTACCATAGCCAAAAGGGCCTTGATAAGTGACTTTTCTGTAAACCTTATTTTTCTGCTTCTATTCCTCGCTTAAAATATAACAATACTTGGAATGAAATATTCCACTTTTCTGAAGTCTCAAGACGACATCGTTTCATCTCCCTATCTTCTCGCTCCCGTTTGCTAGGCCATTGGCTGTTAGCGGTTTTTTCCCTCCCTCCTACTGGCAGGTTTGCGCCCTTGACTGTTTTACCTTACTTTTAACCACTGACAGTTGGGGAAAAACGAAATAGAAATATAGTTTCATTGCGGAATACACAAGTAATTACTTTACGTACATATACGCACGTGGTACTGCGAGTGTATGTGTGTTCGGCTCAAATTCCTAGCGAAAAAACAAACAGAGATAAGCCAGGCAAAAACAAAAACAATATAGGCAGAAAAACAGGCACGATGAAAATGCGAACACTCAAAACAAACTCAGACATACTCACACACAAAAGTTAGAAGATCTGCGCTACGGTAAATCTACCTGAAAGCGGAAAATTTTCGTATGCAAAAATGTCAAAAGTGAACAAAAAATACCACAAACAACAACGGGCAAAAATATGACGGAGGAATGGTCGCGTGCTCTGCACTCCCGCTCTCTTTGCTAAGAGAACTTGATGAAGAAGAGAGGGAGAGCGAGAGAGCAACGAGTAACGTAAACACAAAACAGCTGAGTGCGAAAAACGTATGATCGCGAACCGCGTAACGCAAAACAAACAACAAAAGAGAAAAAGTAACGGTTTCGCGGTGGATGGGGAGAGTGGAACAAATAACAATCTGAAGTGCAAATCAAATAAAATACTAAAGTGTTTTTCCCTATTCTTCAACAAAATGTAGAGTGAAAATAAGTCAAAGCAGCAACCAGGCTACGGAGCAGAAATCAGCAATACACACACCTGCACAGAAAAGCAACAATCAATCCACAAGTATGCTTAATAAAGCCCGAAACGTGATTTTATACTAAAATTGGTCACAATTTTCCAGCAACAAGAAGTCAACGTCCAATTAAAAGCTCACTTTTCCGTATTGCTTTCTATGTCGATTGACCGATATCACCGAACCATCTAATCGATTACTCGCCTTTACCAACACTGCTGGGCAAAGAAAAGCAGAGCGAGTGAGGGCAAAACAGCTGATTGCGACTGGCACACGGTTGTTGTTGCAGTTGCGCTGTTTTTCTTTCTTTTTTTTGTTTTGTGGAACTTTTTCGCTGCAGCGAGAAAGAGAGCCGAAAGAGAGAGGGAGAGAGCGGAGCACAAACTACTACGTGTGACGTGGTGTGGGGGCATACAGGTGGCAAAACAGCTGTTCCAACAGCAAAAAAGCAATCTGTTTTTTAGTAGAATACATAATCAATTGTAAGTACGCCCGCTTGCATGTTTGCTACTTAATCCGCAACTAAAGCTGAACTATTTTTTCTATAGTGACGCCTGCAGTTTTTCAGCAAAAAACACAAACAAATCACACTACCAAAAGTAAGCATACTATTTTTTTTTTTTGTAATATTTGCTAAGACGTGCCCAGATCACAAAAACACACAACAGACCTAAGAGACAAACCTAAAGAGATTGACGAGTGCCAAGTGCGCACATTATTTTATTGCAAACTTGTTTTTATTTCTGCTTTGCTGCTTCACTGGCAAAAACAAAAACAACAATAACAATAACAAAAAGACGGCAAGTGATACAAGGCACGTACATACTGAAGAAGCGAGAGAGCCAAAGAGACTGGCTAAGAGGTAAAAGATCACACACTCGCTACTTCCGCTCTCTCACTTGTAATAAACGAGTGCAAAGAGAGCAGCCGCAGCAGCAGCGAAAACAACAACAACTAGAGACGGGCAACCACTTGAAAGCAACTCGTTTCGATTTCATTTAGCAGATACCTTTTGTACGTTGATTAAGATACCTTGGCACACACAGACGCATTGCCAAAGAAGAGAAGGCAACTAAAACTGCATTAAAAAACACACGTAAAATAACAAGAACGCAAACAACAAAAACACAAGAACAGTTCCAAATGAAAGTACAAAAATTCCACTTAACCAAAAATGTCTTGAGTAAAAGTGCTTGAACGCGTAAGGCGTACATATATTATAGAGTGTACGTGTGTGTGCAACCAATACAATCGCAGCACAAAAAGTGGTTAAAAGGCATTAAAGTTAAACAATATTTCAAGTGCTGAAATTGAAATTTTGTGTGAATGTGCAAAGAAACCTTTTAAAGTGTGTGTGTCTCTGCACACACTGCGATAGATCAAATCGTACTTATGTATCTATGTGCAACTAAAAAATATAATAAGCAGAGCCAGTGCCAGTAAAATATATAAAAATCAGCGTACAAACACAGATGATTTTTAGCGAAAAAGCGAAAAGGAAAAAAAGATCAAGCAGCAGCAACAACAACAAGTCGCGGAGAAGCCAATCAAACCAGCAGTTGTCTCGCTTCAACGCGCTCGCTGTGATCGTTAGAGCGAGCGAGAGAGCACGAGCGCAGTCACGGACGTGTGCGAGCGGTGCAGAGCATTGATTTGCTGTCTTTGATTTTGCTTATGACCTGAGGTGCTCTCTTACATACATACAAACAAGCGAGTGCGAGCGAGTGAGAGCATGCGACACACGCACGCAAGCACGCATACATATATATTGACACCTGGCGCAGGAGTCGCTGCTTGCGGCACTTTCAACTAATAACAGCAACAAAAACATCGGGCAGAAGAGAGCAATAGCCAAAGCCTCCACCCCCTCTTTACCCAACCTCCCAGTCATCTCCCTCGATGAGAAACAACAAAAACAGGGACAAGAGAGCAAACATACATGGCTACCTTAACCCAATTAAAATACCATATTATTTAACAAAAGAAATTGTGTTATTTGCAAGCAGCACACATACCAGAGAGCAATCGAGCGAGAGAGAGAGAGAGAGTATATGACTTTTTGAAAGTGTAAAATTAACAAAATAACGTTGCCTTTGCCATACGGAAGTGAAATTCTTACAGCCAACACAAAGAGAGTCTGCATTTGTTAAACAAAAAGATTTTTGTGTAAGCTCAGCCTTTAAAAATAAATGATAATAAGAGAGCCTTTTTAGTCAAGTTTTAGTGTGTCTGTGAGCATAAGAGAGCGTTGTGCATGTGTGTCACGTCTTAGCAACAACGTAAATTTCAGTTACGATTACAACATACTAAAATCGAGCAATATTTGCACAGAATTAACAACAACAACAACTACAAAAACAACAACTACAAAAACAACAACAAAAAGATCAGGAGAGAGGGACTTTAAAGTGGCAGCTTCCAGGACAAACCTTCACAACGAGTGCTTCCCGTCCGAAACCGAAGAGATCACCTTCCAGACGCCAACACAAACACATACACACCCCCTTCCTTCCTCCCACAAAATATTTCCAAGCTGGCCGAAACAACAACAGCAACATCAAAAGAAACCTTCCAACAAATAACGGGATCCAATTGATTAAACGATCGAGGGGGCTAATAGTAATTGCAATCCTTATTGGCGGCTAGCTGCGCGCACGTTATGACCAATTCGATTGCGTCAACGAAATGCCTGCCCAATGCACTATCGACCGGCAATTATGGAATGTCCCAGAGCGACCGTTACACCGATGATAGCAAGGAGTACATCATCGTTAAGCTCACCGATTCAGCGTTCCGTGCGATCGAGGAATATCAGCGCGATGACAACGCCAAGCGATTGCCGCCGGGCCAACGGGCCAAAATCCAATTTGTTGGCAACACGGGCGTCATCCAGTTCCCGCGACCAGCGACGGATGCTAATGGCATCCCTAATGCTAATGGCAATGGCAGCGACCCATCCGGAGGAGCCGGAGGTGGTGGTCGAAAATTTGGATTCACCATCAACAATATGGAGGGAACGTTGGAGTGCGTTCAACAGCAGCAAAGGAACCTCGGAGTCCTCGGAGCGGTCACAGTGCGAATGCGGATCCATGCCAACGACGATGTCTACGATACGACACGCACAAAAATGGCCATTGCCGAGGAGACGGAGAAGAGCAAGTGCATCAGGGAGATTAAGCCGAATCAGTCGGATATCGGGCGTAAGGTGAAGAAGCCGCCATCGTCTATTCAATCGTCCATGTCCTCCGCCTCCAATGCCTCGGCAGCAGCAGCAGCCTTCTCCTCCTCCAACTCCAACTCCTCTTCCTCCGGTTTGACGACGACGACGGCATTTCATCATCACAGCAACAGCAACAACAGTGGGAACAACAACAACAACAGCAGCAACAGTAGCAGCAGCAATAGTTTTAATAGCAACAACCATAGTCGTAAGTTAGGTACATCGCCATTTAATGGCCTAGGCATAGGATCCAGCAGCATGAGCAGCTCAGCCGGCGGCTTCGCCTCCCGTTCGCCGAATCCCAGCACGCTGGGCGCCAGCGGCACAGTCAATGGCTCTGGTGGTCACGGCGGTCGCTACGGTGCCGCCTCATCGCTAGCCTCCACGTTTGCCAACGGCATCTCGCAGGGCTACAAAAACCTGAGCGGCAGCTCGCCAAAGGAGAACCTAGCCACCATGATGCCGCACGGATCATCGTCGTCGTCGTCGTCGGGCGGAGCCATCAACTCCTCACGCAACAACAAGATGCCAAGCGGAGGCCTGACCGCCTCCAACTCCAACTCTAACTCCTCATCCTCAGCGTCCTCCAGGAGTGCCAATAACAAGTCGTCCGGCGGCAACAAGATGTCCGATGTGTCCAGGCGCAATATACGCGAACGTCTCATCCATTTGCTGGCCCTCAAGGCGTTCAAGAAGCCCGAGCTCTTCACGCGGCTCAAGAACGAGGGCATCCGGGATCGGGAGAGCAAACAGATCACCAATATACTCCTGGACATTAGCACCATGTCGCACAACGTGTACAATCTGCGCCGTCAGATGTGGAACGATGTCGATGAGAACTGGCCCTTCTTCAGCGAACAGGAAGTGCAGCAGCTGAAGCGTCGCAAGCCCCAGAATCTGACGCCGCCGATGAGCTCCGATGCGGGCAGCTCCACCTCCGGCCAGAGTCCCACGTCCACGCACACGGGCAGTCCGCCGCCGCCGTCGAGCAATGGCGGTGGTGGTCCCGGTGGCGTAGGCGGCGGTGGAGCTGGAGGCGGCAGCCTGAAGCGGACCAGTCTGGAGTACGACGAGACCATGTTCAGTACGGTTCAGCCGAAGAAGCAGCGCATCAGTCACTACAAGAAGGACACCCCGCCCTCGGGCACCTCGTACTCCTCCGCCGCGGTATCGATGGCACTGGGGGGCACCTCCTCCTCCGCCTCGAGTCGGAATCGTTATACGCCGCCGCAACGGCAGCCGGGACCGCTGGACGATCACAGTACCAGTGATCTCAGCTACAATGTGCTGGACAACATGGAGGAGTTTATGAGCTCGACGGCAGCGGCCACTCAGCAATCGATTGTGGAGCAGCAGCAGCAGCATCATCCGAGGAGCAGTAGCAGCAGCAGCAGACGGGGAAGCTCCTCGCTGGGAGGCGGAGCCAGCGGGAATGGAGGCAACAAGGATAAGCGCAACTCCACCGGCAGCAATTCGAGCAGCTCCAGTGGCTACGAAACGCAACAGGATCGCCAGCGGACGATGTCCTCGAATCGTAGCAGCAGTAGCAATAGCAACAGCAAATCCTCAGCCGCCTCCTCCTCCGCCTCCGCCTCTTCCTCGACAACTCCGCCGAAATTGGCAGCGAGTTTTGTGCCTGCCGCCTCCTCTTCCGGTTCGTCGGGCAAGCAGCGAATGCCGCCGCAGCAGCAGAGCGATTACAGCACGTACAACAGCAACAGCAGCAACAACACGCAACATGCGGCCTCCAACAGCAAGAAGAGGACGAGTAGCAGCAGTGGTGGTCCCAGTGGAGCGAATGGCCAGCGGCAGAGGAGCTCCTCCAGTGCCTCGAACTCTGGCTATCAGCAGGTGCCGCCGCCTTCGTCCAACTCCTCGAGATCGTCCCTCCAGCAGCAGCAGCAGCAACCGCAGAAGCAGCAACAAAAGCAGCAAAAGCAGATGCAGCAACAGCAGCAGCAGCAACAACAGCAGCAACAGCAACAGCAGCAGCAACAACAGCAGCAGCAGCAACAACAGCAGCACAATCACTACCATCAGCAGGCAAAGCATCCATCGCCGACGCAACAACTGGCGGCTGCTGCGCATGCGTACGCCCATGCCACCGCGGACGCGGACGCGAATGCCACGCCCCGCTACGACTTCAGCCAGTATGTGCCCATCCAGACGCTGGAGGTGCGGCGGCGCTACAAGACTGAATTCGAGAGCGACTACGACGAGTACCGCAAGCTGTTGACGCGCGTCGAGGATGTGCGCAATCGCTTCCAGGATCTGGCCGAGCGCCTGGACAGCGCCCGGCGGTGTGACAATGGATACGGCGACTACGATCACATCAAGCGGCAGATTGTGTGCGAGTACGAGCGGATCAACAACGATCGCACCATTGGAGAGGATAAGCAGCGCTTCGATTACCTCCACGCCAAGTTGGCGCACATCAAGCAGTTGGTGATGGACTACGACAAGACTTTGATGAGTGCCCCTACGCCGGCAGCGGCGACTGTTGCTCCTCCACCATCGGAAGTGGTGGCAGTGCCAGTTGCGGATCCATCTGTAACGGAGGCGGCGGTGGCGGCCAGATTAGCCGAGCAGCAGAGGAGGCAACACCATGCGGCCGAGACGATAGAACAGAAGCAGCAGAAGCAACGCCACCATCTCCAGCAGAACCAGCATCATCCGAGTCAGCAGCATCATCCGCAACAGCAACAACAACTGTTACAGCAGCAGCAGCAACATCTGCAGCAGCAACAACAGCAGCAGCAACAGCAACAGAATGTTAGCGATTCGGATGAGAGTTCCGATAGCTCGGATTCAAACGATGATGACGACGAGGACTGCGAAGATTCCAACTCCAACTCCAATACCGATGACGATGAGGCACGCTACTGATCCTGCTGATCCTGCTGGGACTTCGAACTTCGATGACCGAACCGCTGATTATCCCCCATGTGTAAAAAGGCAAAACAAGCAAGAAACTATTATAAATACTGCAACAACAAACTATTATAGTAAAAAAAACGCAAAAAAAATACAAATACTACAAGCAAAACCGACAAAAAACACCAACAAAAACGTTCTATAAGAAATTGTACTACAAGCAAACAAAAAACCTTCAAAAAAATGTTGAAATTATGTTAACAAAAACTAAACAAAAAATACAAAACTTTCGCGTAAAATAATTTTTATTACATTTAAAACAAAAAAAAAGGAATGGTAGGCGGCGGGGCCAATTCTGCTGCCATCGATTCTACACACAACACACACATATATATATATACACGTATATATATACATAGATATATACGTATATGAACTATATACATAACAACAACAACAAGCCAGAAGAAGACCGAGTTGAGGAGGAAACAAAATCAATATTTTTAAAAATCAACCAACAACGGCGAAAGCAAAAAAAATTATATACGAGTTGTAGACTTAATTTTTTGTTGAGCATATTGAGCAGCTTAAATAAGCGCAGGCATAAGTAACTAAATGAAAACGAAAACACATGTTTTTCCTTGCGTTTTGTGTGTAATAATTATTATTATTATTATATTATTATTATCAACTTTTAAATATAGCGTGTATGTTTTTCGTTTTTAATCTAGACTCTTCTTATTTTTATTCTTGATTTTTGTTTAACATTTGTTACAAACGGCAAACACTCACACCTCACACAGGAAAAATCCACACACACAAAAAAGGAAAATATTACACACACACACACACTATACACCACACTCACTCATCGACAAATTTATTGCATTTTTGGGCAAAGCTTTTGTTTATAGATTTGTGTATAGAAAGAGAGATTGAGAGAGAGAAAGAGAGAGAGAGAGAGATAAAAGCGAGCGAGTAGGCCAGCACAAAGTGTCCTCGCTGCCGCCGACTGCACGTGCCCAAAGGTCCTGGATATCCTGGGATATAGTGGGATTTGGTATGGGGATCGGGATAATCCGAATCGGGATCGGGAATTGGGTGCGAGTAGAGTTAATTGATATTGAGCCAATGTTTGCCTAGGCCTACGATGACCACAATTGAATGATTGAATACCGTAACCGACAAACAGACAGACACACACTGAGAGAAAAAGAGAGCACCACAGAAAGAAACTGATAAAAGTATTGCATATTGTTGGGGGAAGTTAATTAATTTGGGCTTAGTTTATTTCTTGTTTTCTCTGAACTTAAATCCTAAATTGTAAAAGTCAAGTTGGTATTTAAAAATAAATTGTTCGTTTATTTTTTTTACATTTGTAAAGTACTTTTTTTTTTACCGTTTTACAAAATACCTTTTTTTTATACCGTTTTAAAAATACTTTTTTTTGATACCGTTTTACGAAATAACTTTTTTTAACGGTTAATTTTTTTTTTGTGTTTTACATTGAATTCCTTTTTGATCTTCATACTAACCCCATTTAATATGCGATATGGAGTGTGTAAATTATAATTCCCCAGGTGGTGTTGCATGCGGGCGTGCCTCTAAACAATAGACTGAACTTTTAAACGGCTTGTGTAGAAAAAAATTCTTCTGTTTTATCGATAACTAGTTAATTTGTTATATATTTTTGTGTTTTAATTGTACACAGGGTTTTGTTTCGCGTGCGCAGCTTTTAATTTTTTTTTTTTTTTAGCCAACACCAGAAGTACCATTAATACCGAACCGTACCTTTCCAATTTGTAAACTTTATTGAAAAACTGAACAGATAGGGACATTTTTCAGTGTACTGACCGAAGACAGAGACTTTATTATTTATACATATGTTTTTCGCGGCTTTGGACTAGTTATTGCTCAAAACTATGAGAGGACTAATAGAAATGATATACTTAATGGTTGTATCACAGCTATGGCGGCCCCTTAAGTTGTTTGCTTTTAGTTTTTAGGACAACTCTAAGCATGTTACGAAAGCTTCCTTAAGTAAATTAATAATAATAGCAAACTAAACGAAACGGAACACAAGCAAAGGTGAGAGGAGAGATGATAACAAAGTCGCTTAAAAATTTATCAAATTATTTGCTGAAACTCTAGTGTCCAAAAAGATAGCAAAACGAAACGAAACAAAAGCAAACTTAACAAAACAAAAAGAGAAGAAGGGTTAAGAGAACTAACACGAAATTGAATAAAACCATGAAATTTTAGCTATTTCGTTGCAATATTTTTTATATACGATATTTAAGTAGTAGGGAAAGGAGTAAACAAACGAAAGGGAAAATCAAATGAAACATTGAGATCAAGTTGCAAAAAATCAAGCGTTTAAAATCGATTCGTAGCAATTACAACAAAACAAAATCATATATACAATTTATATACAACAAAAAACCACTAAATATATACACAATATATATATATATATATATACAACATTGACATTTGATAAGCAACAAAAGAAACTTACTAGTTTTATATAAATGCCACGCCCTCATACATAAATAAACCACATATGACACACCCACAAAACAAAAAGTAAAAATAAAACACACCAAACACACACACACACAGACACACATGAACTAACACAGTAATTGAAAAAGGAACTTATTAACGATTAATGATTGTGTAAGCCGAGAAAGGGAGGAAGAAGAAGAAGAAGAGTAAAACAGATCAAGAGACATGAGAAAAATATTATTATTATTATTGTACATTTAAGAGCAAAACCGCTGACAAAACCAGCAGAATGAAAAATCTTACAAAAAAAGAGATATTGTTATATACTAGTAATTATTAAGACGACAAACAACAAAAGAAGAAAGAAAAAAACTTGACAAAAAAAGCAAAAAAATAGAATCAAATAAAATATTGAATCGAAAAAAAAGATTGAAATTGGTTTTTATTTTATTATTTCCTTTATCATCGATTGAAGCTCTTTGAACATGACTAACGGTAAATCCAGGTCGCCTGTTAAAGCGATCACTTCTTTAGAATACCTCTAATCAATAATATTCCGTTATTTGCAATCTCCTTTAGAAGAAGAAGAGGCCCAGGAGGACAATGCTCCTGCCGCGGAGCTCTCCAACGATTCCGATGCGCCTCTAAAACCGAATGTAAGTAGTTATCCATAAAATCCATATTTACACAATCAATAATTTATTTTAAATAATTTTAATAGAATGACGAGGACGATGACTACGATCCGGAGGATAATCGCAAGAAGAAGAAGGGCAAGAAGCGGAAGACGAGGAAGGGCGAGGAGAAGGGTCGCAAGAAGAAGAAGCGCAAGAAGAATGAGAGCGAGGAGGACAGCGACTTCGTCCAGCACGACGAGGAGGTGGAGTACCCGAGCACCTCGAAGCGCGGCAGGAAGCGCAAGGAGGAGAAGCAGGCCGCCAAGGAGAAGGAGTCCGCTTCATCTGGTAAGAAACAAATATACATATAATCAAATGTTTATATAAAAAGATTGTTTATAATGCACAATGTATAATCGACATAAACAAAATATTAAACTGGATTTGAAATCATTTCAGGCATGCCTTCCGTGGAAGATGTCTGCTCGGCGTTCAGCGTGTGCGATGTGGAGATCGAGTACAGCGAGGAGGAGCTGCAGAGCCTGACGACCTACAAGGCGTTCATGCAGCACGTGCGTCCGATCCTGCAGAAGGAGAACCCCAAGATCGCGGCACCCAAGCTGATGATGCTGGTGGCGGCCAAGTGGCGCGAGTTCTGCGAGAGCAATCCGCACATCCAGCAGGAGGGCGGAGCTGCCGGCTCGGGAACTTCCGCTGGCCAGGCACGCAGTGTGGCCGGCGATGAGCCGGAGGAGCCGCGATCTTCGCGCTCGTCGCGCAACGAGAAGCCCGACGACATCTACGAGGAGGCCGTCGAGGAGGAGGAGGAAGAGGAGGAGGAGGAGAAGAAGCCGCGTCGCAAGCGCAGTGGGCGTGGCAAGAAGGGGCGTCGTCCCTCGGGCAAGGTGCCCACTCTGAAGATCAAGCTGCTGGGCAAGCGCAAGCGGGACAGTTCGGACGAGGAGCAGGATGCCAGCGGTGGATCCGAAAGGGACTCCGATCTGGAATTCGAGCGCATGCTGCAGAAATCGGATGACAGTGCCGACGAAAAGGAGGCTCCTGCCTCTGCGAAGGCGGATAATGCCGCTCCGGCTGCTCAGGACGATGGCTCCGGGGCGCCGGTGGTGCGCAAGAAGGCTAAGACCAAGATCGGCAACAAGTTCAAGAAGAAGAACAAGCTCAAGAAGACCAAGAACTTCCCGGAGGGCGAGGACGGGGAGCACGAGCACCAGGACTACTGCGAGGTTTGCCAGCAGGGCGGCGAGATTATCCTGTGCGACACTTGCCCGCGGGCCTATCACTTGGTCTGCCTGGAGCCGGAGCTGGACGAGCCGCCGGAGGGCAAGTGGTCGTGTCCGCATTGCGAGGCGGATGGCGGTGCCGCCGAGGAGGAGGATGACGACGAGCACCAGGAGTTCTGTCGCGTGTGCAAGGACGGCGGCGAGTTGCTCTGCTGCGACTCGTGTCCCTCCGCGTATCACACCTTCTGCTTGAACCCCCCGTTGGACACCATCCCGGACGGGGATTGGCGCTGTCCGCGCTGCAGCTGCCCCCCGCTGACCGGGAAGGCCGAGAAGATCATCACCTGGCGCTGGGCGGTGCGCAGCAGCGACGACGGCCCCTCCACCTCGAAGGGATCGAAGAGTAGCAACAGTCGCGTGCGCGAGTACTTCATCAAGTGGCACAACATGTCCTACTGGCACTGCGAGTGGGTGCCCGAGGTGCAGCTGGACGTGCATCATCCGCTGATGATACGCTCCTTCCAGCGCAAGTACGACATGGAGGAGCCGCCCAAGTTCGAGGAGTCCCTCGATGAGGCGGACACCCGCTTCAAGCGCATTCAGCGCCACAAGGACAAGGTGGGCATGAAGCCGGACGACGACAGCGAGCTCCTGGAGGAGCGCTTCTACAAGAACGGCGTGAAGCCCGAGTGGCTCATTGTGCAGCGTGTCATCAATCACCGAACAGCGCGCGATGGCAGCACCATGTACTTGGTCAAGTGGCGCGAGTTGCCGTACGACAAGTCCACCTGGGAGGAGGAGGGCGACGACATCCAGGGTCTGCGGCAGGCCATTGACTACTACCAGGATCTGCGGGCGGTCTGCACCTCGGAGACCACGCAGTCGCGCAGCAAGAAGAGCAAGAAGGGTCGCAAGTCCAAGCTCAAGGTGGAGGACGACGAGGATCGTCCGGTGAAGCACTACACACCGCCGCCGGAGAAGCCCACCACCGATCTGAAGAAGAAGTACGAGGACCAGCCGGCCTTCCTCGAGGGCACCGGCATGCAGTTGCATCCGTACCAGATCGAGGGCATCAACTGGTTGCGCTACAGCTGGGGCCAGGGCATCGACACCATTCTGGCCGACGAAATGGGTCTGGGCAAGACCATCCAGACGGTCACCTTTCTCTACTCGCTGTACAAGGAGGGCCATTGCCGCGGACCCTTCCTGGTGGCCGTGCCCTTGTCCACGCTGGTCAATTGGGAGCGTGAGTTCGAGCTGTGGGCCCCGGACTTCTACTGCATCACCTACATCGGCGACAAGGATTCGCGAGCGGTCATCCGCGAGAACGAGCTGAGCTTCGAGGAGGGCGCCATTCGCGGCAGCAAGGTGTCCCGCTTGCGGACCACCCAGTACAAGTTCAATGTCCTGCTGACCAGCTACGAGCTGATCTCCATGGACGCCGCCTGCCTGGGCAGCATCGATTGGGCTGTACTCGTGGTGGACGAGGCGCATCGCCTGAAGAGCAACCAGAGCAAGTTCTTCCGCATCCTGAACAGCTACACCATTGCCTACAAGCTGCTGCTGACTGGAACCCCGCTGCAGAACAACCTGGAGGAGCTGTTCCATCTGCTGAACTTCTTGAGTCGCGACAAGTTCAACGACCTGCAGGCCTTCCAGGGCGAATTCGCGGACGTGTCCAAGGAGGAGCAGGTGAAGCGCCTGCACGAAATGCTGGGACCGCACATGCTGCGTCGCCTGAAGACCGATGTGCTGAAGAACATGCCCTCCAAGTCGGAGTTCATTGTGCGCGTGGAGCTCTCGGCCATGCAGAAGAAGTTCTACAAGTTCATCCTGACCAAGAACTACGAGGCTCTGAATTCGAAGAGTGGCGGCGGCTCCTGTTCGCTGATCAACATCATGATGGACCTGAAGAAGTGCTGCAATCATCCGTATCTCTTTCCCTCGGCCGCCGAGGAGGCCACCACCTCTGCTGGAGGTCTCTACGAGATCAATTCGCTGACCAAGGCCGCCGGCAAGTTGGTGCTGCTCTCCAAGATGCTCAAGCAGCTGAAGTCGCAGAACCATCGTGTGCTGATCTTCTCGCAGATGACCAAGATGCTGGACATTCTCGAGGACTTCCTCGAGGGCGAGCAGTACAAGTACGAACGCATCGATGGAGGAATCACCGGGACATTGCGTCAGGAGGCTATTGATCGGTTCAATGCACCGGGAGCCCAGCAGTTCGTCTTTCTGCTGAGTACCCGTGCCGGTGGATTGGGTATTAACTTGGCCACCGCCGACACTGTCATCATTTACGACTCGGACTGGAATCCGCACAACGATATCCAGGCCTTCTCGCGTGCCCATCGCATTGGACAGGCCAACAAGGTGATGATCTACCGCTTCGTGACCCGCAACTCGGTGGAGGAGCGCGTCACGCAGGTGGCCAAGCGCAAGATGATGCTCACGCATCTGGTGGTGCGGCCGGGAATGGGCGGCAAGGGTGCCAACTTCACCAAGCAGGAACTGGACGATATCCTGCGTTTCGGCACCGAGGATCTGTTCAAGGAGGACGACAAGGAGGAGGCCATCCACTACGATGACAAGGCGGTGGCCGAGCTGCTGGATCGCACGAATCGCGGCATCGAGGAGAAGGAGTCCTGGGCCAACGAGTACCTCTCCTCGTTCAAGGTGGCCTCCTACGCCACCAAGGAGGAGGAGGAGGAGGAGGAGACGGAGATCATCAAGCAGGATGCCGAGAACTCGGATCCGGCGTACTGGGTCAAGCTCTTGCGCCACCACTACGAGCAGCACCAGGAGGACGTGGGTCGCAGTCTGGGCAAGGGAAAGCGTGTGCGCAAGCAGGTCAACTACACGGATGGCGGCGTCGTGGCTGCGGACACCACCCGCGATGATTCCAACTGGCAGGACAATGGGAGCGAGTACAACTCGGAGTATTCGGCTGGCTCCGATGAAGATGGCGCCGACGATGACTTCGATGAGCAGAATGGCGGCGAGCGGAAGGCCAAGCGGCGTCTGGAGCGACGCGATGATCGTCCTCTGCCGCCGCTCTTGGCCCGCGTGGGCGGCAACATCGAGGTGCTGGGCTTCAATGCCCGCCAGCGCAAGAGCTTCCTCAATGCCATCATGCGGTACGGAATGCCGCCGCAGGACGCCTTCAATTCGCAGTGGCTGGTGCGGGATTTGCGTGGCAAGTCGGAGCGGAACTTCAAGGCTTATGTCTCGCTGTTCATGCGGCATCTCTGCGAACCGGGAGCGGACAATGCCGAGACCTTTGCCGATGGAGTGCCACGCGAGGGTCTGTCCCGTCAGCACGTGCTCACCCGGATCGGAGTGATGTCGCTCATCCGCAAGAAGGTGCAGGAGTTCGAGCACATCAACGGGTACTACAGCATGCCCGAGTTGATCCTTAAGCCCTGTGAACCGGTGCGATCGGCTCTGAAGCAGGATGTTGCCTCCTTGGAGGCTCCGCCTGCCGGTGGCAATGTGGACAAGAGTGCCACCACCAGCAACAGCGCCACGCCGGCCACGAGTGCGGCACCCAGTCCAGCGCCGGCATCCGAGAAGGGAGAGGAGAAGGAGAAGGACACCGCCGAGAAGGAGAAGGAGAAGACCTCGGCCGAGAAGAGCGAGGTGAAGCAGGAACAGGAGGCGGCCGAGGAGGACAAGAAGCCCGGCGATGTGAAGCAGGAGCAACCTGCCGCCGAGGAAACCGCCGCCAGCGAAACAAAACCATCCAGCGGCGACGTGGCCGAGGTGAAAACCGAACTGGCCAAGACCGAACCCAAGGAGGAGGTCAAGGATCCCGAGCTCAAGGAAGAACCCAAGGCGGAGGAGAAGGAAAAGGAGAAGGCGGAGGACAAGAAGCCACCACCACCACCAGCAACAGTGATCGACGACGACGACGACGACGTGATGATCGTCAAGGAGGACGGTGAGCTGGAGAAGCCCAGCGCCAGTTCGCCCAAGGACCACAAGGCGGCCGCTGCTGCCGCCGCCGCTGCTGCTGCCGCTGCCACGGGCGCCAAGGGTGTGGAGGACAGCCTGGAGGTGCTGAAGCGCAAGTTCATGTTCAACATCGCCGACGGCGGCTTCACCGAGCTGCACACCTTGTGGCTGAACGAGGAGAAGGCCGCCGTTCCCGGCAGGGAGTACGAGATCTGGCACCGTCGCCACGACTACTGGCTGCTGGCCGGGATCGTGACTCATGGCTACGGGCGCTGGCAGGACATCCAGAACGACATCCGCTTCGCGATCATCAACGAACCGTTCAAGATGGATGTGGGCAAGGGCAACTTCCTGGAGATCAAGAACAAGTTCCTCGCCAGGCGCTTCAAGCTGCTGGAACAGGCGCTGGTCATCGAGGAGCAGCTGCGACGGGCTGCCTACCTGAATCTCGCCCAGGACCCCAGCCATCCGGCCATGTCGCTGAACGCCCGCTTCGCCGAGGTGGAATGTTTGGCCGAATCGCATCAGCATCTCAGCAAGGAATCGCTGGCGGGCAACAAGCCGGCGAACGCGGTGCTGCACAAGGTGCTCAACCAGCTGGAGGAGCTGCTCTCGGACATGAAGAGCGACGTGTCCCGGCTGCCAGCCACCCTGGCCCGCATCCCGCCGGTGGCCCAGCGGCTGCAGATGTCCGAGCGATCGATTCTCTCCCGACTGGCGGCCACCGCCGGCAATGCCTCAAATGCTGGTAAGTGTTTTCTCTTTAATTTTAAATGTATTATATTTAATACTCTTTCTTTTTCTTTTCCAGCTCAATTAATGGCACAATTCCCGGCTGGATTCCAGGGCACAACATTGCCAGCATTCACGGGCGGACCCGCTGGCAACTTTGCCAACTTCCGGCCACAGTTTTCGGTGCCCGGACAGCTATCGAATAATTCCGGCGTTTAGGCTTCAACTCCTCCTCAATATCTATGTTAAGAGCATTCGTATTCCATGCAAATATACTTTAATCAAGCTAAGAACTTAAATTTTCACACGAGAACACACCTGCACACCCACAACATATAACATACACATACGTATATTTATCATAATCATTTGCAATGAAATCCCGATAAGAATAACGAACGAGTTCACACAAAAATAATTAATTCGAAATGTTTGACACTTGGCGAATGGCGAGCTTGCTGCCAGGATTCTGCTCCTGGGGCGGATCTCAGCGGAACAGGACTCGCGGTCGATTCACATACGACAAGTATAATAGTTCTATTTTACTTTACTATGTGATTACATAATCTAGATACAAAATATAAATGTATTGAAATTCCATTGCAAAGACGGGGATCTATTTTTTGGGGGGAATATTTGGGGTAATCTTTATTCTTATTTTTGGATATGTATTTACCAAAAATCGCTTAACCGATAAAAGTTTTTGGCTATAAATTGACCAAAATTAATCGATACTTAAAATCCTAATCTCGATTGCACTCATTGAAATCGGTCAGCCAAGCCCACAATTTTTGGGCCAAACGCATTTGAAGTACCAGGCGAACATAAAGCTATAGTAGGTTGCTGCTCTTCGAAATTCACTTGCTCCCAAAAGTATGCTACACTTTTTCATGGAAAATTTCCATTCTCCCATCTAATGAAATATGTTAACTTCTTACTTACCCCCAAAAGTATGCTACACCTTTTCATCGAAAATTCTCACAATCAAAACTCCTATCTAATGAATTCTGTTGGCCTGGTATTTGAAACCTAAGAGTTCCAATCGGACAATTTTTTTTTTTGGTTTTAGGTTATAAAAAATGCATTTTGGGTTAAGCGATAAAAGTTGTTTTATTCATAGCTTTTCGTTTCGAATATATCATCAAGTTCATGTATATTAATATAAATTAGGTATGTTCTTTATGTGTATATATATATATATCTGTGGGTGTATATATATATAGTTTGTAAATATCAAATACATAATCGTTAGACATATTGAAGTCATATCTGATAAGCGCAATACTAATTTCGAACCGAATCGAATCGGCGCGTCACAAAAAGCCAATCAATACATGTATGTAAATACGTATGAGTAGAGCAACAATAGTCTGCGAGTTCTTGGGATGAAATTCGTAACATCTGGATATTGATATTGCTGTTTAATATCAAACTGTCTACAACGTTTGGTTGCCGTTCGTTCGGGTTTCACTTCCGCCTGTTATTTACAGCAGTTATAATTACAAATTAATGGAATATCCCGACATGGTCTGGCATAAATAATAATAAGCTGGCCCTGCTGGCCTAATACAATTACGAATTTAAAATTATATAGAGTACAACAAAAACAAAGTAACAAGAAATAAATGAGGAGGTATTTGTTCGGCGCAGCAAACAAAAGGCCCCACATTGGCCAACCAATTTAACGTATTATTTACAAGCTAACCTTGAATATTGTGTATATATTACATGCATTAATCAATTCTCGGCAAAGAAATAGAATAGAATTAGGCTTACAACTAATTACGGGGCTAAACACAACTACTATTGGGGAAAACTCAAGAAAATCATCTTAAAATAGTAAATAACAAAACATACGCGGTGCGAAAGCAAAACGCAAACGGTGAAGAATGGAGAATGGATAATCTTTGTAGCCATGATGCCATGATAGCCCACAGTGCCGGGAGGAAGTGGGGGACATCAGTTAGGAAATTGAGCACAGCTTCTTCAGCTCTCCCTCGGTCTCGTCCACCTCGAGCGGCACACTGGCGGCACTGGGCAGCGTTCGTCCCTCGATGTTCGGCAAATACGGCTCGTAGTCCAGGCCCTTGCGCTCGTAGAACAGCAGATAGGCGGCACTGGGATCGATAACCGGCTTCGAGGATATCTCGCGGCAGGAGCTGTCGTTGTAGCAATACCAGGAACCAGTTGCATTCGATGCATAGGAAATGTAGTGGCCTCCATTCAGCATGCCCGAGTGAGACTGTGGGAAATATATATTTGTTACTAATCAATAATCAATAAGGAATAAGGTAAAGAAATATAAACACACCACAACAGCATACAATCGATACTTCGGATCGAACTCATCCACCTCCGGCTTGAGTCGATGCTGGTGATAGTCCTCGAACTCTCCATCCACAATCGGAGTTTTGGTGAGACTCGTCGAGATGAGCCTCTGTCGCCGGTTAACATTGATGGACTTGTTCTGGCGCAGGATATTCGCGCTGGGCGCTGGAGTCGCTGAAGCTGTCCCCTTTTGCGTTTCGAGTTCCTCCTTGTCGCTTCTACTGCCTCCATCAATCTCGTCCAATTCGCTCACCACCTCATTAGTGGCCATACTTAAGTCGGCATCCTTCTTAAGTTCCAGCAGCTCCTTGTGCCGCAATATCGTCTCCTGGGGCACTGAGGCCAAATAGGGTGTGGGATCGAAGTCGTCGAATGGAAAGTGCACCACCTTCTGGGACTTCACCCACTTGCCGTTGACGCAGTTGAAACGCTTCAAGTGCACAATCTAAAAAGGAAGTATTAAATTAAAAATTCGATTGAGAGTATCCCCTTTGGATGAGGAGTATTATCTCACCAATATCGGAGGCAGTTTCCAAATCTGCAGCTTCTTGGTGGCGGGTTTCTTGCCCTTGCAGTGGCTGCAGTGGTACCACTGTTCCAGTTTCTCCTCGGAGGTGAACGCGCGCAGGCAATGATTCAGATCAACGGGCTCAACTTGCTCCCGCCGACTTATGGCAATGGTTTCGTGATCCACCCAGAGCTAATTGAAGTTAATTATGAGTATTCTGAAGATATGTTAATATGATATTTATATATTTACTCGCTCCAAGGTGCTTTTGTAGCGCAAATGCAGGGCGGTCGGATCCCAGTCGATGGCAATGGTAAAATCTTCAAAATATTTCGTTGTCGGCGTGTACGACAACGAGGCGGTGTACTCTGGCGTCCGTTTAGCCTCCAGATTTGGTAGCGATGGGAATTTAGCGTTCATTTTTGGCGTCGAGGTATTACCTGTAATAAAAATGGGAGTATTAATAAACAAGCAACCTAATTCAAAAGGTATACTTACTGGCCGCAGCATTGATGGGCGGCAGGGCTCCCTGGAGTACGTAGTCATTGTTGCAGCGGATCTCGCATCCCCGACAGAAACTCGACCAGGGACAAATGGCGCAGGTGAGGCCGTCCGCTTTGACGGCACGCAACGTGAAGGGAAAGTCGTAGCCCAGGCTGTCGTCACTGCAAAATAAAAATACGATCAATAAAATGGTTCGTAGGATAAACAAGATATAAATACCAATCGGCGGCATGATTTGCCTGATCCGTGGTGGCGGGCAGTGGGCTGAGCAACCGGCTCACCTGCAGCCAAACGGCACAGTACAGATCCTTGTGGGTGCCACCCTCGCTGTTCGGGATTAGCAGGGGGACCCCGAACAGACTTGGCCTCGTTTTGTGATAGGAGAGGAAGTAGCTGTCGTGACGGGTAATCTTGCGATGCACTGCCACCAAATATTTGCCCGCCTTGTGCGGCGGTTGTGAGGAGCGACGCGAGTAAACCCCACTGCTCGTCTCCGGCTGCGATGTGGTTATCTGATCCCTTTGGTCGTGCTCCTCCTCGTTGCCCTCCTCCGCCTGCTCGTCCACATCCAGGCTGGCGCCCAGCGTGTGACCAGTGCTCAGGCCACTGGAATCGTTCGGCGATGTCCGGTAGGAGCTGTCATCACTGCCGCTGCCATGGCGACTATTCGCCACCGGCGCCAGATCGGCCAGAGGAATCGGCTCCGTCAGCGAGCTCTCCATGGAGTTCTCGCCCGAGTGATTTGTGTAGGACATCGAACTGGTGTTGCTCTCCGTGTGCAGCAACTTGGCGGAGGACACGCGCTTCTGCTGGGCAGCCGTGCCGTGCATGAAAGTGTTCTCCGGACTGGAGCTCAGGACGAGCGACTCCTGCACCAAGATTCGGCATTAGATTTGGTTGGGTTGCGATTCGGGTTAGTGTTTCAGGGGCGGGTGGTTGTGTATTAAAGCTTTGGGAACTCAATTAACCAAGGATCAATCTACTCGGAAATTTACAAATATATCCAAAATCTACATACAAAATTTACAAATTGTTTATGCTTGGTGTTTTAATTATCTTTCGGTTTTTATCAGGTTATTCCGTGAGTTTAACTTTAGTTATTAAATAAAAATGATTTAGTTTTTGTACAGGTTTCGAAGAATGTGTTTTTTTTTTTAAGGAATTGGTTTAGTTTAAATTTTGATTTTTATTTAAAAGTATTCATTGATTTTAAGGCACTACAAATCACGGAAGTTTATAACAAATAAAATTCAAATTTTTATAAGAACTGTGGTTCGCAAAGCTAACTAAATACATAAGCTAATCAAACTTTATATCAAAAATTCTTTCTTCTATCTTCTAAGCAAAGACAATCTAAATTCGGATACTCAAAAATATTCATAAAAACAAACACAAGGTGTGGATGATATATAATATATATCCCTGAATGTGAAATTGCAAAGTTATGGGAATGACTAAGTACTACAAGATAAATTATAATTCACAAACTTCCAACTTGATAACCAACAACAACAAAGATTTCCAAGGATAGCAAAGTGGTGATTCGAAATGTTTGTTCTTGATTTAAGCAAAAAATTTACATAGTTAGAGAGTAAAAGGCCAGCAACAAATTAAATGATTAGTAGAAGGAGGAGATATAGATTACAAATAATTGATATCAATTTGGTAAGAGTGTGTGCGAATACGAAAGTAGGAAAAATATACAGAGTATAGTAGCTAGTAGTAGTTTAAATAGTTAAGAGGGAAGCCCACAAACCACGCAGCAGACGGCAACTGTTCATTTAACATAGTGGTATTTAATATGTTTTAGATTCGAATTAAACGCTTGTAAAGTGACACTCGACAATAAAACAGACGGAGGCGGAATCTTGAGCGGATTCTGATTTCGCATTCGCATTCGCATTTGCAATCGAAGACGACCCGACGGAGGAGCAAGTTCGCTATCCTATGAGCAAGGGCAAGTTCTGAAGTTCTGAAGTTCTGAAGTTCTGAAGTTCGGAAGCTCTGAATATATTTAGAATTCGATTGGCCCCAAAAGAAGTTTTGGGGCGTAAATCTATATGATATTAAATACGTGTATGTTAATATAGTTTAGAAGCCATACCTTGAAGCAAAATAGGCTGTGGGGCATGCACTCTCTCTTTCCAAAGCACCGGCTTACCTTTCCGGCCTCATCTGGCAGCAGTTCGTGCACTTGGTTCTCGCCGCTTCCGTTTCCGCTGAAATTGCTAACGATAGGATTGTAATTATTGCTGCTGCCATTGCTGTTAAAGCGCGAAATGTCCGCCTCGAGCTCAATCTCCGGCTCTACTTCGACATCGAGTCCCGGAACATGTCCGTTGCAAAGGACTCGAGACGAGGTGCGCTGGCTGGAGGTCTGCAACGTGCTCAGCGAGGACAGCGAGTCCTGTGCCGTGATGAGTGCTGAAATGGAGTAAACATTTAAATGGAATACTCGTATATAGAATGTATTGTATAGCTGCTTTACCGGAACTGCGTTGTATGTCCTTGAGACCCTGCTCGATGTGCATGCTGAGCACGGAATTGGATCGCGTTCGCACACTCTGTTCGGGCAGCTGATAGACGTACAGCTCCTTGGCGCTCTGCGTTCGCAGCTTCTCCTCGTCGGCCAGCACCTGGCGTATTTGCGAGTTCCACAGCTCGCAGACGAGCATCAAATTTGGCGGCAGGGAGCACAGCGTCGACAACTTGTGTTTCAGATGCGAGTATTTGCTTTCCGAGTTCAGGCGAAAGCCGTATTTAATGGGCACGCTTCCATCCAACAGGATTACTAAAATACAAGAAGGCAGATTTGTAAGTAAGTTTTTAAACTTGATAATTCACAAGATACTTTGGCACTAAAACTATTAATTTTTAAATACAAACGCCTCACCTAGAACCTCCAAATAGACGTAGTTCTCAACTGGCAACGGCAGGCTAAGCAAACTAAATGGATCGAATCGCACCGACTCGTGTCCACAGCCCAGGCAGCTGACCTTTGACTTTAACTGGCCGTAGAACAAATCGATGATGATGGATTGATTGCGGGCATGATGCTGCGACCAAGCCTCGGCGGCCACAATTTTGTCTGGGCGCCCGTTGGAGTCCTTTAGCTCACTGTACGGCTTCTCCATCACGCGGTTGAGATCCTCATGCAGGGCGTCCAGCAGCCACTCGAGCAGCTCCTGCGAATCGTGCTGCCCACCGCCGGCGAACTGGGGTGCATGCTTGTTGACGCAGAAGCGCAGCTTGAGCGGCGCCACCGATCTCGTCGTGGCGGTCCACACCTCCTTCAGCAGCTCCGCATAGCGCATGGCCAGCTGGCCCCTGGTGCCCAGTTTGTTGGCCGCATTCACCTCGAAACGATGCATCTCCCGCTGGAAATACTGCGCCAGCGGTTGCGTATTGAAGAGCACCTGGAGAGCGGCGTTCATGAAGCAGGTGTTGCCCAGGTTGTGCAGCCCCGTGGCTCCCGGTGCATGCACCGACATAATTGAGCTGCGTGTGAGTCGTCGCCGATCGCCCGGCGTTCCCGCTCCCTGTCCACTTTGAGCCGTGGCCAGCGAACCGAGCTCCTCCGGCCAGGTGAGATCCTTGTTGCGAATCTCGAGCAGCAGTTGGTCATTGTCCCGAATGAGCAGCTCCTTCAGGCACATGGAATCCTCCTCCAGCAGTATGACACCGTTGTCCAGCTGCGGAACGTGCCACAGCCGTATGTCCTCCGATTTGAGACGCAGCTGCTCGCACAGGAAATCGCCCACTTGACGCACAGTGGCCAATCGACTGAAGGCAGCCGTGTAAGCCAGATATCTCTTGGGTGGCTGAAGCACACTGCTGGCTGCTATGGCCGCATATCCGCCTCCGGAGGCCAGGACTCCATAGCCACCGCTCACCGAGGATCCCCAGCTGCCCAACTGAGTTCCGCCGCCAACGCCTGTTTGCGATGGCTGCGCTTGGTGGAGTAGAATCCGCAGGTTCAGCGGGTACAGCTCTAGTTCCACATCCGAATTTGGCGGTTGAATGACCTATCAAATTGCAATATTGTATTACTTCAAAGGAAGGGCTTCAAAACAGATGATTTAGTTTGCTTACCTGTCTTGGCAATGGCAGATTATCGCCATACCATCGATTCAGGGCTTTCCACAGGGACTTGGGCACCAATTCAAAGTCGTGGCGATGCACCAGAGGCGTGTCCCGCTTGAGGTGACCGCCCTCGCCAGTCAGGGTGCGCACATTCCGGAAGGGATTGGCCGTGATCAGATTGCTGTTATCGATGGGTCCCGGTCGCACCGGACCGCAGTGCCTTCCCGCTGAGATGCCACTGCTCGCCGAGCCGGAACCCGATGCCGATCCCGTGCCAGAGCCCAGGGAGTAGCTGTCGTGCTGCTCCAGACTGTGGGTATTGAAGCTCTCGTCGCAGACGACCGCCTCGTCGACAGCGGTTCGCTGGCTGGCCGTTCGCTTGCAATAGTCACAGGTGTGTGCCGTGTGCTGGGTGTACTGCATCCAACCGAGCCACCAGTTGCGCGATATCAAGTACCAGAACTGACCCACATGGTACGGCCTGCGTTCCTCGCGCCGCAGCCATCCGCGGACTATGTCGTTCTCCATGTGCTTGCACTGCGGCCACAAGCCAAACACAATGTGGCACAGCTCGAAGATCAAGTCCAGCAGGGGCTGCATGAGTCTCAAGTCGCACTGCACATTCCACAGCATAAAATCCTCGGCGGTGAGTGAGACATTGTCGCGGGTTAGCTTGCTTGGCGTTCCATCCGGACTCCTACGCTGGCCGAACTCCAGCAGATCACTTATCACCAGCTGCTTGGTCAGGTCTTTGTACTGCTGCGCCTCGCGGTTCTCCTTGGCCACCAACAACAGCACATTGATCATCTGCAGCGTCTCCTCGTGACTTAGAACGCCATCGCGATCCACATCGAAGATTTTAAAGCAAACTAATGGGAAAAACAGGTGGTTAATATATATAGTATATGAATTTAAATGGTAAAATTATTAGTATGCAGAGCTTACAGCGTGTCCTTTCCACGCCAGGTCCTCGACAGGCGGCACTGACTCCGCAACATAACTCCTTAAAGTCAATGTGCCCGTCGCGGTTCTCATCGAAGGCATTGAAAAGTCCTGCCAGCGCATTCTTTGGTATCGGTGGGCTAATTAGGGGGCCCAGGAATTGCAGATCAATTTGTCCGTTTTGCGAAGTGTTCTTCAAGCGCCAGAACTCTTTCTCCAGATCACCAATGTCCTGCAAAACATATAGCATGAATAAAGTGCAGAAATTGGGATATTTATCGTAGGATATAACCTTCTCCTCGAGATGCGTCACTCCAGCGAGGCTCTGGTAAAACGTAGGCGTTTCCAGCTCCGAAGTGAGACTGACACAGTTGTCGGATAGCAACCACTTTGAGAGCACAGTGGCATTGGGATGCTTAATGATCCAGTCCTGAAACTGATCGAAATTGACGCGTTCGCTTTGGGCGAAGAGGGAGACGCTCTCATATGGAGCCAGGTTCACATTCCGCACATAATCCGATTTTATAATAAAGGTGCCGGCATCGTTACAGTAGAGGTTCCACAGGAATCTGTAAGGAAGAAATTAAATTTGTGTTAATTATCCCTCTGATAATTCTGTACATTCTTGTACTCACTTGGTTTTCTCCTCCTGAGTGCCTCGTGTGATCAGGACGAGGCCGCAGAGCAAATCGTTGAAGGAGATGCCGCGCTGGGTGCCACCGCATGCGGTGTATAGCATGTCCGTGATCTTCGGCGGAACTCCCTCGCAGAGCACATCCTGCTGGAAGGCATTCCGACTGAGGAAATTCCGGCCAACGCCCGCCGACTTTTTGAAGGCATCCCTCAGGCGTCGAAGCTCCACATCGCTAACTGCAATCAGTAATCGGTGGATGAGTAACGTTTCAGGCAGGGTTTGTCCCGAATGTCTCTAATTAATAGCCGTATCTGGGAGTCCCCGCGTTTAATACGATTTACGATCTCGTTTTCACACCACCACGATGTGACGTCAACAATGAACCGATTATTGGAGTAAAAGTCAAATAGTAAAAATCAAATACCTTAAATTAATTCAAATACAACTGCTTTAATCGTTAATAACAGCAATAGACATCATTTTCGAAATTAGTTATCTATACATCAATTATGGTATTAATTGTCGCTGTTACCTAATTGGAAATTATCTGTAATTGATAATTATACTCCTAGCGTAAAAAAAGAGTATATGGCCTGAATGCAAAAGTAGGAAACATGAAGAGTTATAAATAGATTGGTTGTTCATTTTATAAAAGTAGTAGTAAAATTAACTTACTCTACAAATGAAGCTTTATAAATTTTTAGTTAAATCCTTTCAGCATTTTCAGAATTTCAACATATTTTACAACACAAAATGAGTATTCCAAAGTCGACTGCAATTTCATTCCTTTGTTTTCCGAATGTTTATGAATCACTCTTTTAGGAATCACAAGTGCACATGCATATGTTTATTGGCACATATACATATATTTAATGATAATTAAAAATCGTAACACATTCAAGTCATAAAACGACAGGAAAGAAAATAAGAGGTCCATTAAACACGTAACAAACCGAAGTTTTTTGCTCCCGATAAGAAAATTAAAGGTAACTTAAATTTTGTTCAATACCATTTCACAAAGTTTTCTTGATTTATAATCTTTGGTTACACTCTTTTGCTTTTTTCACTTTTATTTAATTAATTGTAATTGTAAAATAAGTCATTATAAAATCTACAACTTTCATTCATAGCTTACTGTTTACAATTAATAATGTTGATAACTTTATGTAGAAAATAAAAAACCGCAAGAAGTGCCATTAAATTGACAATAAATAATCCATTTTAATTTCTTCGATCAGGTTGAGAACATCGCCAACTGATAAGAGCGAACGGAGCGTGGAAATACAATACATTGCGCAATTAATTGGGCAATATTGCACTGGGAATTATGCGACGTCACGGAAACGGAATTTTATTGAATGTCAACTGCAACTTTGGTCTGAGATTTGCGACTGCCGTACTTGCATGCCAGCATTTATTTCCCCCCCGCCAGCGTTTCTTACATGTGTGTTTCCGTTGGCTTCGGTTTTATTGGAACCGGTCGGTGTGGCTAATAAGAAACACACGCACCTGGTCGCACGATCCGAGCGGGAAAAGGGGGTGGTCAAGTGGGAAAGGGGGGAACCTTATCAGCGACACTCGTTTTCTTAACTCTTAACTGGGTCTGGCCGCAAATCAACAGCCATAACCAAAACAACACCAGTAGTGAGATGAATGCCAGTCAAAAGAAAAGGTGAAATAAAGTAGGTGAAAAGCAGTGCCAGTTCGCAAACGACATTGAGATTGGGGTGGTGCTCGAGGGAAGAGTTATTCCCGTTGGCTAACATAATCTAAACTCTATAAATGATTAACAATTGATAGAAGGGTTCTCACTTTTCTAGCACTTAAAAACAATAAGCTTTCATTCTTTATAATTTATAGCTCTATTTAAGATAACGAATTACTCAAAACCCATATTAAAATTTTAAAACCAATTTTTTTATATTTCCACTTAACGTTTAACATAGAATGAAAATAATGAATATTTAGATAAATAACTCTTATAATTCTTATATAACCCTTTGGAAATTTAAGTTATAGAAGCTTGACTGTAGTTTTTCTAATCGGCTGCTACTAAAATTATCTGAATAATGGTATTGAAAGTGATTTATTCCTAGAATGTTATTCAGATTGGCTAAGTACATACTTAATACAAATTAATAAGAAAATGGGAAATTACATGCAAAAACTGAAACAAGCTTATACTGCAGGAATCCCATTGTCTAAATAAAGAACATTAACTAAGATGAATTTTAAGTCATCAATTAATTTTCCATTTTACAATTTTTGTCGTCATTATTTATTTAAGATCTTTTTAAGTTATAAAGAACTTTTTAACTACAAAGTACTTTTTGCATTTAAAACGCGAATCGAAATGAACACTGGAATGGCTTGCTGAACTTAAAGTGAACCTTATCCGGGCATTCCAGTCACCCTAAGCATGCATTGCACTTGCTGGCTGTTTAACTGTTTTTCTGTGCGTCGCTGCTTTGTTGTCTCACAGCCACCAACCTCCCACTGCAACCTACAAACCACCCCATTCGTTGAGCTTTTCTATTGTGACGTCACTGGCGGCGGCGACGCAAATACCCATGCACACAGCACACAAACACAATTAGTATGCAGTATGCCTTTATACTGGAATGGCAAATTAGATGCAAAAGAAAAGTGCAGGAAATCCAAGATGAAGGGGAGGTGCACATATAGGTGGTGGTCAGTATAGGAACCACTGGGCAGAAATCGTGGAAGCAACAACAATGGAATCGATTGCAGCGCAATCACACCTGCGGTTTGTTGTTGCTGTTGCTATTGCGGGGGTTCTGTTTTCTTGATTAGCAGAGTGACCCATTTTCCGCAGTCACCGGAGGGTGTTACCATCCAAAATTTGAGGCAGTTAAAACTCACCGCGCTTCACCGAATCCTCGTAGCTGATGCTATTGGAGTGTTTCGACTCCTTGGTGCCCATGGCACAGAATTTTTTGTTTGCGGGGGTGCAGTGCTGCAATGGATTTGGGGACTCCTCCTGCTGCGTTTGGCGACGCCACTGTTTACATTTGTGTTAAACTTCACTTGACAGTCGCGGCCGGAATAATAGGGTACGGTTAAGGATCACGGAGCAGGATCAGGACTATTTATATTATGCACCTGTCTTATTTGTGTCTTGTGCTATTTTTCTGTTTCTTGCCACTGGCTGGCTCTTTGCAACACTGTCCGTAACAGCTGTTTCGCATAATCAGTCGATAGGCGATTAATTCGCCTTGTGTCAGTGTTGGACAAAACCTCTGACAGCATAAGTCGTTGATCAACACTGCAAACAGTCTTATTTTTTGTTCGGGCGTAATTAGAAAGCAGCAATAAAGTTAATTTTCACGTCCTAACCACAACAAACCTTCACACATTCGCACTGCGAAGCGAGCGCCATTGTATTTTCCCACCGGAAAAACCGCCGCGAGAAAAGCGAAACTCGACCGCAGACGCAGAAAAAAGTCTTAAAACTACGTCGCCATTTTTGACACGGCTCCGAAATCGAAAACACAAAAACACACACCCAAAAGACCTGAGAGAAAGAGCAAAAAAAAAACGAAAAAGACATATATACGTTTGCAAATTGCGGTTACGTCTAGGAATATTTTACGGCACGCATGGAGAACACTTGTGATTAGTGTTATTAGCAAAGAATCGGCAAGGAAGTTACTTGGTTGAAGGCGGCGACGTGTACAGTGCTTCATTTGGGATCTATCCATTAACCCTTACCCTAATCACTACTATCTCGGGGCGACGACAACTGTGATCCTACCGCAAAAATGGCCAAAACCTACGACTATCTGTTCAAAATGCTCCTGATAGGCGATTCTGGTGTGGGCAAGACCTGTATCCTGTTCCGATTTTCCGAGGACGCCTTTAACACGACGTTTATATCCACAATAGGTGAGTGAGCCATCTCGTCTCTCATCTCCACCGATTTCTAATTAATTACGGTGCCTTGGCTTGCATGAACTCATTCGGAATTCGAGCTTCCAGTCCCTATGACTCATGTGCTCCAAAGTTCTTCTCTGTTTTCTTTGCTGCGCCAATGTATTTGTCATAATTATTGTTGTTTTTCTGGGAAGGGCCTCTCCTCCCAGTTTAAGTTCCCGCTTTTATAAAAAGGTTCTGCTGGAATCAAGCTCAATGCATGGACATCCGGATTTCCATATCTTAGTTAAAGATACACACCCGCATAGGAAAGCGAACTAAAATAATTACCACACACAGTCCGTCTTTGTAATTTCTTCAGTTTTATCGCCCAATAAGCCGGATTGTTGGTTTATCGAGACTTACCCAATAATTTGAGCGAGATCCATTAGTTTTTCTTAGACAGATATACTATATGTTCGAAATTAAACTTTGCTAACACGTGGCTTTATCTTAAGTTTCGAGGTGCAAATATAAGTTTACGAAAAACGTTTTTAAATGTATTTTTAGCCACCAGGCCCTTATCTAAATGTTGTCCCTTTACTTGAGTGACAATAAGAATTTGATAAATAAAACAAATACATAAATGCATGTTTCGAACTACATAAATTCTTTCTTTATGGCTTTTATAGCCTTTGTGGAATAAAGCTTAAAATAATTTCTATGTATATTACCATGATTACAAAAGAATATTCCGGGTGTAGGGACCTGGCTTCTTTTAATTAGGCCAGGAAATTTATAAATAATAATCATCCGAACCATGTAAAAAAAGGGGTAAAAGTTGTACCTATCTCAAAATAATTTTTGGCATGCAAATCGTTTCTTTACTTGTAAACACAAAAGTCGAACGATTCCCATTAGTTCTCGTGGCTAATAATTGTTTATTTTCGTTTTTGGCACGTTTTCTTTGTGACACTTCCAATTTTGGGCTATTTACTTAACGACATTGTTTTAGTCAATTGCGTGGTTCGTCGATTTCTTTGCCGCTCTTTGTCTTCATTAGATTCGACGTCATGGGTTGCCAAGCAAACGGGTTCAGCTGACCATTGCCAAATTACCCGAATTAATTAGCGTGTGTATTCTCATCTGTTTTCTCTTTGCAGGTATCGATTTTAAAATTAGAACAATTGAATTAGATAACAAGAAAATTAAGCTGCAAATATGGTAAGTGATAATGGAGCAACTTCTGTGATTTATTTTACTAAAAGTTTTGAATTTTAAAGGGACACTGCCGGCCAGGAGCGCTTTCGCACAATCACCACGGCCTATTACAGAGGTGCCATGGGCATCATGCTGGTGTATGACATAACCCAGGAGAAATCGTTCGAGAACATCAAAAACTGGATCAGGAATATCGAGGAAAACGCATCCGCCGATGTCGAGAAAATGCTACTGGGCAACAAGTGCGAGTTGACCGATAAGAGACAGGTAAGACGAATGGGAATTAATGAATTCATTGGCTATTTCTGAATTTCAACGAGGCTTTATCAACTTTTGGTTGATTCAGTTTTGCGGTTGTCCATAAACGTTTCGGTCATACAAAAGTTTAATGCTGACTCACAGCATCTACATACATATTGAACCAATAAACAAAATGAAAGTATACGAACGGTTCAACTTAAGCAGGCAGATAATATGGCTTTTTCGTCTACTTTGTATAATATCTGCAATATATTCATAGTAAAATAACAAATATGATTCTTAATCAAAGGTTAAGTGCTGAATAAAATGGTAATCAAACAATTTTCTCCCTCTTGTAGGTTTCAAAGGAGCGCGGTGAACAATTGGCTATCGAGTATGGCATCAAGTTCATGGAGACCTCCGCCAAAGCCAGCATCAACGTGGAAGAAGCCTTCCTCACCCTAGCCAGTGATATCAAAGCGAAAACGGAAAAGCGGATGGTGAGTGCTTCACGGCGAAACCCCAAACAAAGCCATTTATGAATGCCTTTTTTTGTGCTGCACAGGAGGCGAACAACCCACCCAAGGGCGGCCATCAGCTGAAACCGATGGACAGTCGGACGAAGGACAGTTGGTTGTCCAGGTGCAGTCTGCTTTGACGTGGCAACGTGCAATCGGCACTGATGCGGCATGGTGGCAACAACGACTACGTGGCAGTAGTGGTTTATGGTGGTAACTACGATGTAGTGGTAGTAGTTCTCTTAACTCCTGTTAGGTTCGAATACAATCGGTACCCCCAAAAAGCCAACCAATCAACTGACATCTCTGAATCAACCTTAAACATCAACAGCCGGCTCTCCCTAACCGAATAAGCGCGATAATGGAATAGAACACAAATTGCATTATGAAACAGTTATTAAATAAAGTATGTGACGACCGTGTACGAAATATACCTAGGCATGATAACGATATGATATATATACGTATATAACTCAAGTTAAAACGAGCGATAACGTAAACGTAAACGTAAAGCGAAGAGCAGCCAATCCAATCCCGCCCGCGTCCTTCTCGAAGAGGTTTTTAGTATTTACGGAACTTTGATTTTCTCTAGCAGCCATGGTTGTTAATATCGATTTGTAAATTATTACTTGTAAAAGAAATATATATGTGCTATATATGCATATGGTTAGTTCCACCTGTCCTTGTTTTGCTCATTGTGTGTAATTTCAATCGATTTACCAATCCTTTTTGCCATTATGTTAGAAATACGGAGGATGTCCAGACGCACAATTTCCCCCCCAAATTCTGGCTTCCCCACTCCCCTAACTTTATAACATAAATGTGGTAGTATCGCACAGTTCAAGGGTGCTTATTATATTATTATTATTCTTCTTAATCTTCACACACATTTCATTTGGTTAGTTAGTACTCTATTTATTTTCGTTCTTTGCCGCACTCCACACGAATCTGTCAATAAAACGTTACACCTAATAAATAAACCTTGATAAAGATCTGCAGATGAGATCAGCATTGAAAAAAAAGGTAGTCCATCAAATACAATCGATCGGCAGCAATAAACAATTATGAGAACACATACACAGCGCAGTAAAATAAATAATGTGAAATTAAATAATAACTAAATGCATATTTGATATTAATTAATTACTTGTAATATTAATGATTAAACGTATACAATTTTATAAAAATAAATCATGTGCAAAAACCAAAGAGAGCGGGGTTTTAATGTTATGAAAATCGGTTTCGTGACAGGGAGCTTTTGTCAGCAACCAATGTTAACAGCTATGTTAACGTATGCCTTTCGCTATGTTAAAATGTTCACTAAAATTTATTTGTTTAAAATTTAAATAGCTTCCAGCATCCCAAATAAGTAGACACATTTTCTAAATAATTATTTATATATGTATTTAAAAAACAGTCCACAAAATAGCTGCACGACATTTCGCTTAAGATAAACAGAGAATTGGTGACTTAAGTGTAGATACAAGTAGATTGTACGATACGAACATTTAGTTGGGAGGAGCACAACAAAAACACACACACAAGGGACTGGCCCGGACTTTGGGTTAGTAACGATGGACAGAAAATGTGGTAAGTGATAAGCGGCCATTAAGTGGAAATATGTGTAAGCACATAAGCTATATATAACTAGGAGGAATTGCACGTTTGCTGGTCGAATGTTGGCAGCGGGTTACGCCTGCGGCAGGTTCTGGTAGTAAGTGGCCAGAATGCGCCACGCCTCCGGCTCCATGAAGCCATCTGGCGGTAGAGCTCCAGTCTTGGCTAGCGTGCGCATCTTGGTCCCCGATATAAACTCAAATTCGTCCTTGCGCTTTGGTTCGAAAAAGGCCATTCTACTGGCACTTTTGTCATAGGCAGCCACACGGAAAGGCAGGATCTGAAAGAAATCGAGTATTAATTCAATTCAAATCAAGAAAGTGTGGAGTTCTAAATTATACCTCCATGCTGTCCAATCCCTGAGCCATTTTCAGAACTCGTGCTCCGTGAGTGGCGTCGTACAGGTTGCCATCCGGATAGGCGTCCTTGTCTGGATGCGGCATGCCCGCGGGATCGCGTCCCACGATATAGAAGTTGGCTCCGGCGTTCATGCGCGCCTTGGCGTGCCACTGCACCTCCGTGGGACCGGCGTACATCATGGGCGAGGGGAAGATGGCCAGGACAGTGTCCTCACGCCGCAGGACACCGGCATCGAGTACGGCCTGGTGCTGTTTCATGCGCACATCCAGGGGGACATCGTCGTCCTTGGTCCAGCCGCCCAGCGGATGCAGCAGGAGCACCGGCTGCTTGAAGCCCCGATCCAGCAGCTGGCGACGAGTGTCCTGCATGAGCAGCGCATGTCCGTTGTGGATGGGATTGCGCAGCTGGAAGGCAAAGATGGCGTCCGCATTGAGCTCCTTGAACTTGCGCCTCAGCTCGTTGGGCGTCAGCCTATACTGATCGAGACCGTCCTCCCAGCGGATCCTTTCGATCACAGCCAGATCGCCGCCGACCAAATACTCGCCGGACTCGTAAACCTGCTTGCTGTACGGATGGTTGGGATTGCTGGTGCCGAACTGACGGGCCAGCCGCTCCTCCTTGCGCTGGTAGTAGAACTCCGGTCGCCGGAGAATGGCCACCGCCTTGCCCTGGTACTTGAGGGTCAGCGAGGAGCTGCCATCCAGACGATCCTTGTCCGCCTGACTGGCGCTCAGAACGATCGGCACCGAGTGATTCTCGCGATACGAGCCGTCCATGCCGCTCTGGAGTGTGTTGAAGTGCAGCGTCTGCAGGTACTCGTCCTCGCGCATGAAACCGCGCAGCGGATAGGCCCATCCCTCGGCCAGGACCTGCACCCATTGCAGCTCCACGGTGCTGATCTCGATGGCCTGCAGCGACTCGGCTTCGTGGCGCAGTGCCTCCGTGGCAATCGATTCGCTGGGATACAGCTCCGGCAGTAAATCCACGTCGCGCAGCGAGCGCGGAATGATGCCCTCCTGTTCGAGCAGCGTCACCAGCTTCTGCGTCGACTCGCGCACCGTGTAGCCATGGGTGTTGACCACCAGCTCCGGCATCTGGGGACGCTCGTACTCCTGCGTGATGCCCGTGAAGCCCTTGATCACGCCCTCGCGCGCCTTTTTGTACAGTCCCTTCACGTCGCGCGTCTCGCACACGTCCAGCGGCGTGTCCACGAATATCTCGTAGAACTTGAGGCCCGCATCCTTGTGGATCTTGCGGGCCATCTCCCGATCGTCGGCGAAGGGGGAGACGAAGCTGCAGATGGCCACCACTCCGCTGTCGGCGAACAGCTTGGCCACCTCGCCCACGCGTCGGATGTTCTCCTCGCGCTCGGCGGGCGTGAAGCCCAGATTCTTGTTCAGTCCGGTCCGGATGTTGTCGCCGTCCAGGCCGTAGGCTGGAATTCCGCGGGACACGAGGTAAGCCTCGAGCTCAAAGGCAATCGAGGTCTTTCCTGCGCCACTTAGGCCTAAAAATGGAAAGGAATAGAATAATAAAATCATCATTTATGTTTACTGCAAAAAATTATCCTTTTAATCTAAATCATAATGTACATTAAAACTTTAAATGATTTGCAAAATATATTAAAAAAGTTATGCGAAAATTATATTAACATTTTATGTCAATTATAAGTAGAAAAAACATATAAATTACCGATTATCATAAATCAAAGCTAAAAGAAATACGATGCATAAATCAACAGAAAATAGTTTAATTATGTCCCATTTTAATAGGATTTATTGGACATTTAAATAATGAACTGATATTTAAATACACTGCAATAAATTTGCTTAAGTCCAACAAGTCATAAATATTTATGTAAGGATATTTATGCCCTTACCTGTCAGCCAAACGGTGCATCCTCGGAATCCGCGGCAGAGTCCCAAGTTCTTGCCTCTCGTCTCCCTGGTGACATGGTGCTTCTGCTCGGTCACATTCGTGGCCACCTGTAGGCACTGCAAACGAAGCAAGAACAAATCGGGTTTAGCTTTCGAAATTATCATAAATTAATATTCATGCCCAGTTGGGCTGGCGATGGCGATGGCGATGGATTCTGCCTCAGGCGGGTCTGTTCTGCCTTTCTGTCGGTTACAAGAGCCAAAATCAAAGCTGAAAATCCAGAGCCAGAGGCAAGTCATCATCGAAATAGTTCGCTTTGACCCCAGGGCGATTTTTTTTGCCCAGCTCCAACGTTCAGTTTGTTGACCTTCCGCTGGAACTCGTGTGTGCAGAATAGCGAATGGAGTTACGCGATATGCTTTCATGCCCATGGGATGAATCTCAATCTCAAAGTGAAGTGTGTGCACATATTTTCGCATTTCTAGTTAATTTTGCAAATTTATTTATGGCTTTAAAGGGAACTTACTGTGTGAAAAAAAGCCAATTCCATTTTTAGTTTATTTTCTTAAAAGCGTTGGTCTTGTCTATAAATCTTTCGTTTTTATATTTTAAGTAAAACCTTTGTAAATCAATTTAAATTTAAAACTCAGCTTTACATTTCTCACTAGTCTTTATAGTTTTTTTCGCAGAATAATATTAAAGTAGGTCACTGTGCTAGATTGTCGTTTAAATGTTTTTTCCCATCTGCTAATCTCACTCTCATAAAAGCAACCATCTCTGAACATCTTAATTTAGAGTTAAGTGTTTAGAGATAAAGGTTGTTTGTATGACTTTCTATCTCTTTTATTATATTTATTTTTGTTTCTTATTATCCATTTAATGAAGATCGTTTTCTAAGTTATCTTTATATTTTTGTGAACGTTTTTCTGCCTTACCCTTCTCTTAATGTGGGGATAAAATCCAATGGGAGGATTCGGCATTTTTTATTTTTACTGTTATTAAAACCAATGGTTATTATTCTGCAATCGGTTTGGTTTTTATTGCTCAATTATTTTACATTGAACACACTGATAGCAGCCTGGTTTCGATTCAGATTGCGTTGAAAACGAGCTCTCGGATGCAAATGGCTTTCGTCATAGACACGCGACGAGCGTTGAAAGCGAACTGAAAGTTTTTAATAATATTTATGGTGTTATAAGGGGCGCTCTGGCTCTTCGAAGATCTGAAGAACGGAACTCGGAGAGAGATCGCTCTGATCTCACGATCGGCGATCCACGCACGCATCATTTCAATTCTCCGGTTCCATATGGTGAAAATGTTTGCACAGTCTTTCCACCGTTTGTTTGATTACTAATCCCCCTCATTCGATGCCCTTACCCCTTTTTTACATATATTTATTTTGTTTCTCGATTCTAATAAGCTCCCAAAGATCAAATGTCATGCGGAAAGGTTCTGGATATAGTAGAATCCAATCGGAATTTGTGGAGAAAATCAAAGAGCAAAATAACTGGGGAGCTCTGGGAATGGGATTCAGTTGCATTTTTAATAAATTATATTATTAATGGATACCTTTTGCCTCTGACCTAAAAGTGGTTTACCAAATCGAAGGAAATAAGTATTTACACAGATGTTACGGCAATTTAGATGAGCTCAATTGTATACGAATGTATAAATTTACAAAATTGGCATTCATATGAATGACAACTGAATATGAATGACAGAATTTAACCATTTAATCGTCAAGAGGTTCTTTTTAAGTGTAAAAATATAATCTGTTGAAATATGAATGAAATATAATTACTCATATTCATATTCAGAATAAAAAAAAACAATTGAAAAAATATATGCTCACTAGTTTTGTTTATTTGATAAAACAATTCCATTTACGTATAACACAAATTTTGGGGATAACTGACTTTTCCCGGTTGTGGCTAGTAAATTTCAATGCTTCATCCAAATGGAACTCACCGCATCCTCTGGTTTTTCCTCACTGGAAAGGCAGCACTTTGGAGAAGCGGCACAGCCATTGTTATTGTTATTGTTATTGTTGTTATTATTGTAGTGGCCAAGCGAATTGGCACATCGGGTAAACATTTTTCCACAAACGAAACGAACTCTTGGCAGGTGAAAAGAAAGCGGGAGCCCCGACACAATGTACTCTTTGATAATTAAACAAGTGAGAGTTTTTCGAACCACAGCAAACGCACAGCAGCACCACAGCTGAAAAGCAAAGTCAACCGCCAAAAACGATGAACTTTCTCGCTGAAGCTCAAAACTGCAACTGAAATTCCACGGACTGCAGGCAGGTACAAAAGGCCAGGCGAATACGCTGGCACTTGGCAAAGATAGAGCTTAATTTGGGTGGAGCAGAGGCACTGGTGGTCCACATAGAAAAACTTGTTCATGGAGCTATTTAGCTAATAAACTCTCCTCTTAGAAAGACTTAAATTTGTTTTGTTTTTATTGCACACACAGCTAAGTACATAAACTTTTATGCATGAGTAAATAATGAAATTTAGTGGGAATTTACGGAAATAAAATAACCTTCACAACAGCCTAAGCCACAATTTCTAGAGCAATCTTCTTTTGTACCAAACATGTTATCTTAATTATACTTGCAATTTCTTATATAATAAGTTTTAAATAGACTTTGCACCTAACAATATTAATGTATAAGAAGAGCAACAGTAATTTACTTAGCAATCACTAATGTTGATTAAAGTAATTCCGTCGAGCTAACACGTAATGCAATGACATATAAAAGCAATAACCATTAAAACCAAGTGTTGCTGTATGGAAAATAAATTACAGGCAAAAAAGGGCTTAGAAAGTAAAAAAAAAATTAAATTAAAAATACATCAAAGAAAATTAATTGTCTATCTTTATACAAGTATGTAGTTATCATATTAAACTGCAATGTTTAGAGTTTAATTACAGGTGATCTGACGGATAACTAGACGCTGAATAAAATGGTATCATTTAGTAACATAAATATTTATTTCAATTTTGTTCGGTGTTGATCTTTCGCAGAAATGTGATTCATAAAGAAAAAACAATGTCAGGGAAAAAGATACTTGGACAAGTTATCAGTGTGGTCATTCAACCTGCAAGTGATGCCGGGTTGTTGACCAAGTTTTCAACTACTTTTGGCCAGCTAAAAAGTGGCCCATTCGAGTTCATGTCTCAAGCCCGACTTGTTTACAACGCGATGGTACCAGTTTAGTTGCCTCGGAAGACTTTCTTTCTAATTTGAACCTGTTTCAGCAAAAGCACTAACATTTGTTGTGGTAACCAGTTGTTATCAAGGAAATAGTGGCTGTTGCATAAGACACTTTTAGGAGTCGACAATTGTTTTAAAAGAGGTAGCGATTATTTGTAATTGAAGAAAGTCTTGTAGCAGTAAAAAACCATTTTAAATTATAGTTTCAATCCCATTTCCCACTACAAGGATGACTAATATACATTAGGAAGAATATATGATTCAACAAGTTGATATATGTTAGAATGTACCAAACTCAATTAAAAAACCATATATTTATTTATTTAACATTTTTTTTATAAAAGTTATTATGCTTGTGTTCTCGGAAAAGCTTTAAAAATAGAAAAATGCAAGCTCTGCGGTTATATGCACATGTGTAGAAAAAAATTCTGTCGAATCAACAATTTTTAAAAAGTTCTTACTATAACTTATATATGGTATAGCGCCTCGACAATCTGGTTAATTGAAACCTGTACATACATATAATCTTATCAATTGCCTGCATACATTATTAAGTTTGAGCGAATTTGATGCTTTTTTGGGTAGTCAAGTGCAAATTTAATTGGGTTAAGAACCACACTCGTAGTGCAAGATAAGATTAGGATATGAACTCTGGTATTACGTGCTTTCCCATCCATACGGAAAAACATACAGTGAGTATTAGAAAGGGCGTAAAAAGTAAACAATGATTGTAGAACCAAATGGAATGTATCTGCTCGAATTGTCTGACAACCAACGGCTGTTTAAACAGAGTGATAAATTGAGCAATATTTCATAGCTGCATCCAACTTTTTCGGCGCACTTGTTTAAATAAAGTTAGAGAAATTTTCAGTTTTCTAGTTGTGTTTTTTTTTCTGCTTTTTAGGACAGGGCCATATATATTGTACTCACCGTTTTTTGACGCTTTTTACTGCTTTCTGGCAATTCGCTCATTATTGTTTTTAAAGAATTTAACTATGACTATGACCCACTAAAAAACACGTCCTCTTGCGAAGCAGTTGCAAACAATTGTGTGAAAAATAACACTTCGAATCGAATTTTGACCCAATCGATGAATGAAACGAGCCACGAAAGCAGTTTTTGGAAGTTTTTTCAGTTGCTACATATGTGTATCATTCGCGGCGGCTAAACTATAGCACTAATTTTTACAAATCCTACTTTTAATTCAACCAAATCTCCAAAATATGTCTATGAAAAAAGTTATTATTTCTAATTCACACGCACACGAATGCTAACGCATACCATCACTTCAAACGGCGCTCAGCTGATTAGAGATGGAAGAACTGTCGATAGTTAAGCGATGGATTGGCTCGAAGCTTTAATTATACCCTTGCAGAGGGTATTATAATTTCAGTTAGAAGTTTGCAACGCCGCGAAGGCGAATATATATACTATTCTTGATCAGCATTACGATCTGAATCCAACTAAAAATTGTATAATAATGGAAAAGAAGCTAGCTTCGGCTAGCCGAATCTCAAAAACTTCAAATTGAGTTTTGACTGAAACTTTTGGCTGGGATGTAAATTTTCATAAAATAAAGCTTTTTAAAACTCGATGTTAAATTATGTGGACATTTTATTTATTTAAATAAAATATCTATCTATATTCCATCTGCTAAGGTTTGTTTTGAATGTACATACGTTTATTGCAAATACATCTGATAAATAAATCATTAGGACTAGGCTTACAACTAGGGAGTGTCTACGATCTAATACGGTGGCGGTTGATACTGCTGCTGCTGGCCCATCATGTTCTGCCGCTGCAGCTGGGCGACCAGGTTCGGCGTTTGCTGCTGGTTCATGCTCTGCTGCTGCGGCACCATCCCTCCGCCGCCGCCCCCACCAACCGCTCCGCCCGGCTGCTGCGGACCGGATCCCATTCCCCCACCGGCGCCGCCGCCCATGCCCTGCATCTGCATCATTTGCTGGTGCCTCAATTGCTGTTGTTGCTGCTGCTGTTGCTGGAACTGTTGCTGGGTGTTCAGGACGCCCGGTTTGCCGCCGCCCGCCGGCTGTTGACGGGCGTACGGCGGCACCTGACCGACCACGCCGCCCGGTCCGGGACCCATCATGTTGGACATGGTAACGTTGGGCGCCTGGTTCATGTACTGGTTTCGGTTGCCGGCCATCATGCCGCCGGGAACAACACGTTGTTGCTGCTGCTGTTGTTGCTGTTGCTGCTGGGCAGCCGCTGCCACGGCCATGAAGTCGGGATTGTTGCGATTCGCTTGCTGCATCTGCGGATTGAAGTTGCCCATCATGTTTGCCTGCTGTTGCTGCTGCTGATTCGGCGCCATGCCCACGCCCACTCCGACGCCAACGCCTCCGCCGCCTCCCTGTTGCTGCATGCCCTGCTGCTGTTGTTGCTGCTGCTGCTGGTACTGATTCTGGAAGTTCTGGAACTGGACCTGCTGCTGGGGCTGTTGCTGCGGCTGCTGTTGCATTATGCCCTGCTGCGGCATGCCGCCCATCCCGATGTTGGGATTGTTGCCGGCGCCTCCAACGCCAACGCCGACACCCACGCCAACGCCAACACCGTTGCCTCCTTGAGCGCCTCCGGCCTGCATCATTTGATTGGCATTCGGATTGACCATGCCCACCATATTCTGCGGCATCTGTTGCTGCATCATTGGATTCTGCGGCATGCCCTGGCCACCCATGTTCATCTGGTTCATCTGATTGGGCGCCATACCGGGTCGCATGTTGCCGCCACGCATAAATTGCTGCTGTTGCTGCTGATTCGGATTCATCTGTTGTTGCTGGGCGTTCTGTTGCTGCTGCTGTTGCATGGCATTGAAGGCGGCAACGGACTGCGGGTTCTGTTGCGGGTTCATCTGCTGCTGTCGCATCTGGTTGGGATTCATCTGCTGCTGCGGACCCGGCTGTTGTTGTGACGGTTGCGGTTGCTGCTGCATCGGATTGAAACCACCGCCGGGTCCCTGTTGAGCTTGTTGCTGCTGGAATGGCTGTCGTTGGCGCAGCATCTGAGACAAAGCCTGCTTGGAGTTGGAGTTGAGCGGCGGTCTCTCAATACGATTTGCTGTTGAAGTTGATACAATTTAATATTTTAGTTCTATTTGACTTTAAATTCCGACTTACATTGCATGTTCTGCTGATGCGGAGCATATTGATTGTGGTACGGCTGCGGCGGTTGCTGTTGCTGCTGGGCGTTGTGCCACTGCTGCTGCTGGCCAGGCATGCCCGATGGCCCAGCTCCACCGCCACCAGGTCCCTGCTGCATGAAGTTCATCTGGGGATTCTGCTGCCCATTGCCACCGCCCACATTCAACTGCTGCTGCAGCGGATTGTTGTTCATTTGCTGCATGTGCTGCTGTTGCTGCATCATGGCATTCGGCTGCATCATGTTGTTCGGGTTTTGTGCGAACTGCTGCATGTTCATCTGTGGAAGAAGTTGTTTTAGTTTCATTTCAGGCAGGCTTAAAGAAATTTAAAGGAATGGTAGAGCACCTAGAAAAGTTCTAATACATAAATTAACAAATTTTTGAATTTTATTGCAGTTGCTTTGTTCATAGCTGGTTGCTTTGTTTTCTTTTTTAGTTAAGCCAAATTGTTACTTAATGGATTGTTACTTTTGATATAGAAATTAGGAATTAATATTCATAACATTAGTACTGCTAGGGTAACCCAAATCTTTCAATTTCTTACCGGCATGTTCATTTGCATCTGCCCCATTGGATTGGGTTGCATTTGCTGCTGTTGCATGTGTTGCTGTTGCTGTTGCTGTTGTTGCTGCTGCTGTTGCATTTGCTGTTGCTGTACGTTTTGTGCCTGCTGCGGCTGTGGCGCCAGCTGAGGCTGCTGCTGTTGGGTGTTTACCACCGGTGGCGTCTTCGGGTTCTTCGGCTTCCGTTTCCGCGTGGTCGTTCCCTTGCCGCGACCTCTTCCTGTGCCACCCACCACAGCACTGGGAGACTGATCCACCGACGAGGGCGTATCGGCCTTCATTTCATCCTTCTGTAAAGTGAAAGAAATTGTTTCAAAAAAGAACTGATAGTAGATAAGAAATAAGCACTTACTATGCAAATCTTCTCTGGCACGGGCTCAATATCTTCAGGAGGTAGCGGTAATGGCTCATAGTAGTAGCTACTAGGCTTCACCAGGCTGTGCGTGTGGTATTTTAGGTTGCGATGAGCCTCCTCGTAGGTTAGAGGCTTCCTCTCCAGCTTCACAGCACCAAACCACACCCAAGAAAGTGGAGCTGGGTTCTTGTGGCCTTCTAGGATGTCCCACACACTTATGCGCTGCTTGTCCGAAATGCGCAATTGTTTCTTGTCCATCTCGCAGATTTTGTTGCCCTTGCTGTCCATTCCAGCGTGTTCACAGGCGATGACCTAAAGAAAAAAGGTTCATTAGTTTTCCAATGGATCTTATAATTGTAAAAATATTCACCTCAGTGGGTTGCTTGTAGAGAGGAAGAAGCTGGCGGATAACTCGTATTGAAGCATTGTTTTTCTCCCCAATTTCCTTCTTCAGCTTCTTCATGAGGTTCATGTAGTGCCTTTCGTCGTCAGAAACAAGTGTGGAATGAACCAAAGTGGCCAACATGTCCACAACGGTGGTAAAGAGCTCTCGATTGCAGCTGAGGTCCACGACACCCTGGCAAACCAATTGGGCCAATAAAATCGCCCAATCTGTAGTGGGTGTACTGTTCTTCTGGATGGCCTCGAACATGCCCCCCCACCAGCGAAAAGCGCAGTTGTAGAGCATCCAGGATCTCCTCGCGTGCTTGCGGCTCATCAATACCACCAATTGTGTCCAGCTGAAAAGGAAAATGTTATAAGCAACTTTAGCTTTAAGTTGGCAAATCAAAACTCACCTCAGCAAATGACTGCAGACATTGGGACAGCTGGGCATATAGGGAAACCAACAAGTTCTCCTTGTACTCATCCTGGCCTTTGAGGCATGTCAGGATGAGTCCCAGGAAAGGCTGGTAATTGAGTGGCATCTTCTTGTTGCGCGCGGCCACATTCCCCAAGCCGTAGCTATTGCTGCTGTGACAACTGTTGCTCTTCTCGCGCTCATCGCCGCTGCCCGAACTATTGCAATCGGATTTGGACACTTTGGAGAAATAGTTCATGCTCTCGAGGACCTGGCCAGCCACTCGCAGAATCCTGCCCTGCACGGCCGGCGTTAGTTTGGCAATTAGTGGAGCCACCAGCCAAGTGGACGGTTTCGGTTTGTGCGTCGCCTTCACGGCACCCGGCAGTACGACCTCCTCCATGTGGAAGACATCGATGGCCGCTCGAGCCACAGTGTCCAGCCAGATGTTCAACTCCGCGTTGTTGCTCAGCGATTGTCGGTACATGAGCTGCAGATCCAACCACGAAATGCGCAACGTCCACTGGCCAAGATTCTCCAGAATGCGCACGATCATTGAACGCTGGTCCAGCTCAGAAATGATTTTAAACTCCGCCTCCGGATAGCAGATCATGTGCAGCACACGCTGCGCCTGTTTGGCCGTGAGCATCTCATCGATTATCATATCGCACAGCTGCTCGGCGTTCTTGAGGCACCTCTCCAGGACGTGCTCCTGCGCGCAGATCTGCTTCAGCACAGCCTGGGCGAATTCCAGCAGTGAGACCTGCTCCATTCCTCCGACCGATGGCTGTTGCAGAGCTTCCGGTTCGCTTGTTAAGCTGCTGCCCAACTGAAGATCACTGGTGCCCAGGATCTGGCTGAGGTCGGCAGGTCTTTGTTCGTTGCTTTTTGGCGTGCTGCCCGGATGAACTGGAGTGTTGAAGCCACTGCGCTTGCCACTGCCAAAAGCGCCGCCCAATCCTCCGGAGGAGGAGGATCCGCTGCCAGCAGCCAATGGAGTCTTGAGCGCTGCATTGTCCACCACAATGAGGATTGCCTTGAGCACGGCCAGCACAGCAGCGATGGGTATGGTCTTATGTGCACCCACCAGCAGATGACGATCGCAGCTCAGCCGGATACTAAAATCATTGCCCACGGCGTGCAGTGGATTCGGGGAGGTGCTGACGGAATACATACCAGGTTGCGGGATCTCCAGGGTCTTAAATAGCTTCAGCACCAGGTGGCAAGTCAGTCGAGCTCCTGCCTCCGCATCTACGCTCAATTCAGCTCCGCCAGCGCTCACCGATCTCGCCAACGTGGGCAAAGCAAACTTGCTAACAAAATCCGCCAGCGAGAAGCAGTGTCTGGCCACCAAGATGCACACGAAGACGGCCAGGGCATTGTGCGTCTTTCCCTGGCCAATGTCCACCTGGCCACCCAGATGCGGATATCTTGGGCTCTTGCTCCCGCTGCACAGACTCTGCAGTGCGGCGATCCACTCCTCGGAAAGGACATTGCAGCTGGCGGTCAGTTCGGCACACGCCAAAGCCACATCGTTTAGTCGCTCGTTGTCAGTCTCTCGACAAACAGCAATCAAGGCGTTGGACACAAAGCTGTAGACGTTCGCGGACGACTCTTTTAGTGTTCCCAGCCAATGGGGATCCAATTTTCCACCTCTTCTGGGAGCCATAAACAACTCCTGCAACAATTGGGGATTATATCCTTGCGGTGGTAGGCTAAAATAAAGAGTAGGCATCCGAAATTGTATTACTTTCATAGAATAATGCATGATCCAAACTCACCTCAACTGCTCTGGTGTATTAAAGATATCCTTAAACTTATTAATGCACTGCAGCTGTTGATAGTACTCCGTGGACTGCTCCTTGCCCTGCAACAGAACGCAGGACTCATGCAAGTCGCTTAGGTAGGCGATAATACATCGCTCCGCCGATGAGCATTCGCTGGGATTGGAAACATGACGGATAGTGCGACAGACTCCGTCAAAAACAGACAGCGTTTGCTCTGGCGAAAGGAGTAGGCAACTGTGGTATCTACGCAGGATGCTAACAATGTACAGAGCCAACGAGGTAGTGTAACTGCGCACCAGGTTCGACTTCTTCGACTGCAACTGGAGCTCCACCTCAGGCAACTCCTTCAGAAGGCTGTCGCACAATTCCAGCAGACTGTAGATATTGAGAGCCAGTTCCATAAGGTCAAACAGGAAAGCCACATGCTCCTGCACCGGCAAATAGTTGTTGTTTCCCAAGGCGAAGCCGTTCAGTTGTTCCAGCACATTGGCCGCACATTGAGCGGTGACCACATGCTGATCAAAATATGCCATCTGCTGGCACTTGGAGGTGGTGGCCTCGAAGTTAAATTCATTGCGCGAATGCTTCTTCACATGTCCAGCCGCAGCCACATCAATGCTAAACTTTTTGGTAAATAGTTTGCCAATCTCCTTGGACATCTTCTTCACGGCATGCTTTTTCTCATCCCTCTCCTTGCCCACTCCAAACAGCAGGATGTACCGCTGGTTGCTCTCGCTGCTGTAGCTGCTCATGCTGGGATCATCTTGTGGAATGGGGAAATGCTTCGTGTAAACGTAGTGCCGGGATATACTGCCACCGGTGGTGGTTTCGCCATCGCCTGGCGGCCCAATCTTGGGACTGTCTGGTGCCTCGTGCTGCTGTCCCTTCTCCTTGATGTTCTGCACCAGCTTGTCCAGATCATCGTCCACATTCGAGTCGTCGAACTCGTTGTGCTTGAAATCAATGCCCCCGCCGAAACCATCATCATCGAATCCGTGCGTCGTCGTCGGTGGCGGAGCCGGCGGCGGTGGCGATGTCTTTGTGGCCGTGGCTCCCGATTTAATTACTAGCACGGATTCCAGAAGGAGATCCCCCCGTGAAATTAGCGTGTGCATGTAGGCATTGTGTGAGAAGACATCGTGACGGATCAAAGCACTAAACAACTGGACGAGATTGGTGAACTCGGTGCGCTGCTGGCTGCTACTATTGTGTTCATCCAAAACGGGAGCATCGTGGTCGAGGAAGTGCATCAGAACGTGCTGAAAGACGGGCAGGCCGTCAATCAAGCCGGCGCCCGATGCCAAAGAGTCCTTATCATCCTTATCGCTGGACTGCTGATCTGCCGGAGTGCTGGTCACGTCAATTTGGCGCTTATCCAAAAGAATGGCCACCACCATGGCTCGGTGTTCACCCCAGCGTTGTCCGGACACAGCCCATTCGCACAGGATACGCACCGTGTCCTTGTCCTGTTTCGGTTCGTACGCAGGACGCGGTTCCAATTGATCCTCCTCCCGCCGGCGACTGGTCGTTGGACTGGGGAATATATGTGCGTAGAGCGTGTCGATGCTGTTGTTGTGTTCCATTCGATCGAAGCAGTGCGTGTCCAGGTGATCCAGCGTGGCCAGCACACCGGTGTAGTGATTTTTGCCAGCACTTCGCCACTTGGCGGCGAACCAGCGCTGCTCAGCGTGCTGAGTGCGCAGCACTATGTCCGATTCAGCGGCACGCAATTGCCGCCGGATCTCTTGATTCGTTCGGGGACAGCGCGACGGCATCGGCAGGACTGAGGGCGCAAGAGGCAGATGATCCAAGGGACTGCCCAGCAGCGAGGAAGGTGCCCGGTGCGCAGCTATCCCACTCCAGACCAATGCAGTTGGGCACTCTATCGTAACGATCTGCAGGATTGTGCTTAAATAAAGCACAATATCTCGGTGGTGGGGACAACTCATCTGCTCCTGCAACGCCAGCTCGTAGGGATCATGTTGCAGCTTATGCTCATCCAACTCCTTAATGGCCTGCTGCTCCACCACTGTGATAAGTAGCTGAGCCAACTTCTTCGACACTATGTACGCCATCTTCCGGCAGAGACGTTCCGACTGCACAAAATCGTGCATGTACTGAAGCGCAAAGCTGAGCACCAGCTTTTTCAGTGGCTCGTCGAAACTTGCCTGGGTGCGCATTTTATCCAGCAGGTCGAGGATCCAGTTGAGAAACTCCTGCCGGTCCAACAGCGATTCCTCGTACATGTACTTGCTCAGCTGATGGCAGTACTTCCAATACTTTAGTGCATTGCGACTGTCTTCGAACTGGCTTCCGATTCCAGATATGGTAGAGCCTGGGGGCACAACAGCTCCTGCACCAGCAGCGCCTCCGACCACAGATGATCCCGGTCCGCCGACCACTCCTCCGAGACTTCCTGTCGTCGGCATGACACTGCCCGAGCCCACTCCGCCGCCAGGTGCTCCCTGCTGTCCGTTTGCAGGACTGTGAATCGGTGGCAGGGGACTGGCCATACTGGGCACAGGAATTACATTCGATGGAGCACTGCTGGCAGTCACGGAATTAATAGAGCTGCTTCCAGAGGTCCCATTAGTGGTAGAATTATTACCGGAGGCAGTCAGGCTCCCCGCAGTGCCTCCATTTGCAGAAGACTTTTCGTGGCCTTTAAAAACACGGTGTTAAACGAAGATTAATGATGATAAAAGCATTCTTACTCTGCTGATAGTATTCCTGCAGCTTTGGCAGCAGCTCCTTCATGAACTTGATCATGTTGCCGGTCCACTCAGCGGCCGGATCGTAAATGCTGCGTTTTTTGTTCTTTGACTCGGTAAAACTGACCGTATAGGCGGCACTCAGTTTGATGAACCAAGTGGCTCGTTGCATGTTCACCTGGTTCTCGCACAGCAATATAAAGATCTCTTCCTTCTTATTGAACGACGGAGCTCGTTTGGCTAGGCTGAGCAAAGGTTTATTGCCAGCGAGGTCCTTGAACCAGGCGTCCACAGTGCACTTGCGTCGCGGCGACACGGGCCAGAAGTTGTCCTTGCAGTTGATCTGCTGCTTCTTGCGCCCCGTGTCCGGTAGGGTCATCAGTTCCTCCTTCTTAGCCAGAACGCCGCTAAAGAAGGCGCTTACCTTACTGGCGTTCACATTCGAGTTGTGGGCCGTCCCGAATTCATCAGAAAGCGGCGGCGTCGTCGTAAAGCCGTGCTTCACATTCGTGGGCGTCAACTCGTCCTCCCGCTGCTTCGCGTCCTGCGGATAGATGTCCGGCGGTCCCAGGCGGGTGCGCTTTAGTGGACGCTTCTCCTGCAGCATGGACAGCATCTTGGCGGCCCTCTAGTTGCGTCTTCAACAAGGGTTTTCTCTGCGAATTTTCGTTTTTCCTCTGTTCGCCAACAAACAAGAATATAAATAATAGTGATGGGGTGAAAATAATGCGATATGCGACCTGCCATCGATAGTTCGATAAGAACCCGCGTGAGAGTTGTCACAAGTATCGGATTCAAATTGAAGGTACCAAATGATTTTATTTATTGATGATTCATTTATTTATTCTTTGAAATTATCCACTATCCGCATTATCCACTATTATAGTAAACAAATTTCATTGAGATATATATTTTTTTTTAATTATGCAGTGAAAAAGTTTGAATACATCGGGGTGCAATAACAAAAGAATACCACTCAAAGTGGTAAGATCACGAATAAAGCTGTATATAAGAAATATTAATTTAGTTTGGTTTTTTGGTAATGATGTAAGATTCATTCGTTGTGGTACGAATAAGGCCTCATACAGCTTGGCGATCGAATTCTGCCTCATCGGCATAAAAGTGCCCCCCGCTGGTCATTCCCTCGCTGCACTCAAAGTTTAAACTGAGCATTTTTACAGGAAATTCATGCGGCACCTAAAAACACGTGGCACTCAATAAAGGACTTTTGTATAAAGCGTAACAGCGGATTACTCACCCGCTCCATGATGTCATGCCTGATGTCAGTGGCCGCAGCAAAAAGCTCCAGAGGTTGGTGAACTGTGCGTCTGGACAAACTGCCGAGAGTATCCAGAACGAAGGCGTCTGTGATGCCAGGGCAAAAGCAGATGTTTAGATACCGCAGCCGCTCATTGTTGGCCACCAGCAGGGAGAGCTGTGTTTCTCCAATTTCTCGCGCCGCCTGTAGGGAAAGGCACTCCAGTTGCCGCAACTCTGACAAATGACGAACACAAAGGTCATCACGTGGCTTGCAAACCAGCCATCGGAGTGCCTTCAGAACACTGATGTACTGCGCCTGCTCTTCGTCAACCCAACGTTTTCGATGCAAGATGAGGTACTCCAGCTGCGTGGAGCACTGGCTTTTCGCCAGTGCCTTGAAAAAGGCGCGTCTTCAGCTCCTCCGGGCAGTATATTTGCAGGTACTTGAGGTTCGCAAACTGCGGCAGGATTAAAAGATCGGCGTCACAGTCGTGAAACGTCAGCTTCTCCAACTGGCGACAATTTGTAGTCAGCATCCTAAGATTGCTTGTGACCAGAAAGCGTTTGGCGTTGCGCAGCTGGAGGCAACGTAGTTGCCGCATGGACTTTACAATTGTGGCAAACTCTGAGGAGGTCACCTCATCGTACAAGCCAAGCTCAATCATTTCGCTGAAGTGACGCACTTCTTGTACTGTAAAAAAAAAGACGATTAGATTAATTACTTCAAATTAGAAAGGAATAGGATTTATTACACTCCCTGCGATCAAAGCTCTCCAGACTTAAGCTGTTAACACGCGGCAGGTGTATTCGTATGCCCCTGATTAGGTCCTTGCTAGTGCTCTTGTAGTTGCGCACATGCACCTTCCTTAGAGAACTAATCCTCAAGAGATAAGGCTGCGCGCGGGCCACCGTAGCATTGAATATGGAGATCTCCTCTAATCTGTAGCAATGTCTGCTGATCAACGGCAGCAATTGCAGTGGATGGTCATCGTCGAAATGGGACTCCAAGGTACGAATACGACCACCGCACAGCCACAAAAATGTGTGCCAATCTTCCAAAGTCCTTAGATTCGTGTCCTTATCAATGACTGTCTGGAAATGATGGCGGTGCAGGTAGAGGAAGGCATCCCGAAAAAGGCGACAACAGCGGGCCAAGTGCAACTGGTCCTCCAAGCTAAGGAGCTTAAAAATGTATAATATACAACTGGGATCCAAGTCCAAGATATTGGTAATGCGAGCCATTATTGGCTGGCCTTTGTCATTGTCTTGATTTGTCACAGGTAAAATATGATTATATGAATAAAGGCAGTTGATTGCTTTAATTTTAACATGGAAAAATCACCGCCAAGTCGGTTAGTTCTATTTATTTACTAATTGAGTATGTCAGTGCTGCCAATTAATTAAGCTGTTTTGACGGGAAAAAGCTTATAGGTGTTAGAACAAAGCGTACTGTGCCTAATCAAAATGATCAAAACCAACCGAGCCTTAGTAAAATTTCAAAATTACTATAATAAGATATTTCAAAAAAAGCGTAAAAAAAAGCATAGTTTTAGTATTATTATTATTATATTTATTAAAACCTATAAGTGCCGCAGTTTTGTCATCACTGGTATCTGCCCAAAAGCCCTAAAGTTCTGAAGGTTATCGATCACCTATCGATATCCCCCCCTGGAGCGAAGCCAACTTTGCTTTGTTGGGGATGCAAAATGCGAATGGCACTCGAAGAAGAAGCAGCAGAGGGAGGAATTTTAACAAATTACCAAGGAAAAAGGCAAGAAACGGGCGAAAAAAGCAGTGTGTGTGCTTTGGCAAGTGCAAAACTCCTCATCACACGCACACACACACCGCACGCGCGCAAACACACCGACATCGGGGGGCAGGGATTAACACAATTCGACCGAGGAGACCAGGAGGAAAAAACCCCAGCTTAGATGATGAGCAGCAGAACGCAGGACGCGGACGGTGCCTCGATCAGATTCAGCGACCACACACTGGACAAGGCCACCAAAGCGAAGGTGACGTTGGAGAACTACTACAGCAACCTGGTGACGCAGTATGGTGAGCGAAAGCAGCGCCTGGCAAAGCTGGAGGCGCAATTGAAGGACGAAAGTCTGTCAGAGGCGCAACGCCAGGAGAAGCGGTTGCAACATGCCCAAAAAGAGACGGAATACCTTCGCCTCAAGCGATTGCGCCTCGGCGTCGAAGATTTCGAGGCTCTGAAAGTCATTGGACGCGGTGCTTTCGGTGAAGTGCGACTTGTGCAAAAAAAGGACACGGGACATGTGTACGCCATGAAAGTGCTGCGCAAGGCCGATATGCTGGAAAAGGAGCAGGTGGCCCATGTACGTGCCGAACGAGATGTCCTCGTCGAGGCCGATCATCAGTGGGTGGTCAAGATGTACTATAGCTTCCAGGTGAGTGACGAATGAACGTCAGCTGCAACAACAACAACAACAATAAGACAAGAGGTGAGGGAATGGAGAAGAAAGCGGGGCTGGCAGCGCGCATAACAAAAGAATTGTGTTAAAACACGGACAAAAAATCAATAAACCAATACAAGTGCAAATGCCAAAAGCGCCTTGCCAATCATATGGTCACGTCTCTCTCTCGCTCTCCCCTTTCTCTCTTTTGCTGCGGGCCGCCTTTGTTGTTGTTTTTCTCAGTTCTCTTTTCTCCACTTATCCTCGGTGAAAGTTCTTGCTACAGGCAAACCTGCCAAAAATGAATGCTTGTTATTTGTTTATTTCTAATATTTATCTTTATATCGAATGGTTAGATAAAGTACACTGAGGTAACAATAAGGAGTCGAGCATCTCGCAAAAACTTTCAACAACGGCAGATAACAGACACGTTCGAAAAAAAAACAGAACCAAAATGTATATATTCCTTGCATTTAAAGGAGCTGTGTATATCTGGCTACATTCTTAGTTAGCAACAAAAAAGAGTTGATATAAACACAAGTGTAGATATTTTTTATGAGTAAGGAAAGCATTACTCGATTTCAATAAATTTGTGATCCTATAATTATAGCATTTCCCCCCAACAATAAAGTAGTTACACATATCTTGTTTGTACAGAGAAACCTTTGCGAAAGCGTTTATACAATGTTTAATACAAGCTATTCAAAAAAATATGCATTTTATCCTTGCACTAGAAATAAATAGTACTCAAATGTTAAAGGATTTATTGCACTACAACATTTTACTCGGTTCGATAAATTGAAAAGTAAACATTTTTCTTGTTGACTAACTCCACAGGATCAGGTCAATTTATATTTGATAATGGAGTTCTTGCCTGGTGGTGATATGATGACGCTTTTGATGAAGAAGGACACACTATCCGAGGAAGGCACACAGTTCTATATCAGTGAGACGGCATTGGCGATCGATTCGATTCACAAACTTGGTTTCATACACAGGGATATTAAGCCAGATAACTTGCTGCTGGATGCGCGAGGGCACCTCAAGGTGAGTTGTTACAACTTTGTTATTTGTCATGTTTACTTACTATATTTTAATTAAAGCTCTCGGACTTTGGACTCTGCACTGGCCTCAAGAAGTCACATCGAACAGACTTTTATCGGGACTTGTCGCAGGCGAAACCATCCGATTTTATTGGCACTTGTGCTAGGTAAGTGAACCTCGTTGTCTGTTTTGGACTGGCCTTTCAATCGAAATGTCTCTTGCAGTCCGATGGACTCAAAACGTCGAGCTGAGTCGTGGAAGAGAAACCGACGCGCCCTCGCCTACAGCACGGTGGGAACGCCGGATTATATTGCACCCGAAGTATTCCTGCAGACTGGCTACGGACCCGCCTGCGATTGGTGGTCCTTGGGCGTCATCATGTACGAAATGCTGATGGGCTATCCGCCATTCTGCTCGGACAATCCACAGGACACCTACCGCAAGGTGATGAACTGGCGAGAGACGCTTATATTCCCGCCAGAAATCCCCATTTCGGAGGAGGCCAAGGATACGATCATCAACTTTTGCTGCGAGGCTGATCGACGTTTGGGTTCCCAGCGGGGTCTCGAGGATCTGAAGTCGGTGCCGTTCTTCCGGGGAGTGGATTGGGAGCACATACGCGAACGTCCCGCGGCCATACCCGTTGAGGTGCGCTCCATCGACGATACGTCCAATTTCGACGAGTTTCCCGATGTCTCGCTGGAGATACGTAAGCATGCTCTCAACATTAAAGAGAAACAAAATGTTAAATATGAACGATTGCAGCATCGGCGCCCATACCGCAGGGCGGTGAGATCGCCAAGGACTGGGTCTTTATCAACTACACGTACAAGCGATTCGAGGTGCGAAACTTGGAGTGAAGCTCGAGGAGGAGCTGGAGCAGGAATCAGATTAACCAGATCCGGAGCAGGAGCAGAAGCAGCTTGAACGTTGCCGCACTTTGCCACCCATTTTATCACCACCACCACAGCCGTCGTCTCTCTAACACCATCACCACCAAGAGCATTCTCCACGCTAAACGAAAACCCCAATTTCCTTTTTGAATGTCTTACCTACATGTGTATTTAAATACTAGCTAACATTTGTGATTCCAAACAAAAAGATGAATATGAAAACGCGAACAAACGATGTATTGTATGTAAAAAAGTTTTGCTTAAAGCGTCACCCGCGCCTCGGGTTAGGTTAAACGCTAAACTAATCCTCCCCATGTCCTTCCATTGGCTTTGTTCAAATCCTAATCTTAACCGTTTAAACGTTGTGTTTGTAACCCCCCATTAAGAACCCATTTGGCGATTCTTTATATGTGTATTGTTTAATTCATTGGGCAGCAGCAAAATACCCATAAATTTATTATTTAGCCAATTGAGAAATGTTATAACTTTAGGCACGTTATTTATACGTATATGTTTTGTACCAATTTATTGTGAAACAAATGTCTTTTACATAGTAAAACTGAAATCCACACAAAACGCAATCGCAAGTACGCAAAAACGAATCGAAAATCTATCACACAAATTAGTTACTAATGCCAATAGCAACAAAAAGCGAATCTAGACAGCAAAATAAACAACAGTATGTTTAAATATCGGTTTCGTTCAATGTACACCCACTGTTCCCCACCCACTTCCACGGATCCGAATATATATTTAAAAACATTCAACTGTAGCTCTTCCCGCTGGAGTTTTGAGTTCCACGTAATTGTAGTTTGTGCAAATAATGAATTATCGAACAAGTTACCGAGCTACCGCTGGCAAGTATAAATCTAATTACATAGCAAACACTCTACCCCGAGCAGTTGCCGAATGCAAACTTAAAATAATTGATAATACACCTATAAATAAATTAAACGAGTAAACAAGTTTTAAGAAATTATTTTTGGTAATAGAATATAATAATAGTAAGCATACTGATAATTCGATAATAATGCTACACAGCAACATGAAATGCAATAATAAATGAAACATGTGCATAATAACTAACATAAACATAAATAGTAGAAAGTTTTATTTTCGATGGTAAAAATTTTGGTAAATAATGCACTTAGTACTTACATTCATGGGGTGTCTCTCATTAAGTGAAGCTAAGTCTTAAAAAAGTCTTCAAATAAAAATCTGAATAAAGCAATTCTAAGAGACCCCATTTCTTCAAGCCTTCGAGACTTAATTTTTTAGGGATCGTATAACCTTACAACTATCCTTTATAACTGAAGTGTGAATCATGGATGATGTCCTTTGCGGTTTTTAAACGATGTTCTCGCACTTTATATAACCACACACCTATTGTGAGAAGGCTTATAACAAAAATTAGAAGGATGCGCAGAGCTTTGAAATGGGGTTTGATTGCTATTAAAATCGTAAGAAGATATGAAAAAGGATGTAAATTGTTGCCCAAAATGAATGAATAAATTAGTCAGCCTGAAGAAACCAGAAAGTAACACGACACAAAGGTAGGCTTTGTACATTTAAATGTATGTATATATTTTGTTGATCTCTTCTGCACTTTTCTCGCTATCTCTCTATCTGCAGTTGCGCTCCAGTTTTGATTTGTGTGTTCTGTGTGAGTGTGTCTTGCTGTGATTGTTTTTCTATCTTTTTCTTGCAGTGTAGCCGAACAGCGTTGTTTGGTTTTAATTGAATGCAACATCCGAAACCATTACAGACATGAAAATAAAGATTTCAAATTGGTTTGCCCAGGCGGAAGCCTGAAAATCGAAAGTAAATTGCTTTGCATCTGCGATGTGTCGCATGTGTGTGTAGTTTCTCTCGGTGTACGTGTGCGTGAATCGGAATATATAGCTAGTTGTTTAAAGATATCATTATATATATATATACTACATATATAAATGTATTAGCATATGGAGACTACAGACTATAAGAATTGTTACATCAGCTGGGGGCGTAGGCAAAAAACTTTACAAACGGGCGAACTTGGGGGGAAAACCCTACGAGACACATTTACACACTGCTAACAAACTGTAAATTGTTGATTTTCGATTTTCATCAATACGTTTACATTTCGATTCGATTACTGTGCGGGCATTTAATTGGAATTCGGATGCGCATTGCGTTTTCTTCGTAGTGTGGTTGTTTTTGTTTGTTTGAAATCTTTATTGGATGCTTGTAACGGGCAGTAGTATCCATAAAATTATAATGGTAAAATGTTAAAAGTTTAACTATGCGCTTAGAGTCTAATGAAAAGTGTATACATAGACGAATATGTATGGTAATTTCAGAATTTTTTATCTTCGCTTAGGTTTCTCTAGTTTTTCTTTTTCACTGTGGGTGATTGTGTGTATTTTTTTAATGGGATGTGGGGGAACTGGGTGTTTGGATGTTTTGGGTCTCTTGTTAGTTATGCTATGCGCTTTGCAACTATTATTAATTTAATTAAATTTAAATTGAATTACAAGTAATCGGTTTAGTTCTCTTTTACTTTCAAATCGTAGCTTAATTAATTCTCTACGCCTTTGCACTTGCTTTGATTTTCGCTTGCTACATTTTTCTCTTTTTTTAATTAATTTTATTTTCGTTTCGCTTGTTTTTGTTTGTTTCTTTTTTTTGCTGGCTTGCCCTACGATCAATAGTAAAATGTATATATATTTATATAGTTATATGTACGTTAAGAATTACATTAATATAGGACATAAGTCTAAGAGGATGCAGGCTTGCTAATGGGGTCGAGGGGAGCGGGGTGGGATGGGGCCGTTCAGTAAGGATTTTGGGGATACTTCTTATGATCGTATTAATTAGTAGTAAAATTTGTATGTACAATTCGTTACGTTGCTTAGGACTGATCGTCGATCAACAGCATGACCTGTTGCGTTGTCGTTTGTGGATTCCTTGTGCACTCCACCTGGTGAGCATTCCAATCCTTTCGCTGGCAGAACTCTGAACAGTACGGCGTCTTTCGGCACAGTGAGCACTCGGCCAGTGCTTCGCGGTTACAGTTGGCGCACTATTTAAAAAGTAGATTTTTATTTAGTAATGCTTTTAAATTTGCAAGGTTTTGTAAAAAAAACAAAAATACATTTATCAGAGATTTTTGAATATAATAAATCACAGGATAATAATAGTTGGGAATTGAATGTTTTAAGTTAAAGAATACATTTCTCACCCAATGGGTATTAAATATAGTTATAATGGTCTAAATTATTCAAATTGGATATTCCAATCCGAATTTTATGTGAGTTTAGGGGAAACGAGTGCCTTTCATCTTTGTATTTATATAACGTCTATGTACGAAAACCTATTGAAAATTACCTTCTTAGCCGAAATGATCTCGTTGCCATGCAGGGAGCCGGATATATTCGGGTCGTCGATGTCCGCGTGCACCTGGACACGCATCGCACTGACCGCCGCATCGCGCTCCTTTTGCAGATTCTCGATACGACGCTCATAGTGCTGCTTCATGTCGTTGAGCAGGCGCTTAAAGTCATTGGTCGCCTTGACCATGGTGCAGTAGACGTGCTCGATGTTCTTCATCGATTGACTGGTGTCCAGGACGGCGATGGAGGACCCATCGTTGATGTTTACCACAAACGTTTCCCGCTCGTAGGTGTTGCCCATCTGCGACTGGTCGACCAGTTCGGTGGAGGTGTCCAGGCTGTCGTTAAGTGCTGCCCACGGCTCATCCTTGGACGTGATGTTTTCCTCCGACAGGAACATGTTATTCTCGTCCACAACGCCCGCTGTTGCTGCGGCCACAGCGGCAGTCACATCCACACAATTATTGGCTCCACTCCCGCTTGTGTTGTTGTTGTTGGTGTTACTGTTATTGTTGTTGCTGTGATGGGCATTACGCTTGCGCTTGGGTCCAGACTCCATATCGAGATCAGTTTGATTCCGCTTCCGCCGCTTGTACGGCGTGAAGAGACGGACAGGTCCGGAAGCTAAACAAGATGAGCGTGTAAGGGGGTTAAACAAATGTTTGTCACTGGTCTAAGTGGTGCACATTGGACTCGGCATAACTGGAGAGCACCCAAGCAAGGAGTACTGACTAAGACTAATTTTAACTTTTTTATATGTCCGCAAGTTAGTTTGCTGAGCTATTGGATCGATTTAAATGATAAAAATCTTATAGCGTCATAAATTATTATTAATAGACATTTAAAGCCAAGAGCCGATTCAAATTAAAACCAATTTTCTAACTTCTTCAATCATTGTTAAATAGCTTTGCAAGTAAAATATTATAAAGTAATAAAACTACAAATTTTAAATACCTTTTGTTATGTTAACGGGGAAAATAGGTTACTTTATCAACTTTCTTTTTAATTTATAAAACAATTATACTAACAGTTTTAATTCAACTATAATTTTTTTCCCCTAAAAAAATTGCGAACGGCAAGGAATTAGTTAATTGATACTGCATTAGGGAATCCTAAATGGGCTTTTGAATTTAAGGATGATTACTACCTTGCGACTGCTCTCGAGATGTGCACGAGTTCCTTGTGCTTGTGGCGGAGTGTGTAGTAATTGTTGTTTGTCTCACCTGACTCACCTGCTTCGTCGTCGCAGCAGACCGTGCAACTGCAGTTGGTTGCGTGCGGCGTGAGCGTGCCCTCGTCGATGAGGGACTGCAGCGACTTGCCGCCATACTTGATGGAGCGCTTCCAATCCTTGCTGGATCCTCGGCCGCACACGTGCTCGAATTCACTGGGCGTGTGCCACTTGTCCTTGTACTTGACGCAGCGTCCGCGGCCGCCGGACCCCAATTTGCTGCGGTAAAGCTCGGCGCAGGTGGTTTTGCAACGGATCTGGAAGACCTCCATGTGCTGGGTGGACGGATTCTCCGACCAGCCCGATGAGCCACCTCCCGTACCGCCGCCTCCGCCACCACCGACACCACTCGCTCCACCGCCGGCGTGCTCCATAGTGGCCAAACTGTCGTGGCTATTATTACTCCCGGAGCCATCGTGGTTCAGTCCAATCGTATTGGTGGCGGTCGTATTGGTGCCCGCGCTATTGGCGCCGCCACCACCGCCGCTGGGTTGCGTCTGTTGCTGCTGGATGACGATCGTTTTAAGGTCGTTGGCCATGCTGACCGTGCTACCGGACAGATAGCCATTGTTGTCGACGCACAGCATCGGCTTGAAGTGGGGCAGCTGGTCAGGGGTGATCACATTAAAGGTGGTACCGGTTATCATCGAACCGATGGGCAGGGACACGGGCACCGAGACCACACCGCCACCGCCGCCGCCGCCTCCCGCTCCGCTCGTTCCGCCGCTAGCGCCGCCGCTGCCGCTATTATCGTTGGAGGAGGATGTGACCATGCGAACCTTGGAGTCCAACTGCATTACCATAGCGCACATATTACCACGGTCGTCACATGTATGTGGTCGAATGTCCAGCGGCCAATTGGTGGCGTTTGTGAATTATTTCGTTGCGTTTTGACCAGGAATCGGAGAGGAAAATTCGAATGTAAGTAAACAACACAGCATGGGAAAAATGAAAATCGGTATACACAACATTTGTGCGCCACAAATGCGGTGGGTGGAGGATGTGGAGGTTGATGGAAGGGCGGGGGGTGGCTCTGTGTGGCCCAGTGGGTCGCATGGAGCGCTTGTATGGCGCAAGTTGCGCCACCCCCAGGCCGCCCAGCAGTCCGTCCTAACCAACCCACCCACCCACCACCCACTTTCCACAACTGCGCAGAGCGAAGCGGAGCGGTTTTTCGAGCCAGATTCGGTTTTTCGGATTCAGATATAGAACCTGAACCACAAAACAGACTGGAACCAAAAGCCACCCCGCTACAGGCAAAGGCAAAAAAGGCGCCTCGTTTGTTGCTCCTCTTTACCTGATGGTGCTGATGATGATGATGATGTTGGTGATGGCCCGGGCTTTCTAATATCACCTCTTCTTTCACAACCTCATCGGCCAGCGCGGCCAAATCTTTCCTGTTCAGGTGCAGCTCGGTGGAGGAGTCAACCTCTTCCATATTATTGTTATGCCAGTAGTTCACTTTCACTTATTCTGCGGCCCGATGCTGTTAATTTGGTTGGATTGTTCATCGAATTGCAACTTGCAATTGGATATACGATATATATTCGACGACGTCTGACGAGACGACGGACGGTCTGTTGTTGTTGTTACTGTTGCTTGTGCTGGTGCTGCTGCCGCCGCGATCTGCGTTTTTCCCGCGCACAACACTCACATGCGATTTGCGCGCTGTTCGCGTTCTCGTTGCATTGCTCTATTTACAGATTTTGGTACAGTGCAATTTACATTTTTTAAGCTCAAACTTTACTAAATTTCGTCTCCAAAAGTTGATATCCTCCTCTTCTTCCTCATGATAACTAGAGTTGTCATGCGCGTTGCAGATATCGCGTGCTTTGGGCGCTATCGATGGACGCGTTTTGTGCTTATTAGCCCATCTCTGGATTTCATAATTCAAATGTTTAACTGTTATTTACATAAATACCGTTTCTCAGGAAATAAACAAAATTAAATATGGCTTATTATTTAATGATGCCAATAACCTAACTTTGGCTTCTAAAATCCGTATTTCTGGGATAAAAACTTGTCTTGCCTAAAAGTTCAACTATAAAACAATTATTAATAATTATTGTTTTTGTTTATATTTACTTCCCTAATAAGACCAATTCCTTTTAATATTCGTATGTATAAATTTTTAGGCATAATTAATTAAGCAGAACACAATATCTCAGTTGCTTTGGCGATTTCCCATCTCTAACGCCTGAACATCATTAACTGCACTGCGAGCAAACGGCCACACTACAAATAAAATGGTAACTACAACAACCTAGTGTTCTCTGCAGGAATTCGTTAAAACTCCCTATTTGCAGGCCGATGTTGATGTCTTTATAAGTAATTATACCCTCGTGGATCCCGAGATTTACCAGCTATGGATCGAAGGCTTCTCCTGTAAGTTGACTGCTTGGAATTCCAACTGTTTACCTTTGATATATCTCGTTCGATTTGCGCTTTCAGCCAGCGAGGCGGTGTCCTACCTCAAACAGAAAGGATTCGGCCACTCAATGGGCGCTCCCAGTGACCTGATTGCCTCCGATGTTTTGGACCACTACCGCACCTATTCCCTAATTGAGCTCTATCTCAACGCACCCTCAAAACTGATGGAGCAATCCTGCTTCCAGCTGGAGCCACATATGCGGGACTTAATCACCGAGAAGTATTATTCCATCGATGATGTGGTGGCCCGTGAGATTCTTGGCAAGAAGTTGTCTTCCCGCTACCGCAAGGATCTAGACGAGGTAGCCGAAAAGACATGCGTGAAGCTTAAGTCGGTTCGGTGAGTAGATTCATCATTTTGTAGGCAGAATATATGATAACAATTATATTTCTTATCAGACGGCAGTTTGACAATGTAAAGCGAATTTTTAAATCCGTCGAGGAAATGCCTGGTACGCTGACCAACAATATAAAACAGCATTTCTTTATATCCACCGATCTGGCAAAGTAATGTATATATATTCCTCTCATATACAATAAGCTCAAAGTTTTTATAATTTACAGAAAATATGCCTGCATTGTTTTTCTTGCCTGCCTGCGTTTTGAAACCACCAAAAAGAAACTGCAATACCTAAGTTTCAGCGATTTATTGACCTGCTCTCATGCTATCATGATCTACTGGACATACACTTACCAGGCATGACTTAGTTTTTTGAACTCATTGCATAACTTATACATTTATTGCAGCACACTGGCCCGGAATACTATGACACAGAAATGGACAAGGAGTTTCTTCTGGATTTGAGGGAACTACGTTGCCTGATGGATAAGGAAAAGGAAATTAAGCAGTAAGAATCAATTTAATTTCCAATGACTTCTTAAAAGAACCAACTTTTTTATTTAGCCTTGTCTGCATGCGCCTCAAACCCGTTCTATTAGAACGAGCATTTCATGAATTGGATGGCAATTTCCGGTAAGAGTATTTTTTAAAGTATATAAAAAGTTCATGGAGCAAATCGAGTTGTTTTACAGTTCTTACTGGCGCGCCTTGATCACAATTGCTTGCAATTTGCACCGAAACCGGGAACTTCGTGATCTATTCGTTGATCTCTGTGAGAAACTAATTGATCCTTGGCGTCAGAATGGTTGGAATCGAGAACAAGTGAACAAGTTTTTGGCTTCAATAACACAGAGCGTCTTGGAGTTGGAAATATCTAGGTGAGTACTTGTGCTGAGCCATTTGTTGGTTTTTTAATTTATCAATAAATTATACAATTGCAGAGACCAGGAAACTCGTTGTCTTTGGGATCGTTATATGCAGGTCATAACGATATGCTTGGATAAAATGTATCACATTTAAGCTGTGATTTTGTTTCAGAACAAGTTTTAATAGTTTTGTGTATTTATTTAGTTTTGTTGGATTTATGTTGTATGAATAAGAAATCTATGACCAAAATATACAAAAATATTTAATCAAAATAAAAAGGGCATTTAAAAAATTGTTGGTCTACTAAAAAAAATCACTCATTTCAAATTTTAAATGTCCCGCGCCTTATATTTTATACCTATGGTTGATGTACTCGCTAAAGCAAGGTGCTAAGTGAATCGGATTAGTAGGCGTATGTATTCGCTAGGTTAGGAGGGTGTATTGGATAGGTAAGGATGGTGCATATGATAGGTCTGTTGGAAAATTATTTGGAAATATTGGTCGAGAAGAGAGAGAGAGAGTCAGTCGCAAATTCGCAAATCTTTCCCTTGTGCCGTCGCTGCACATACTTTCGTTTTAAATGTTTTTATTTACGCCAGTGGCGTAAATGTTAGTAAACAAACCGAAAGTTCTTGATTGAAAAGAATATAATTCGCCATATAGAAGTGCTATTTATTGGCGATGGAAGTGCAAGAGTTTTGGTAAGTTATCTGGAAAAGTGCATTGCAAATTACACACAATTACATAAAACGCGGTGTCGGTGTGTGTGTGAGCACCCCCCAACACAGATTTGCACAAACACACAGAGCTTTGCCAGGTGGAAAAGGCAGCAACAGTTGACGCCCGTTACATGGAAAACCCACCCACTTTCTTAACGAATTGCGGGGATTTTGTTAATCTATTCTTGTTGGATTTTATTTTAGTGAAAATCTGGAGGAGATCGAAGATGAAACCTTTGACGAGGAAAAATCTGCTAGGACTTCAGATGAAAATCGCAAGTAAGAAAATAATTATTAAATTGAATGCTTTTAACGGTTAACTTTGTTATCGCCTAAATATCGCCATGAAACCGTTACTATTTTGTTCAAATTGAATAAACGAGCGCAATGATTTACTTATATTGTAAAGTATTTTATATTGTAATTTTATTATTACTATGTAAACATTTCAAGCAAAATACATGTCCAATTATTTAATAACTTTAGTTTACATAGTTGGTTTGTTTTAAATAATCTACAAACCAAGTAGAATCGATTATACGATAGCTAATTTACAAAATATTTTCCTATTACAGGCAAAACCACAGCGAGATCGAGAAGCGTCGAAGGGATAAGATGAATACATACATAAACGAGCTTTCCTCAATGATCCCCATGTGCTTTGCGATGCAGCGGAAACTGGACAAGCTGACTGTGCTGCGGATGGCGGTGCAGCATCTACGGGGAATTCGTGGCAGCGGCAGCTTGCATCCTTTCAACGGATCCGACTACCGACCGAGTTTTCTGTCGGACCAGGAACTCAAGATGATCATCCTGCAGGCCTCAGAGGGATTCCTGTTTGTAGTGGGTTGTGATCGCGGACGCATCCTGTACGTTTCCGATTCAGTGTCCAGTGTGCTAAACAGCACTCAAGCTGATTTACTTGGTCAGAGCTGGTTCGACGTCCTGCACCCAAAAGATATTGGCAAGGTCAAGGAGCAACTGTCGTCGCTGGAGCAGTGTCCCCGAGAAAGGCTCATCGATGCAAAGAGTGAGTCTCCTGCAAATGAATATTTTATTGTGTTTTTAATGACGTACATCTGGCTTCCCTCTGCAGCTATGTTGCCGGTAAAAACCGACGTCCCGCAGAGCTTATGCCGCCTGTGTCCCGGTGCCCGTCGATCGTTCTTCTGCCGCATGAAACTACGCGCCGCCAACAACAATCAAATTAAGGAGGAATCAGACACATCATCCAGCTCTCGAAGCTCTACGAAACGCAAATCAAGGTTGAGTACGGGCCACAAGTACCGAGTGATTCAGTGCACCGGCTACTTAAAATCTTGGACACCCATCAAGGATGAGGATCAGGACGGTGACAGTGACGAGCAGACAACGAATCTCTCCTGCCTGGTGGCGATTGGTCGTATTCCTCCCAACGTCCGCAATTCTACCGTACCCGCTTCGCTGGACAATCAACCAAACATTCGGCACGTGCTTTTCATCTCGAGACACTCCGGCGAGGGAAAATTCCTTTTTATTGATCAGCGGTAGGTTCTATTATGTGTTGCAGTGTGTACACTTTAAGCTGATTTGTGCTTTTAAAAGTTAAAGGGATAGCGTATTTTCGTATATCTGTAATATTATTTTCTTTCCTGGTTTTCAGAGACAATAGAATTTCAATAATTATTTTTATTGCTTATTTTTTAGTGCCACCCTTGTGATCGGCTTCCTTCCTCAGGAGATTCTTGGAACCAGTTTCTACGAGTACTTTCACAACGAGGATATTGCCGCACTAATGGAGTCCCACAAGATGGTAATGCAGGTGCCGGAGAAGGTCACCACGCAGGTCTATCGCTTCCGATGCAAGGACAACAGCTACATTCAGTTGCAAAGCGAGTGGCGGGCCTTCAAAAATCCCTGGACTAGCGAGGTTGACTACATAATTGCTAAGAACTCGGTCTTCTTATAAGGCATACGACAGTTCCTGTTGGGAACGAATCCAAATCTTACACACATTTCCAAAGATCATCTTCCGCATCGTGTTGCTGGCGCCGGCGGTTGAAATATCATATTCGATGTACAAACTCTAGTAATGATAAGCTCAACATTTTTGTACCACACCAATTAAAGAACTTTAAAAAGAGATTCGCTTAGATAAGAATTTAGGAACTCTTATTGTACAATCGTGGGAACAATCTTAATTTCAAGTTATCAAGTTCTCTACCTTGCTCTTTACCGATTGAAATTGTCGAAAAGAGAGGTCGCAGTAAATTATAAACAACAAATAGTTCTTAGCCAAGCACGTTTTGGACGTGATCGTTGCTCGAATTTCTTCGGGCACATAACTACTAATGGTACATACATATGTCGCTATGTCGGTATATACATGACTTCTGTGTATTTGCTTTATCAACTGAGACGGGCTTTTTGCCCGTTTTTTGTTTAATTTTATTTTACTTAATTTTTTTTGCTTGCACTATCAATAGACCCACATGAAAAGGCGGCAGCCCAGGCGCGTGGGGTTGTCTGGGTTTGGGTTTGAGTTTGAGTGCCTCTCTCGTTCATCGGATTCAGGTTCGGAATTAGTTGGCATAGAGCTGGCGTGGCGTTCGGACGCTCTGAAATTTTGGCTTCCTATTTAATAGCAATTTAATTGGACAAATTGGATTTGGTGACAGTCACATAAGATATATTAAAATGAGTGCCCTCATATTTTTGTGTGCGATTCTAATTGGATTTGTGATTTATTCACTTATCAGCTCAGTTCGGCGTCCCAAGAATTTTCCTCCAGGTGAGACAAAGTTCTTGTTGTCCATTTAGGAATAAATGTTTGGATTTTTTATAAGTAAAGATAAGGAACTTTTCACTTTCTCAGAATTTCTTTGCAAAATTATTTTATTGCCTAAAAAATAAACACAAGGATGACTCATTTAATCATAATTTGAAAAGTTGCTAAGAAATGTTTTCTACTTCAGCCTAAAATTTTTTGTAATACTTAAAATAAAAGTTTGTAGGCCCGATGGATATTCAGTGAACGATCCGACGACCTGCCCCACGACCATTTGGATAGCTCATTAGCAACTTGTAATGGAGAGCCAGACGGCACACGTCTCCAACTGCCAATAAATCTCATTGATAAAACCGTCACATATTTCTGACACCTGGCCTAACTGGTCTGAAATCGTAATTAACAAGGGCCTGTCGGTTTATTCCAATTACAAATGCAGTTTGTTATAGATTTGGAAGTCAATTTTCCATAGGCAGATATTTATTATTTGTAAATTAAATAACATTTGCAAGTCAAATAATGGTGTACTGCAAAGGGATGATATTTTATATTTTTTTATATTTTATATCGTTATGAAATTGAATAGAGCATATCAAGTTTAAGCACATGTGCCGTTTTAGTTAGCTACTTACCAAGCGGTATGATTTCATGATAGAGTTTTCACTTTTGATCTGATGATTTACTGCCCACCAGATTTCTGTAGATCCGATTAGATTAGTAATACGTTAAAACAACTTTAATAATTTGGGCACATTAACCTTTACGAAATCCTATCACCAACTGATTTAATGTAGTCAATTTATATCCGAAAAAGACAGATTTCTTGTATAACATTATTAGTAATGTTTTGATTAACCATTTATTTATTTTACTTGTTGTTAACATATTTTTTTTTTACCTTACTTATAATTTTTCTCTAATTTGTTTCCTAAACAGGACCTTCATTTCTTCCATGGCTGGGCAACACTTTACAGGTAAGATTCTTTTATCAACTTATTTGTTTACTTAGTTATTTGTAATGTTGCATCTATAAATTATATTACTTTTGCCTTCTTCCTTTTTTTCAAAATATCAAAAATATCTTTATGCTTTATTTTATATATTTACCTTTTCTGCAGTTCCGTAAGGAAGCCCGTGCCCTTGGTGGCCAGCACATCCTGTTCGAGCGGTGGGCGCAAGACTTTCGGAGTGATCTGGTGGGACTAAAACTCGGTCGAGAGTACGTGGTGGTTGCCCTCGGTCACGAGATGGTCAAGGAAGTCCAACTGCAGGAGGTTTTCGAGGGACGACCGGATAACTTTTTCTTACGCCTGCGCACCATGGGAACCAGGAAGGGAATCACCTGCACAGATGGACAACTTTGGTACGAGCATCGCCACTTTGCCATGAAGCAGATGCGACACGTGGGCTACGGACGGAGTCAGATGGAGCACCACATCGAACTGGAAGCCGAGGAACTACTCAGCCAATTAGAACGCACGGAGGAGCAGCCAATTGAACCGGTCACATGGCTGGCACAAAGTGTCCTCAATGTGCTTTGGTGCCTGATAGCCGGGAAAAGAATCGCCAGCCAGGAGGATGGCACCCTGCGCCGCCTGCTTGACCTGATGAACCGTCGATCCAAGCTCTTTGACATATGCGGTGGCCTGCTGGCCCAGTTCCCCTGGCTGCGCCATGTGGCTCCCGATCGCACTGGCTACAATCTCATCCAGCAGCTGAACACGGAGCTATATGGCTTCTTTATGGACACAATCGAGGAGCACCGGCGGCTGCTAGCCAAGGATCCCTCGCCGTCAGAGAGCGATCTTATTTATGCGTACCTTCAGGAGATGAGGGATCGCAGTTCCAGTGGCGAGAACAGCAGCTTCAATGAGACACAGCTGGTGATGACCATCCTGGATTTCTTTATAGCTGGTTCTCAGACCACCAGCAATACGATCAACTTGGCATTGATGGTGCTGGCCATGCGAACGGATGTCCAGGAGAAGCTATTCGCTGAGGTCACCGCTAGTGTGGCTGCTGCGAGTTCCGACGCATTTCCCCACTTGAGCCGGCGCGAATCGTTCGACTACATGGATGCCTTCATCATGGAGGTGCAGAGGTTCTTTCACATTACTCCGATTACGGGTCCAAGGCGAGCACTGTGGGACACCAAGCTTGGTGGCTACGATATACCCAAGAACGCCACCATTTTGATTAGCCTGCGTTCTGTGCATCTGGATAAAGAGCACTGGAAAGATCCCCTTGAGTTCCGACCGGAGCGGTTTCTCGATTCGGCTGGTAAGTGCTTCAAGGACGAGTACTTCATGCCCTTCGGACTGGGCCGACGTCGTTGTCTTGGCGATGCCCTCGCTCGTGCCTGTATCTTCTCGTTTTTGGTGCGAATCGTTCAGCATTTCAGCATCATCCTTCCGCCGGGTGAAACTCCATCCATGGTCCTGCTGCCTGGAATAACGCTCACTCCAAAACCCTATAAGGTGCAGTTCGTAAGGCGCAACTGAATGCACTATTCAATTGCACGGTGTCGGTGATAAACGTCCATTGGGGAATATAGTACATATATTATATATGTACATGTTGAAGTGTTAAGTGTAATAAACATTTGAATATAAGCTTAGGACCAAGAGATGGTGCTAAATGTATTACCCTTTGTAACTCCCGGTTGAAGAATAAATCCATTTAAATAGGATAAGATTAAAAAACATATTTCAACATAGTCCTCTTTCAATACATATATCTACACGTTAAAAAAGTATTAATAACCATTTATGATATACTTATTAGTTGTGGTCTAGTTGTTCTTTATTGATGTGTCCTCTAAATTTAATTTCAAGTTTCATAATTTAAACAATTTTACATGCGGCGAATTGCATAACAAAATCAAATAAAAACATTTAAAGTTATTCGTTTTTAATATCGTAAAGTACGTTTTGTTTGTATGAATGTACAACAACACCATGTCAGGATCTCAACGCATTTGGGCTTAATGAAAAATATTTACAAACTCAAGCTGAGAAAAGCAAAAACATATACATTAGGTTGTATAACATATTAAATTAGTAAATACGAACTAGATGAAAGCGATCTCGTCAGCTGAAGAAATGCTCGCGTAAGGTCATGATTGGTCCTGGACCATTTCGAAAATAATAGTTTAAAACCGCAGAGAAAGTATGCAGACGAGTATGTGTAACAAAGTGACAAAACGAGCCGACTGAATGACCAACGTTACTTAAATGCTACTAGTGACTGCACTTAGGCATTGTCTGCCCTCTCCGACGGCCAATGGTCCGTGCCCGTGCTTTGGCCTTGATTAAAATTCTCGCAGGCAAGCCTCCGCCTCATGTGTAGTGTGCTTTTGGGTTCAGGGATTCAGAAGGATTCTCATTTGTGTAGTGGTGATGATGTCCTGGCTGGTATGATGCTAAAAGTTATAGCCACTGTTGGGCATGTTGTCCGGGTTAAACTCAAACTGCTGGGAACCCGCCACAGGGGCCACACGACTGTCCTCTTCCTCGTTGCCAAAGTACTGCTCGATTATGTAGAACGATTTGTGGTAGATGTCACGGTTTTCATGCGCCTGCAGATATTCGATCTTATCCAGTCCTAAGTTGACGATATTAAGATTTAGAGGGTAAATTCACCAAGTTAGTTGTTTCACTTACCTCCACATTCCTCAATAGTAATAGCATAGGGATTGGGTCGCGTTTGGAACTTTTCACCCGCCTTCAATATGTTTTCCAGTGCATTAAGGGCCACCTGAACGATGTCAGAGTCGACGACGGTAAGGAAATCGCACATGGGCGGCACACAGCCCACCCGGACCAAGTAGTTGATTTGCTCCGAGGTTCCACTGCTAGTTGCGTTGGTTATGGCCCAAGCTGCCTCTTTACGCGTCTTGAATTCTGCCGTCTGCATGATAATCATCAGCTGCGGGAATATGTTCGCATTGATTATGGCCTGGATCTGCTCCCGATTGCCGGCTGCAATATTTGAGATTGTCCAGCAGGACTCTTTCTTGATGGTTTCCGCCGTCGATCGCAGCAGATGGCTAATGCAGGGCAGGGCGTTAAAGCCCAAAATCACCTGGGTCTGCTGATCGTCACCGGTCACAATGTTGCCCACAGCCCTCAAAGCGGCTGTGCTTACGTTTTGCTGAGGATGTCTACAAGGAAGAATTATTAGTATTTCGGGATGTTTGCAATGCAGCAAAGGGACTACTCACAATAGCAGTTCTACGAGGCGACGGCAAACGCCAGCATCGATAACAGCCTGGATTTTATCGTTGGGTCCATCCGACAGGTAGCTAATGGCCCAGCAAGTATCGCTGAGCACGTCCTCGTCAGTGTAGTCCAATAATTTTGCCAGTATGGGCAGTCCGTGGACAATTTTGGCAAAATCCGCGGGAGGATTCTTGCCGCGGCACAAATTAGAAAGTGTCCACACCGCATTTCGTATCATGGTAATGCGCTCCGAGTTGCTCAACACGCTACAAGATAAAATAAAATGTAAAACAGAAGTCTAGGAGGAGTACCAATTTTTACTCACTGCAGGAGAGGCACTAGAATACCCGAGCCGAGCAGATGGTCACGGCACATGGGCGAGTCACCAGCTATGTTGCCCAGAGCCCAAACAGCCTGCTCCTGGACATCGATGTGGGGACTGGAGAGCAGATCAATGAATATGGGCACTGCCCCAGCTTCGATAACGATCTTAGTCTGATGCGAGGTGCCCGAGGCAATATTTGTCAGCGTCCAGGCAGCCTCGAATTGCAGTGTGGCATTCGAGCTGTTCCGCAGAAAGGTCACAAACTGCGGCACTATCCCCTTTTGAATAACCTCCTCAATGGGTGGATTAGGATCACGGGACAGAAGTTTGCGGAACTTTTGTGTGGCGTCCAGCTGATCACTCTCCCTACCACTGTATAGCATTTGAATCATCTCATCGTTGATTACAGATTGCTGTGCTCCGGATCCAGCAGCTGAATCGCTTTGGCCACCCGAAAAATGCGTTGGTCCTGTGCTACTGTCCGCCATAAGCATGTCAGCAGTCTGCAAAGATTGATTTAAAAATTATCTGAGATCAAGACTTTGACATTTATTGACAACCCACCTGCAGCTCGTTGTTGGTGCTGTTCTCCATTCCGGCTGAAGTCGAGGATGTGGCCGGCTCCAGAACCACGTTTCGCCGCTTGAAGAGCTGCTGTTCACGTTTGGTTTTTCGTAACTGGATGCCAACCTCCTCGCGTCGACGCCGCATCTCGGTAGAATCCAAAGCGGCATTTTTGTAGCGCTGTTTGTGGGTGGCGGACATGTCGTCGTCTTAGCAATTGAAAAACTGCGAAAGGTTATAAAAATCGTTGGTTTTTATAAACAAGCTACTGGTATAGGAGCTACTGTCTACACTGCTATAATATAATATTTGGTAATGGATTATTATTAACACATCAAAAAGTTACTGTTTTCAAAAATGTTTCACCTAAAAAGAAATTGGTAAAATAAACTGTAATTTTAGTTCGGAGTCTATGATTTTGCAGTCGTTATAACAGTGAGTCAAAAGGAAACTGAGTGCGTTTTCTCTGATATTGTGATTAAATTTTAAACTAGATTTTGTAGCCCTGAAAGCCCCAGTGTACATTCACCCAATGCCTGCAATTAAGTAATCCTCCATCTCTGGAAAGCTAGAGATTACGTTGCTTGGCTAATATTGTACATTTAATGAACTATTCAGTTTTTCTGGCAATATGCACATATTCACAACACTTTCACATTTCATTTTGTGTGCACACGGCTGGTTTGCGTGCGTGTGTATGGGTGCGGGCTTAGGTCAGCATTATCAATTTTGATATTCTTGAACACTTCCTTTTAAAGATTACCGAAACTCCGGTATCTATAATCATAACACCGCGCCGATAATACACAATTTACCTGTTCCAGAGAATCCTTTTCGCGTTTTAATCATGCAAAGAAACTGGGAACTTTTACACGTTTCGAGGAGCGATGATGCCAGACTGTCCAGAGTGCAGAGCACACAGCTGTTTTGTTATCGATGGCAACACTAACCGATAGCTGTCACCACAATTCAATTGCAATCCAATTCAAAATGAAGAATTCCAAGAAAAAACCCCGTAAAATGGCCAATAAACCCAAAGATTCAACGGATACTCAAAAAAAGAAGGTTATAGAGCTGCTTCACGAGTACAACGACCTGAAGGATGCGACGCAATTAATCCTGGGCGCCATGGCTACCATTAAAAGCGTTCCCATTCGATCGCTATATGGCACCTACAACCTGCCCACCGTAGAATAAAAAAGGTTTTCGAGTTGTAGTATTCATGTACTTGTTGTAAACAATTTTTAAAACAACCAAGTGCATGTACATATGTAAATGCCACCTGGTAGAGCAGTTCCTTGAGTCTACAACTAATAAATCCACCTTAAACTAATTATTGCATTCATATTGGCTATTGGCCTGCGTGAAAATAGGATCTGCATCGTTCATTGAAAGTCTTGTAGGTACGCTCCTTGATAATATCTTCTACATTGAGCTCGGCTTGAAGAACCCGCAGCTAAAAGGGGTTTCGATATTATTTGAGATTTGTCAGGTTGCAGAATGGATACACACCTTGCGCTGCTCAGCCTTAAACTGGCTATCCGTATCTACATCATCCGGCTGAGCTTCCCGCCTTTCCCTAAGTTGCTTCAGATTATTAGCCGATATGGTTATGCAACTGCGTATGTTATCTTGCTGCAAGGAGGCATTTAGATTGAAATATGCCGCAGTCATTGTACTTAAGGGAAAATTACCCTGGACTGGTGCGACTTTTGAAGCTTTGAGTACAGATCGCGACAGGTGCTCTCGCTGTTGACCTGACCCTTAAACGATTCCGTGGGAAGAGCATTCAGAGCATATATAATCTTATCGTCCACATCTCGCATCTTCTTTAGCGCCTCCTGTTTGTGAACTTAAAGCCATTTAATATGAATAAGGGCACTTTATTTTACCCACCTGAAAACCGAGAAAGTCCAAGCACAAAGCCGCCATGGTAAATTTGTAAAGAAACTAGTAAAAAGTGTTTAAAAATAATAAAAACAAAATGCTCTATATATAATGCCGGCTCAATGTGCCCCTGGCGTTGCCAGCTAGGAAAACTATTGCCGATTTACTATCGATTGTTAAAGCAATGTGCGACGACGGTACATCGCTAAGAGCTTATAAGCAAATCATAACAAGATAAAGCAGAATGCCGCTTAAATTTGAGGAAATACACGACAAAATAGAAAGTGGCATCTACAAACTGACTGTTAATAGCAAAAGCACGCGAAGCACTGTTTGGCGGGTATATCGTAAAATCGAGAAGGACGATGGTAGCTTTCTTGAGGATGTATTATTCTGCACTGGCTGCAAAAGCGTCATGTCCTTTACCCACAAATCGACGACAAACTTAAGGCGGCACAGGTGCCACCGGCAGTATCTCAAGAAACAAGCTTTATATGGGTACACTTTTCAAGGGGAATCACAAGAGCGGCGGGTCGCGCTGGAGACCAAAGAAGACCTGCAGTCCGTGTCGGATGAGATGGAAAGAAAACCCACAGTCGCCGAGGTAGCAGCCTTTGTGGCCGGAGTGGCCGGTAGTGGGGATTCCCCCGTAGTTTCACGTGCATTGCAACACCCGGATATTCCCGAGGTTGCACTTCCCCACGATATTAGTGGGGCGGAGGAGTCAAATATTTATGCCCAGACCTGGTCTCTTGAGTACCGCAAATTGAGCGAGGATCAGAAATTCTATGCCAAAAAAGCAATAGACGAAATCCTCGTCTTGGGCCGACTTCGGCGCCTGACATTAAATACGGTGTCAACGGCAGAATAAGTATTTATAGCTAGACAAAGTAAACCTAAGTTTAAGCTAAACGAAATACACTTGTCAAGGAAATTGAGATAGTAATTAATAAACAGCTAAATAATTATATCTTGTCTTAAACACTTTATAGTACATAAACACAAATCTATGTATTTTAATGCTAAGTTATTATGAAATCAAATATTAAAATCTGAACAAAAAAGCTTTTGTTTTTAGCTGGCCAAGAATCAAAACAATTTCTAAAAAAAATCGTTGAGATCACTATCTTTTCGTTTTTAAAACTATCGCTGCAACATCGATAATGGCCATCGATAATTTCTTCCATCACTATTGTGAGCCCTTCGTTATTGTCATTTTTATTTTATTTATTTGGTTTATATTGGGAAAATGAATGATTTAAAGAGGCGACCACTGCACGGCGAGACGCCCAGGACTCCTCCCCAGTCGAAGGATGAAATACCAAGTAATATTACCTTCAAAGTCGACTCGGCAAACAGCTACGAAGAAGGCACCTCTTCAGCTGGCGAACATGAAGAAAACGATTCACAGGACGAAACCGATGCTCCTGAAGACAGGGATTTGTCCCGAAGACGGAGTTTGCCAACCCCAAAACCGGAGTATTTCAGTTCAAGGCAAGAGCCCCACCATTCCTTCAACGAACCGCAGGCCGGCAATAGACTCTGTTTAGCTTTAGCACTGGCCGGTGTTTTGGTCGGTTTGTTTTTTGTCTACGCTCGGGGTTCAAATGAAATAGCTGAGAAAAAGTGTGCCTTCGAGGTTCTTCGGGGAAAATATCCCCAGCAGCCGGAGAAAGTTTGGCAAGCCCTGAAAACTGGGGTCGAGGGACTCATAAACAAGAAGGACAAGCATCCCAGTGTGTTTTTGTTTCTGCATCAAGATTCCAAACTTAATAAATTAATTAATGAGATTGCAGCTGAATCCTCTATGTGTTTTGGTAAGTTGGCTTTGGAAGTCGCATCCCATTAGTTGTTATACACTTCAATTTATATATTCCTTTTCCACAGGTGGCCCCCCGCCAGCTGATTCACATGAACAGGGAGGATTTCGGTTCGGGTACGGAAGACTATGGGTTGGCAATTGAACGTTTCAAGGCCAAAGTGAATGATGGAAAGGTTTTCCTAATAGTGAATCTCAATGAAGTGAGTGTCTAGCGTTTATGTTGTTTTGCAATACTCTTTAGAAACATTTAATTCGCAGATTGCACCAAGTGGAGCACGTGCTTTTCACACCATCTGCGATACCTACAGCCCTATCGTAGAAGATGCCGTTATCTTCCTAACACTTCGCACATTTAACACATCCGCTGTTAGCAACTCGGTTCAGTTGGCCACTGATACCCTGTATGATTTGTGGGGCAAGGAGTTGCACGACAATGAGCTGGATCCTCTTATTACTCGCGTCACCGACCAGGTTCTGCACTTGAGGAGCAGTAGCTAGGTTCTTAGTTAAAATCATCAGATCTCTAAGAAGCTTAAAGCAATTAAAAAAAGTTAAATTATCATAGGGTATCATTTCTGAATATTAAAGTATGTTTTTCTTAAGATTCGACTATAAAGTACATATGTTTTTCAAGCGTTTTATAATAAAGATAATAAAAACTGTTAAGCTACAGACTATTCAAGACCTCTCCACAGCTCTACGGCGAATATGAAAAGACTGCAGATCATGCCGAAGCACCAGAGCAAAATCAATCCAATGAAGTTATCGATGCCCAGTTTTACGGGTCCAATATCCAGATTTGGTTTCTGGGAGGCCACAATGCGATTTTGGCGATGAGCGTTCATATAATCAGCAGCGATTTTCCACTCCCAAAATTTATCCAGACCTGATGAATGCCAGGCCAGGATAAAGTCGTTATAAGCATTCAAATGTGGCCACAACCGAGGCACAAATGCAACCGTAAAGGCGAAGTAGATATCATCAACCATTAGCTTTAGTCGTTCCAAGGCGTCATTGGCTATAAGCTCAGTGTTTCCTAAATGTCCAAACTGCATACGCTCCACCACAAACCCCATTTGCTCCGTGTGCGAAAAGGCAGATATCAATTTGGCATCAAAGACTCTATAATGCTCCATCAAACCAAGCAGAACTGGCTGTAAATTTTTAAAATATTTGAGTTATGTTTTTAGGGGATAATTTTGATTATGTTTTAGTTCTTAACTTACATCCGCTGATCGTTCATCAATGGTCGTGATCCAGGCCTGCGAAGTCCCTGTCCAAATGAGCTTATGATCGAAAAGACGTTGTCGAGAGTCGGCCGCCTCCTCCAGAGTCGGCAAAGTCAGGATGGCTGCCAGTCCCCCGCTATAGACGGTCGTCAATATCATGTCTATCATGTAGCTGGCTACCAGCACAGTTCTCAGAGCGTAAGAGCTAGTCACATAGCTGGTGCTCTGACTTACAAAGAGTTTCAGTGTACTAATGCAACCGAAACGCAGGCTAGCCATCCAGGAGTTAGATTGGGTGTTTGAAGAGTGCTCCCATCGACGGGTAATACAAAGGGCCAAACTTTCGAGAAGTAAACAGAGCATCACACACAACCATAGACCGGTTTGAAAAGGACGCAGAAGAAGAGTCCAACTGATTAAGCGATTCGGAGCCGGAACCAGACAGGTGACTCCAGATCGTCCAAGAAAATGGGTGATGTCCATATACTCATATGCCTCGTACCTAGGATGCAAATTTATACCAAATTTTTTTATCTCTTGTTCTGTACATTTTAAAATTAAATTATTATTCGTAACGTATATATATATGGCAGCACTTGCATATTGAATTATAAAATCAAGATTATTACCATAAGTACATGCCTCCGACGCCGTAGTCGTTTCTTCTATCGAGAACCATGCCCACAAGTCCATATCCCGATGCATTTTGATAGATATCACCCCAGTCTGCTGTCTCAGCTGTGGTTACAATTTTTTTTGTTTTTAAAAAGGTTCTTTAATTTAAGATTTATAACTTACATGTGTCCACCTGAATTGTGCAATTATATATCTGGCAGAAAATGAGCATTAGTCGTATCTCCGTACCATCAATGGTTACTTCCGACGTATTCGTTGAGCGATCATAAAAAAACGGTTCCTTTTCCTATTTCACATAAAAATATTTTAAAATTAGTTCTTAAGTTCAAAAATAATTAAAATGCTTACATAATCCAATAGCATAAATGGTTTATAGTCAAAGATGCCGACGACTACCTCTCGTCCCTCAAGATTTTTCATTTTACCGGCCATTATACTATCCATTTCCCGATTCCAGACTGTCTTTCCGGTTTCAGCATTAAATCGCTGAAGAAGGTAAAATTCAACACATCCTGGTTTTCTATTAAAATTTCGCGGTCCCACAAATCGGTTGGTTTTTATCTCAAAAGTGCTTGAGTTCAGGTATTCTGACGTTATCAGTAAAATATTGGGTTGATCTAAAATAAATACAAATTATTGTTAAGTATTGTAGTCCTTTAAAGTTTCTGGCTACTTGGAACCTTCAAATATGTATCCAATCAAATAGTCATCTTTTTCTCCTGCCAGCTCTTCGGTGTAAACAAAAATAAACCGATTTCGGGGGATCTCCAAATGGAATAGATACTGGCGTGATAAAAAGAATTTGCGAACTCAGGAATCTGCTCCTGAAAAGCTAAAAATGTCTTAGGCAAAAATAAAAATAAAATTAATACAAGATCATAACAACATGTTACTACATTTGCTGATTCGCTTTTAAATAAGGGGTTCTTTGTGATAGTATCGATTTAAAAAAAGGGTTTATTACTTTAACGTAAATATATCGGCAGCTGCTCCACTATCGATATCAAACTAAGAAAAAGAAAATCAAACGGTTGCTGCAGAAAGTTATTTAGATTATAACGGAATGATTCACTAAATATACGACGTAAAGTTGGTTATTTAAAATTGCGGTAGAATGGAAAAACTGGGGTTGGGGTGTCCGTTCTCATTTCTGGGCGGTAAACCGCAGGACTTGAGTGGGGGACCCGGCCTCCTAGATCTGAACTACGAGTGCTATTTGGAAATATTTTCCCACCTAAGTGCTCTAGAGGATCAGTTAAATCTGGGCCGTGCCCATCCGGTTTTTCGGGATGTGCTAACGGACGTTCTGCGACCGCGGTACAGGAAAATCAATGTGCGGATTCTGAAATCCCTTGCGGATTGGGAATTTCTACTGAGACTGTGCGGATCCGAAGTGACCAGATGTGATGTGCCCCATGGCCGCTGGGATGAGCCCTTCACATACCCCTTTCTGGGCCTCCTCGGACGGCACTGTCCTAATTTACGACAAATAATCGTAATTTTTATGCACGCCGTAACAGAGACCCCGCCGGAAACAAGGGAGAGAGGCCAAATCATGCAGTTGCTCCTCGAGTTACCTAGTCTAACCAATCTTACTCTGATTGATGCCACATCCGCTCACTGTAAGTAATCATTTTTTTTCGAAAAATTAGAAACTTTTTAACGAAAAAATCATCAAAAAATTGTCTTGTTTTTGAGCTTCTTTGAGATTATTTAACAGAATCTTATAAAACTCTTTAACTCACGTTAAACCCAAGAAAGAACTTAAGGACACCTTTTTAAATTAACTAAATCTTCATTCCATGCAGTACGTCAATTGCCTCAGTTTCCTAAGCTGGAGACCCTTGACCTGGATGGGATCGATCCTAACCTCAGTGACTGCGCCTTCCAGCAGATGTTCGACAACAAGGACTCCTTGAGACGGCTCATTCTAAACTTTGGCAGATACAGAAGGCTATCCCACCAGTTTTCTCTTTTAGCACCAAAATTTCCCAACTTGGAGCACCTTACGTTGGAAAACTTTGATTACACCTTTCACGAATTGGGGGACTTTAAATCTCTCCAGTCGCTTCGTTTGATCTCCCGCTGGGTTGCGGAAGTGAGCAATGACTTTTACAGATCAGTAGTTAAAACCACTGGTAACCTTCAAAAGCTGCAATTCATATCCGTTCGTGTAAGAGGCGACCAAGTGCATCATATCCTTTCAATTTGCCGACTGAGAGCTCTTGACTGCGATAACTTTCCAGCTCAATCGGTGGACCAGTTGGGTCAGTTAAAAGAACTGGAGTGCCTGGCTTTAGATTGCATTGACTCACTGTCAAATGGAAGTAGACAACTGTCATCTTTACTAACCAATTGTCCCAAGTTAAATCATCTGAAATTGGGCAAACGTTGGCAAATGTCACCCGCTGAGCTAAACAGATTTCTAGAAAATGCTCGGGACTTACGATCGGATCCAAAAAATAAACTCTCAATCACCATTGATTTCATCAAGGCATCGGATACTCAAGAAAAGGTATTCAATTTAATTATATATTATTTATGGGGTGTAACTATTTTATTTTCCAGTTTAAAAAATTGGTGGAGAATCAGGATCTTTTACGGATTTCCTTCGAGGGAGCCACCTGTCATCATTGTCAACCTGATACCCACTCCAAATGCGATACTATCTTTGACCAGTAGTATTCCCCATAAACTTACCTGACAGTGGGAACTTTCTATGGCCACAGTCAGCCTTAAAATCCAATCGTTGATGGCGATTCCTTTGTCCTCAAACTCTAATCGCTTCCTATTGTAATCATAAACATCCTTGCTGTCAGATAGGTTTAACCATTTCTGCGAGTCCATGATAATTAATGGTAGCGGTTCAACCGCTTCCAGACGAAAATCAAACGATGGATGCCATAAAATACAAGTGGCATGTAAATCCGTAAAGTATTGCTGAGCTAATTATAATTATTAAAAGGCTTCTGCTTTTGTTTAATATATGAACATACCAAGAAAACTTAGAACTGTACTCCAATAGCTTGGCTCCACTAAAATATTGGTCATTTAAAAACTTTGTGATTTTGCGTTAAATTTGAAACACGCTTTAAACTTAAAATGACCACATTTGCTGTACAACAGTGGATAAAAAATAATTAAGAATAGGTTTTCTGTTAATAAGTAAAAAAAAAGGTTAAAAAATTGTATAGTAAATTCAATGTATATGTCTTGTGTGTCCCAAATTTGTTAAGAATTCAGTATTTGTACATTTTTGTGCTGTGGTTATTGCTTTTATAACTGATTTTTGTTTTAATTTTGTAAATATATTTATTTAAAAATTAATAAAATAAAGTGCACCGTTGGTCTAAAGCAATCCCTCCGCTGACTTCAAATGACTGAAGCCGTCGTGAAATAATGTATTTTATAAAGGAAAAGTATTTACTGTCGATTTAAATAGGTCGGTCTTCCATACATTTATTTAACAAATTAAGTGCATGCAAAACCAGTAAGAACGCATTGTGAAACTGTTAAAATATTTATTGGTTTAAATATGTTTAACCTGTACGTTATACATGTATATTAAACAAATACGAATTTCCATATTAAATTAGTTTTGACTTACAATTTAAGCATATTTGGGTGGGGTGAAAAAAGAGGAGAAGCGTAAATAGAAGAGGCCTGGAAAAGGTTTTACTTCTGTGGGACAGAAAATACGGTAATAAATTACTGCAAATTAACATCAATTTCCATCCCTTCTTGTTACTTATGATTATATATATTTCCTGATTAACCTAAGCTTTCACGCTACCAATGCGGGAAAAAAGGAGAAAAGCGTGAATAAAAGCTCTAGTAAAGGTTCCTTTCCTATCCTAAGCTTTCACACTGCCAATGCCGTTGCCCAGCGACTTCATCAGCTGGTAGCATTCCTTCAGCTTTCTCTTGTCGCCCACCTTTTCCAGGGTCTTGGCCGCCTCGGCCAGCATGCCAGCACGCTCGCCCGGTGAGCTAAGCAGGGCGGGCGGCAGATACTTGCAGGCAACGTACATGGCCGATGCCCGCTCGCGCTCCCCGCCTTCGAAGTTTTGGTGCCGCCGATCCTTGCTGCCGCAGAAGATGGACGAGTGGGCGTAGCGCGATCGGAGACTCCTGTCCAGAAGCTGTTGCGTTGGACAAGGCGAGGCTCCGGCCATCAGGCGACAGACTGCCTCATACAAATATATTCTTGATTGGGCGTTCTGGAAAGGGGGATCACACGTTAGAATTGAATAGAATTGTTTCATAAAAAGAAAATCTTAAAGCTTTAATAACAAAGCATTTTTATCTCCCGAAAATACCACAACATCGGTCTTCAATTTCTTAGAACCCACCGGTATATTTTCCACAATGCTGCGCAACGAATTCAAATCGTACTGGAAACTCTCCAAAACATCACCGGGAACTTGGTAGAAGCCATCATCTTCTATATTCATGTACTCCAGCTCCCACAAAGCAGTCCGTGTTTCGAGCAGCCAGTCACAAGTGAGCAATTGGAATAACTGCAACGTAAAAATTGATACAAGTTTATTAAAATGTGTCTCTAAAACTTGGCGACTTTTGCCAGCGACAATTGACGTTGTTTGTGAAATGCACAGAGCTTGCACTGAAGTTGTATTGCCTGAAGCAATTGGGACAGACAATGCGACTACAATGCACCTGCGTGTCATCTCCGTTGGAAGAGTCCTCTGGCATTCGGTCACCATGAATTTGTCAGGATGCAGACTTTCTTACCAGCTTTATGCCTTTGGCGTTGGTTACTCGGTTGACAGTTAGACATTCTTGGAGCTGTATACTTGACTCGTTGCACAGACTGTTCACCGATTGTTTGACCACTTTGTCCAGAGTGTTGCCATTGTTCCTGCAAGAATAACTTAATAAGTTGAAGTATCTTTTAATACAATACACAATATTTACTTACATTAGTAGTATAGTCTTGGCACGGAGCACCGCATGCAAAGCCCTTGGCAGATGATCGTTTTCGCTGCATTGCTGCAGCTGCTCGGGCATCTGCTTCACGCTGTCGTACAACTGCTCGGCCAATGTGTCTTCGCCCAGGAGCCAGTGCACTGCGATCTCCAGGACATTTGCCCACCACACCACATTCAAATCGCGCTCGTCCTCATCGGCCCACAGTGTATCTCTCAGCAGCGAGGTGTATTTGAGAACATTGCTAACTATGGTGCCGCTGTGCTGCTGTTGCTGCAATTGATCCGTTTCTCCTCCAGTAGAAGATGTTGGCAAACCACCCGACTTGTGACCAGCTCCCACTAGACATTGAATGGCCTTGAACAAGAGATGTTCGCGGTATTGCTGTGGAATAAGAAATACTGGTAATCCTATGATCTCGTAAAATTTAAGGCAAACTCACCTTTATGACGTGGGCAGCGGGGTCACAGGGATTCCTTAAACGGGTGAAAAAGCCAGACTGCTCGCCGGAATCGTTCAAATCGTAGCTAAAGACGTGCGTGGTGCAGTAACGATATCCATAGGGACTAAAGGCCCAACGCAACTCCTGGGTTTGCTCAGCAGCACGTGTGCGACCGCATTCCTGACGCGCCCGGCTCATATAGTATCGAGCAAAGAGCTGCTGCAGCCACTTTGGCGCGCTTTTCTTCATTCGCAGTGCAGTCATTACATGGATGCAGATGATCTCGCGCGGAGTCAGGAGATTGTGAGCCACTTCAGCCATGTTACTGGCGTAGAGGGCCATCATGATGCCATTGCCGTCGCCGCGGCTTGCGTTTCCAGTCAATTGCAATTGATTCAGTCGGTTGAACAGTAAAGCCAGTTCCCGTGCCGAAGCCAATGACTGTTTCCGACTCGCCGCATTGCTGAACAGTCCTCCAGAACGACGCGATAGCACTCGACCCAGCCAGAGGCGATGGAAGAGGAATCGCATAAACTGCCAGGTGGTCTGCAGATAGCACTCCAACCGCGTGGCCGGCAAACTCAAGCCAAACATGTGCAAACAGTTAAGGTAACCGGCGTACGCCTGCGATGCCTGTCCTTGGGCGAAGTGCGAGTCAGCGCGTTGCTTGTACTGCCAGTAGGCGTCCGTCTGTGTATCCAACTGTGGATCGCCGTAAACCAGTAGCTTGATCAGACAGCCGAGCATTAGGGTCAAATTCAAAAGCCAAATCCAAGAGAATTGTTGCCAGCCAGAAAAGCCATCACCTGGAGCAAACAAAATATGGTTAAATTAGTTAAGCTCTATAGAAGCTTGACGACAAAATTACCACCATCCACGTCGTAGGAGAGAATGCGTCGTTGACCGCTCAATTCGCCAATGTCGTCATTACTGTCGTACTGCCCGCGCTGAAGGAAATTCTTGAAAGGATTGACCGCGAGTATAGCAAACATAAACATGCACAGTCCGAGCCGAGAGTGGGCCGCCATGCCCCGCATGGAGCTGGGCACGACGGGCAGTTGTTCATCGCCACTGCCACTGCTACAACTGGCAGTGGATCCGCCGTACGGTGACGGCGGCATGGAAATGTCCGAGTGAATGGGCGAAAGCGAAGGATCCGACTCGTCGCTGTGGGGCGGTGTGAGTCCCGCATCCGTGGTGGTGGTCAGCGAGCTCTCGCGACGCTTCTTGGAGACTCGTCCCGTCCGCGTGCCCAGTTGCAGCAGATCCTTTACCTTGGAGCCGTCGCGGGCCATCAGTTCCCTCTGCAGGCGTTGAAGCTCTGCCTTCAGATCATGGGTCTGTCGCTGTAGATCACGAATCTTGTCGATAGACTTCCGCAGCACTGCGGATTTGTTAAGCTTGGCCTGCTCGCCCACCACCAGGTTCTTCAGCTCATTGATCTTGTCATTGATCGAGGTGCGATAGCGCCGCTCAATCGCGTTATGTGCAGAGCGCTTCACCTCCTTCACTTTGGGTTGCACCCGGTTGATGGGCATCTTGCCCTGAATCTCAGTTGTGTCGCTGGAAGGTGCCAGCGGTGCCACACGTACTTTGCTAGCCCGGCTGCTCGGCGGTGAAGCCACAGGTGGCGATGTCTTTGGACTTGCCACAGAAGTCGGTGTCACCGTGGTCGTCGTAGGTTTCGATTCCATTAGCACGGGCATGGGGGAAGCCGAGGTCAAAAGTACAGGACTTGTGGCCATTGGCTGGGCGTACATTATGAAGGGTTGAGGATGCTGCTGCAAAGCCAATTTAGTCGCAGCCGTAGGAATAGGCTGCATGACATTGACATTCTGCGGCGATGACTCCGCCGGTGAAGTTGGAGGGGAGTTGGTCTGGTAGATAAAGCTGTTGCCCAAAGCTGGGGTATAAACGGGGGGCAATCGTAGTGCGTCCATGTGATGGATGGTGGCCGTGGGTTGGGCGGCCTTTAGAAGCGTCGGCTGCTGCTGCTGTTGCTGCTGGGGGAGATTATAGTTGGAGGCCATTAGTGGATCCGGCTTGTAGACCAGCAGTGGCGGCTGTTGCTGCTGCTGCTGCTGCTCCTCTTTGATATGCACTGGTGATGAGTGTTCGCTCTTCACATGCGCTTGCTGCTCCATCGCTGTCGGTTGGGGATGCGTTCGAGGTGCATCATCCATTTGCAGCATGTTGTACATTTGCGCCGGCTCTAGATCCATTTCGTTGAGCAGGCTGTCCAGCATGTCCGAATGCAGGACCTCATTGATCATGTCGAAGGCATCCTCCGCCTTGAACAAATCCATGGACTCGTCCAGCGGAGCGTCCATAAAGTTCATCGAATTTGTGTCCATCGCTGATGCTGCTGATGAAAACAACAAAAATCTTGTGCAATTAAATACTGGCGGGACCAATTTGAGGTTTGTTTATTAAACTTCCAAGCGGCGCAATTAGACGACATAAACAACTGTGGGACAACAACAGGTTGTGTAGTGAAAAAAGTTTTAGTTCTTTTTTTAATACTTAAAAAAAACATTAGCTATACGCTTAGATAATCTTTACCGCAGAATAAAAATTAAAAACAAAAAAAATTTTATAGTACATATTTAAAATACAAGTTCTTTATGTCTAAACAAAAATATTTGGTACATAGATTAGAATTTTTTACAGACATTTAAAAAAACGAAAGCAAAATATTAAAAAATATAAAAATATGTTTTTCGAATGTTATAAATTCCTTTCAATTTCATCATTACACATGGCCCACTGTAAACTTTGCACACACACACGTACAAGTGGAAAAGCATGCGTAAGCGCTTTCAACCAATCAGAAGGCTCGACCGGATCATACGATGTTTTTAGTGACGCCACACAGATTTTGAAGACATTATTTGTGCATTTCCACGAAATAAAACGTTTTTTTAATGATTTTTCAAAAAAAAATCAGTCACACGTTATCTTAATCATAAACCACTACCAAGTTAGTAGCACCTTTATCACCTTTTATCTGTTTTGATTCACTTTTGCTTTGAATAATTCATTACTGCTTGGCAGCCCGCATTGTATTATGATAGTTATTGTTTAACACTTGCTGTTCATATTTGTTTTCGGTTTTTGTTTCGTGTATATTTGTTAAATTGATAAACAATTGCATTTCACCTCCGACGAGAAAACAAGACCGATTGGGCTTTAAGCTAATCAGCTGGGTCATTAGCGTTGCCAGATGAAGGGAAATTACCTGATTGTTCTTTAGTTGACACCGCCGATCTATCGATTACCTAACTCGAAGATGGTCACACTGATTTATTTTACGTTACTTCAAATTTTAAAAAAGCTTAAAATAGATTGTTCCTAAAATCAATCAATTAATCTTAGCTATTTAAAATTTGTACTTAAACTGTCACTGGCATTCCGAGCATTAGGTTCACAAAACACTGTTACTATAATACATTTTAACTTATCTTGAATTCTTTCGGAAGCAGAGTGTTTAGATTCTACTGTATATGTTAATATTATTAATTTTAATCAACGCCATTATTATTTTTCTTCTTTTCATGTTTAAAATTATTTTTATTTTGATCAGTATACTTTTCCAAAGGTCATTTGAAAATAAAAAAAGCGTTGTAAGGTAACTAACAACAGTTTTTCAGATACGTTTATTGTTGAACATCCAAAACTGCGGACTATACGCTGGAACAAAAGTTGATAGTAATATTAAAATAATTAAAAAACTATAAACTGTTGTTTAGATACGTTTATTGTTGAATGCCCACAAGGTGGACTGACAAGTTAAGGCAAAGCCGAGTTAAATTACGTCTTCTATGGGGGAAGTGGATGTAGGCAAAGAGTTAACATATAAGGTTTCTATATCGTCAGTTCGTTGGGGATCATATTCGTAAGGGATTCGTTTAGACAACGTTGGTGTGCTCGTCGCGGTGGAAGATCTTCACGTCGACGAACTTGAAGTTGTGCACATCGAAGTAGTAGTCGTGCTTCACCGGTCGGTTGAAGGGGAAGCCGAAGGGCAGGGCGTCCACGTAGCGGGAGCCGTGTCCCACGCCGCAGCTGACCACCGGATCGTAGCCGGTGAACTGGGCCACCTCGGGCTGATGGTACGGGTAGACCATGTAGAAGAACTGGAACATCTGGCCGCCCTTCTTGCCGCGCGGCAGCATCATCCTGTTGGGCACACCGCAGTGGGCCTCGGACATGTCCAGCTTGAACTTGTAGTCGCTGTTGGTGGCGTCCATCAGCTTCTGGTAGAGCTCCAAGTAGGTGGTGCGATCGTTCACCCAGAAGGAGAAGTCACCGCTGGCGCGCTTGATGTGGTTAACGCCGGCCTCCAGATGCACCTTGAAGTGCTCCAGCTCGAAGAAGTTCTGGTAGTTGTGCTCCAATGGGATCTCGTGTCCGTGCTCATCGTACTTGGGTCCAATGAATACCTTGACCACGGCCTCCTGGGCCTTGTCGGCGGTCACGTCCATGGTGAACTCGAAGGGCTTGTGGTTGAGACGCTGCTGGCGGGCCTTGATCGCATAGCTGGCGCCCTTGTAGTGGGAGTTCCTGCCGAAGTTATACAGCGGATCGGTGGCACCCTCAACGGCGGGCTCCACGTTCACGGCATTGCTGATGTCCGAGTCGAAGTACTCGAAGTAGGTGGTCAGGCTCTCGGGCATGTGAACGGCATCGATCTGGACGCCCTCGAAGGCGTAGTCCTTCTTCTGGTACTCGGGATAGGTCTCCATCAGATGCCAGTAGTGGCCCACGAGGGTCTTGTACACCTCGTAGAAGATGGGGTCCCGCATCGAGGTATCGTAGTGCATGAACAGACCCGGGAAGCTCTCGTCTCCGTTGCCGTAGTGGTGGCCCTCGTTCACAATGTACCTGTAGAGCTTGTCCAGGCTGCCGTAGAACTTCTTGTTGACACTGTCGGCATTACCCTGGATGATGTTGCCCAGGATGTTGATGGCCTCCATGTCGTACTTCTCGTTCTTGTGGATCCAGTCCATCACGCGCTGCGTGTACATCTCCACGTGCTCGATGTTCTCGTAGTTGCTCTGGTGGTAGAAGTTGTGGTGGTTCTCCCGGTGCCACTGGGGCACTCCGTAGTAGCTGCGCAGGTTGCTGGCATAGCCGGATTCGGCGGGCACGTACATGTTGAAGGCGGGCACCTCGCCCAGATCGTGGGACAAGCGCTCCAGGTACCAACGGGCCAACAGCTGCCAGTGGACGTACAGGTAGAGCTCGCCGCGACGATCCTTGTTCAGGATGTGCTCCTCGCCGCCCTTCGTCCAGAACGGATAGTCCAGGTTGAAGTAGTAGTAGAAGGCGTTGAAGCCGACATCCTCGAGGTAGTAGGCCAGATCGTGATCGTAGTTCAGGGAGCCGTGGGCATTCGAGTAGTTGGCCTTGATCACAACATTATAGATGTTGTCCATCTGCTTGACGTGGTGGAAGCCGTGCATCTTGTAGTGCTCGGCCCATTCCAAGGCCTGGCTGTCGAAGAAGCTCCACGGGTGGATCTCGTAGTGGGCGGGCAGGACGACTCCCTGCATATCGTCGCGGAAGAGGCTGGCGATGGTGAAGGCGTAGACGAACATCTGCTTGTTCACATGCTGGCGGGCCCAGAAGACGGCGTGCTGGAAGGTCTCCCAGTTCTTGGCAAAGTAGAACAGGCGTACCAGACCCACGACATACTCCTCGTGCTTCTCGTACATCACCGACCAGGCCATGTCATCGGTGAACGGCTGGTGCTGCCACAGCTCGAAGAAGTGCTCCAGCATCTCGGGGTGCACATAGTCGGCCACATGCTCCCACGGCTTGTACTCCACGAAGCTGCCAGCGAATGGGTGAACGAACACATCGTCTTGGTAGAGGTGCTGCAGGATCTGGAAGACGAAGTTCTGCTTCACCAGAAAGTCCTTGTCCGCCACCTTGGAGTCCAGGTGCTTGGCCTGGCCCAGAACGGCCAGCAGAGCCACCGTAACAACTGCGATCGCCGTGAACGACTTCATCTCGAATCGATTCGAATCGAATCATACTGCTGCACTGGCTTAGGGCCCCTATTTATACCCCAACCACCGAGATCCGATCCGATTGCACTGCGGTTAATGACCGGTCACCTCCGTAACCTTGACACTCCATCGCCGGATCTGATCGGCGCCTGGCATCCAAGAATCGCCAGATGAAGAGGAGAGAGCCCATTGCAGAATCCAAAATTGCAGGTGATAAGACGCAGATTAGGCAGGCAATCGCATACCAAAAGACATTATCTAAATTCAAGAATTCATTTATTTCATTTTTAGCCACCTGAAATATTTATTTTCAAGATTTGACAAACCACCCAAAATGTAACTTCTTTGAAACGTCAATGTCTTAAGTATCCTTTTTTATCAACTACAAAACATTTTAATTTGCAACCAATACCTTTAAAAAACAATTAAGTAATACAAGGTTATCTAAAGAATGTCTTTAGAAAATTAATTATTTTTTATAAACCTTCAAAGAATCTCGTTTAAATTGATATTGAAAGTTCAAATCCACACTTTAATAACTTGGGAGACAACAAAAAATAATCTATTTCTTAAGTCACACAAATAATGTATTAATTGTATTTGGTATAACCAAATTCATCTTTTTGAAATCAAGCTTAAGAGGATCTTAATTTTTTCTGTGTAGCAAATGTTTTTCTTATTTAATAATCTTTTCGATTTTCTATATATTAACAGGTGACAGGCCTCTTTTCAACCCATTTGGTAAGCGATTAAGATTACATTGTGGAGCGATCACCTGTCGATTAAGGTGTTACTAGGCAGTTTTTTGATAAGCCTGCAGTCGGCTTTGTTTGCCGGGTCAGCAACTGTTCAGGCGCATCTTTATCAACCGATGCTAAAAATATTCCAAATTGCAAAACACGGAGCATTAATCATGTTGCTGGAACAACAACTCGTGTAGACAACAAAGAACAATGGACCATCAAAAGTCCAAACCAGAACATATCGGAATATGTCTGCCCCTCTTACATCTTTAGCTTGCCATCCTCAACAAACCTAATTCATATATGTATTATAAGGCAACAGATGACATTGCAATCTAAAACTGATACCATTATTTTGCATTCGCACACTGGGCAAACAAAAATATAAAAACTGAAATAGAGAAAATAAAACAGAATGAATATTTGTTAAACATTTAAATAATTTTGTATGATTTGTACAAACACTTTATGAAAAGTAACCATTTCGAAGAACACTACTATCCGAGTTATTTGGCGGTTGGATACGAGGTAATTGGCGAGCGGTCTCCCGATTTCGACTAGGAACTTTGTTCAGGATATCCCTTGGATGCTCCGCCCTTCGGCTTTGAGACGAAGCTCGTGGCCCCGGAGTTTTATAAAATTCCGTTGTCCGCCGACGCGGATATATCTCGCATTGGTTCAGGATCTATAAAAGTGAAAATGAAAAAGCTTGTTAATATATTAGAATAAGTGTACATACTGGTCCTCTAAATGTCGGATGTTCTGCCATAACTTCACCAATAAAAAACTAATTTAGAAATTTAAAAATTTTTTTTTAAATTTTATGAAAATTTCTTCAACACGCTACCAAAGGAATTTTGTAAATGAAAAATAAATGAAATTTTAACGGAGGCCTACTTTTAAGTGATTTTTTAACAAAAAAATGTAATGTTACTTAAAGTGCAACAAACTGGAATTCTTTAGCAACATTACAAACTTATTAAGCTTTTCAGTTTTTAAAAATATTTTTTTAGTGACTATATTTACCACAATGTTATTTTCTTGAAATAGGGATTGCAGTGTTTTTCACAATGACTTTAGATGTTGATATGATTCACCTGTTAGACTTGACTATGCAGATTTAGAACAAACAACACCTTATCAGTTTAAGTATATAATTAACCCATAAATTAGTTCAGGTGATTAGTTGCTAAACAACAATATTTCACATAGAAACAAAATCTCCCTTATACGTAAAGGTTAACTTATGAACTACATTATCTTTTATTATTTTTTAATTATTTGTTGTAAATTGCATTTCGTAAAATCTCTTAGTATATATTGTTCTTATAAAAAAGTTTTAATAAATCATTTAAGTTAAAAACTTTAAATAAAACTCATGCAGAAAAATGTATTTCATAGTTGCACCCCCAATAAATGGCGCTTAATGAACTTCTCACGCAATGTAGCTTCTAATTGGGGATTACGACTCCTCAGGGAAAACTTTTACTAGTTGGTGTTACCAAAAAATGGTTTGCCTTTTTAGTTGCTCCCTGAAACATGGAGTCTTCAGTTGTATTTTTGCTCTTGATTTTCCTCCCCGGGATTTTTTCCCTGGCGGAGATTGCTTGTCGAATAGCCGTGAAGCAGAATGTCCAGGTGAACTACTTGTACCGATGTGTCAGTTGTCCAGCGACCTTAGATCCGGAGTACTCCACTTTGGAACTGGATTTGTATCGCTGCATCGCCAGTCGACTGCCAGTGGTCACACGGAACATCGAGGCTCACGAAGTGGAGCCACTGCGTCGAACGGACAGCCTGAGCATCTTTCACATTCCAGCCGGCGAGAAGGGAAACCCCCTGGTTCGTCGCATAGTGGACATGTTGAATCCCCGACAACCACGCAAACACCTTCATAAGTATCTATTTATTTGGCCCAATGCCAAGAAAGATCAACTACTGACTCTCTTTCGCGGCTGTTGGTCCAAGAAACTTCTCTACGGATTAGCTTTAACCCGTGAACAAAATGGCATCTTTGATTTTGATCCCTTTGCCGTGGGAGGTCTTCAGGTGGTGCAGCATTTGGAAAAGGATATTTATTACCCACACAAGTTAAAGGATTTGAGGGGTTACCCCTTGCGCTTTTCCATGTTTAAGGATCCTTTGACGGCCTTGCCCCAAATTCCGGTGGAGACAGCAGGCTACAAAAAGGTGGACGGAGTGGCTGCCCAAGTGGCGGCCAGGATGCTGAATGCCACCGTGACCTATGTCCTGCCAGCGGATAATGAATCCTATGGTCGCTGTTTGCGCGATGGAAATTTCACCGGAGTCACTAGAGATTTGGTGGCTGGCCTCACCCACTTTGGACCGAACTCCCGCTTTGTATTGGATTGCATTTGGCCTGAGGTAGAGGTCCTGTATCCTCACACGAGAAGGGTGCTCTACCTGGTGGTTCCCGCCTCCGAAATTCTTCCGGAGTATTTGATTTTCGTACGCGTCTTCCGGCGCTCCGTTTGGCACCTTTTGCTTTTCACCCTTTTGGTGGTGGTCTTTATTTTTTGGCTTATGCAAATGCTCCAGAAGAGGATTCCCCGGCGTGGAGTTACCCAGTTTGAGGCCACCTGGTACGAAATCCTTGAAATGTTTGGCAAAACACATGTGGGTGAACCTGCAGGAAGGCTCTCGTCCTTCAGCTCGATGCGGACTTTTCTCATGGGCTGGATACTCTTTAGCTATGTCCTGACCACAATTTATTTTGCCAAATTGGAATCGGGATTCGTGCGGCCAAGCTATGAGGCACAAGTGGACCAAGTGGAGGGTCTGGCGCATCTGGATGTGCACATCTATGCGGTGACCACCATGTTCGATGCAGTCAAGCCCGCTCTGTCGGAGCACCAATTTCAGCTGCTTGAGAACCGAAGTCGCCCTTTGCCTCTGGGATTAACCACTTCGTATTACCATCTGATAGTCAGTCGAAGGGATCGCCGGGCATCCTTTCTAATGCGAGATTTTCATGCCCGTGACTTTCTGGCCCTCACCTTCAATTCACAGGCGGATCGCCCCGCCTACCACATCGTCAAGGAGTACCTGCGGTCCATGCTGTGCACCTACATCCTGCCCAGAGGTTCACCCTTTCTGGAACGATTTGAATCTTTGTTTTCTGGTTTCCACGAACATGGATTCTTCGAGCACTGGCGCCAGATGGATCTAATCACTAGGGATGGAACCTCGCCGAATGCCGAGGAATTTTTGGAGGATCTAGGCGATCAGACGGACACAGATCCAGGATCCAGTGAGACAGTTAAGCGAAAGAAACGTGTGGTCCTTACTCTGGATATCCTACAGGGTGCCTTCTATCTTTGGTCAGTGGGCATAGGAATAAGCTGTATAGGATTTATAATCGAGCATTCTCACAATTTTTGGATGCAAAGAAGCATACGAACTTTAGCTGATAACCCTAATTCCTTTCCTAATTCCTTAATTCCTAATTCTTAATGAAATATTGTTTTTTCCCTTTGAATTTTAACCAAAAAGTTGATCTTTATATTACCAAAATTTTTACTCAATTTATAATACATATTTGTATGTGGTTTCCGATTAAAAAAAGGTTGATTTGCAAATTTACTTTGAACTTATTTTTTTGTTCTCGAAAGGCTTAAACAAATTTTATTCGCTTTAAGAAAATATAAACATAAGCGTTTTTAACCCATTTAAATTTAAATCCAACGACTTCTTAACAGTACTGTTGAGAGCCAACAGCTTGCGTCTAACAGCACTCTAGTGACCGCTGCTCACTTACATCGACAGCACCTATCGATGGTGGAGTGCAAGCAACCCTGACTACGGCTGTCATGTTACACTTCCGGAGCTTGCGAACAAAATAGAATCGCCTAAGGCAAAGAAAACCCTGCGAGTGGCGAGTGTTTTAAGATCACACTCACAAACAACATCCAAAGTGGTTAGTGGCAGTTGAGAGAGTGCCCGAGAAGACCCCCGAAGAACAGCAGGGAAAACGGATATTTAGTGGCGGCACTCGCAACCACACAACACCACCACCAACAGCAACAACATCAGCAGCAGCCTCGCTCGCTTTCCCGCTTTTCGTTTAACTAAAATAAAAACAACCAAGATAAACGATGGCCGATGCAGAGAATAAGCCACTGGCCGCTGAGCAGCAGCCAAATCAGCAGGAGCCGCAGAATCTGCAGGAGCAGGACCTCGAGCAGGAGCCGCAGGACGAGCAGCAGCTGCAGGGACAGCAAGGCAAGCCCGCTCCGCCGCCTAAGGAAGTGATTGGTAAGACCAAGAAAATAACTAGTGAGAATCGGAAACAGTGAATTTAAAAATCTAAATCTGAAAATCCCAACCCATTTCATTCATACGCGAGAACACATGGCGGCTGCTACAAAAATAGCAACGAAAAAAGGAGAAAAAAAAAAAACATGCCTCCCTGCGTTCGTGTGTGTGCGTGTTTGGGTCTTAAAATATACGCGCGTCGGCCATTTTGTGCGGCTAAAGGCAGAGCGCATATATGTACGTATATATACAACGTTCGCGCCGCCGGCTAACCAAATTGAAAATGCTGCCTTTTGCCGGTCGTCTGTCTATCCAACCAACCACCCACCCACAACCGTCCCCCGGCGTTTCGTGCCCCCCTCTTCATCCGTACTTCCCCCCTTGATGTACACCCACACACAGGCAACCAGGGCAACCCAATTTGTTAATGCGCGCGCAGCACGAGTGCGAACAAGACGGCAGACAGCCGGTGCGGGTGTGTGTGTTCATTGTTTTGGTACATCTATTTGTACACACAGCCGTATAACATGCACACCTGGCTTTAAGGCGATTCAAAAACACGAGACCAAATGCAACTGATTTACGATATGATCGGAGGACTTCACCAATCTCTCCTGTTGTTTTTAAGAATTCTAGGGACATTATGTATTTATTTTGACGGCCTTCAACTTTATTATCTTTCAAAGAACATAATTTAAAATTGTAACGAGCTTAATCATGACAGGTGTAGCATATCTTATTTCAAAAGAAGATTTCGGTAAATTAATTCTTTCGCACTCAAAATTTCTGATCTTTCACACGTTTTAATAAGTTAAGAAACTGTGTATTAATTGTTTTTAGCTGCGCATTTAAATTGTTTTTTTTCTATCTTTTTTTGTTTTCAATAACTTTTCAATATAAAATCACTCTAAAAAGAGAATTGTGGCGGTAACATTTTCCCTTACTCTTTACAGCCACCAAAGTCACCGGTACCGTCAAGTGGTTCAACGTGAAGAGCGGCTACGGCTTCATTAACCGCAATGACACCAAAGAGGACGTCTTCGTGCACCAGAGCGCCATTGCCCGGAACAATCCGAAAAAGGCGGTCCGCTCGGTGGGCGACGGTGAAGTCGTTGAGTTCGACGTGGTCATTGGCGAGAAGGGCAACGAGGCGGCCAACGTGACCGGTCCGTCCGGCGAGCCGGTGCGGGGCAGTCAGTTTGCGGCCGACAAGCGCCGTAGCTTCCGTCCCTGGATGAAGAGGAACCGCCGCAAGGACGGCGAGGTTGAAGGCGAAGAGCAGGAGACGCCGGCCCAGCAGCAGCAGCCGCCGCCATCGTCCGTTGACGGGCAGCAGCAGCTGCAGTCCGGCCCGCGTCAGCCCCGTCAGAACTTCCGTCGCGGCCCACCCGGTGGACCGCCCGGCGGACCTCGTGGTGGACCCCGAGGACCGGGCGGACCTCCTGGTGGCCCCCGGCGTTACAACAACTACTATCCGCGTCAACCGCGTCGCGGCCTAGGCGGCGGCGATGGCAGTGCCGAGCCAGGCGTTCACGATCAGAATCCGGAGGGTCTGCAGCAGGGACAAGGACCGCGTCGCGGACCCGGTGGCCCACCAGGTGGACCTCAGAGGCGCTTCTTCCGACGCAACTACAACAATGGACCACCACCACCACGTCGCGATGGCGGGGAATACAGTGAGTATTAATTCAGTTAAAGTCAGATGAAATCGTTTAACTTCTTCAATTATAAGATCCTTTCGATTCTAACATATTATTATCTTCTTAAAGTTCAAGGTCAGGGACCGCCACGCCCTCAACAGCCACGTCCACGTCGCCAGAATCGGAAACCAAATGGCCCTGGCGGTGGTTTGGAGCAGCAGCCACAGCAGGTAATGAACTAATCACCACAACCGAAACAACTGAAACATCTTCGCCAAAGTAAAACTACGATAACAACATCTGACTAGTAAACATCGGCAACAGCCAGTGGCAGCCATAACAACAAGGTCTACATGGGTGGTGGCCACTTAAAAAAACGAAAAACTAACTAAAGTGCACTGAAGGTGCATTCATAAATAACCACTAACAACAACAGCCACTCGCACTCACACGAAAAGCAGAGAAACAGCGAACAAGAGGAGAAACCCTAACACTTAACTTGGAGGCTTTGGGTCTAACATTCATTTAATTTAGTTACCTGTAACTACTAATTGGCTAACAAAAACACACACACACATTTAATGTAAAACCGAAACCTGCATTTTACTTTTAACGATCGAAATTTTAAGTTTAATTATCATTATGATTTCTACCCCTCACCATTCCCAAAAAAATCCCCTTAGAACGGCGCTCAAGAGCTGCAAAATACAACCACAGAGAGCACTGCATAAAGAGGACCGTCGAACAGTCGTAAAACATCAGCAGTAGCAGCAGCACATAACAGCAATCGCAGCAGCAACAACATCAACATCAGCAATCGCTGCAAATTGGAGCAACAACATCAGCAAATAGCGCAGCACTTTGCTTATTGAGCCGCCGCGTTTTTTTCGGTTTGTTTGCTTTTTGTTTTGTTTTGTAGGGCAAGAGTGTCAAAAGACCGACATACACCATCCAATATAACAGCAACATGAAAACCACAACCAAAAAAAAAAAATTCTAAAACCAAATTCTATCATGCCTGGCCTTCGAAAATTGCATAAACGTCGAATTGTATTATATGAACCACATCAACAAAAATAAATTCAAATACGCTCAGCAATTAGGCAGCAGCGCCTACATACAATTACCTTAATGTTTATTTAAAACTTAATTTATTTTTGAAACCCCTCTCGAACGTTGTTATGTTGTGCGTTACGCGAACCTTTAACATTAAGTTTCTCGTATTAAAGATCAACATTTCACATTTATACCAACTCGCAATTTTTGTCCCACTTATACATCATCTTAAATCGAGAAATACTTAAATCAGGCGGAAGCAAGCCCCACTTAAAGCATCAAGAAATAAAAGCAAAGCAGAGCAAACAAACATAAAAATAAATCATGTAATTCACAGCAAACAAACAACAAAAAAACTGTAAAAGAAGCAAAGCAAAAAAACATACAACAAATGCAAGATGGCAACAAAAGAAAAGTAAAAAAAAAAACTTTAAAAACGTATTGGAAAAAATAAAAAAATTGAAAAACAACTTTTGGTTTAGTTTGTCTTAATAATTATATTTTAATGGCAAGTCTAATACGAAAAAAAATGGGACAAACAAAATCCTTGAGAAGCTTATTACAATATTTTACCTAAAATTAATAAAAGAGGAAATTAACTAACTTGTCTATAAATGGCGACATTTTGATGTCTATTAACTCACTTTTTTAAAAGACAACTAAATTAGTTGAGCAAATTATTTTATCTGTAGTGTAATTAATTTTTTAAACTAAAATATATATTGCTGTTTTTGTAAGGTGCTAGAGGTTTGAGGATAGGGATGTGACAGTTGAAATGTTGAGTCGTTCTAGACGACCTAGGACGAGGAGCTCGTCAATAGACCGCTTGGCATAGAACTTTTGGTCCTCGCTTAGTCGGAGAAAGGCGTGAGCCCATGATTTGGCATAGGATTCAGCTTCGGCCAAGGCGCTGGCATCGAACTGATTGCAATTTCCCTCTGATTTCGCCTCGACTGTCTCATGGTTATAGTCCGGTGAGGTCTGGTGGATATCATTTAGGTCCAACTCGATGGGTACCTGTTCCTCAAGTTCTCCCGTTTCTTCTCCGCCCTCTTCCGGTTCTGGTTCGACCGATAAGTTCTCCTCGGAGAATAGTTTTAGCAGGGGTCGGGAATTAGATGATTGGACCACACGCTCGGCTTCTGACTAAAAATTGAATTGAAAATTACAGTACAGAATAAAAGTAGATGAAGGTGAAAGAATTATTATATGGCTTAAAAAAATTAGCCAGGCTGTGACCATATAAAAATAATTTCTTTCCTTATTCCACCCACTTACAATATGCTCCACAAGACACTCTTCCTCCAAGGGCACCTCTGTGTCCTCGTCCAGGTCGCTGTACTGGTTGTGGGGAGTTACTTGATAGAACTGGTCGTACTTGGTGGCATATGTTGAGGGTCGTTTTATCGACGGTTTCTGGATGCGATGCAGCGCCTGACTAGCGGATTTAGAGGCGGGGGCGTGTCCCTGGGGTAGACTGCTCTCGGTGAGATGAGCGTTTTGTTTAAGATACCGCACGTGGCATTTGTGGATGCGAAGGTTTGAGGTAGTTCCACCGGTGGACTGCATTACCCTCTTGCAGCCGGTGCAAAAGTAGCGCCATCGCAATTTGGAGCCATCGATCGATCGTTCTATTTCCCGGTAGACATTCCATACGGAACTGCGCTTATTCTTTTTCACCAGTCGGTACTCCCCGGTGTTGATCTTCAGTAGGATGTCCAGCTGCGCCTCTGTGCACTTTTCCTCCTCCTCGGGGGTGTTTATTATAAACATATTTTGCCTCGCAATCCTGATGCTCATAGTAAAACACAAACAGCCGGAGCTAGAGATGGATGCCAACATCGATGCTTTTAAAACATCGGGTAATATCGATAATTCTCCACCTCTAGCCAGAGGCGAAAACGACTTGGCATCACTTAGTAATTTCGAATAAGTCGAAAATTAAATTTATTGTTATTAATTAATTTTGAACAACCTTAGCATCAACGATGCAAGTAAAACAATTCATTTATCTTCAAAATTTATTTGTCTTGGTAAACATCATCTAACAATAAAAATAAAGTGAATGCCAAACTATTTCTGAACATCAAACTGGAAAACTTTACTTATATGTTGTTATCAATTTAATCCAATTTATTTATTTTTAATCCAATTTTTTTGAGGTATCAATAATAATAAATAATAATTTAAAAATATAGAAACTTGTTGTGTGGCAGATCACTCTTCATTTTAATAAGTATTTATGGCTTCGAAACTTCTTGGGAATTATTCAGAAGTTCAAACAAACTTTGGTGAAATGAGGACATTTCTCGTACGAAAAACTTCATTAATTTGCATTTTTTTCTTTCTATGACCAGCTTTTGCTCCTCTATTTCGATCATCCTAGCAGATCTTTTGCGTTTGACTCTTTTCTTTTCCTCAATCTGGGAAATTTGTTGGTCGAGTTCTTCCTCGTAGTTCTCTTGGGAATGTACAGTGGAGGATTCTTCTATTTCCCTTATAATATTGTCCTTTAGTATGCGTAGCTCGTCTACATCTTCTTGATATCCTTCAAGGTCTTCGTTAAAGTCTTCCTCTTCTGTAGACTCCTCTTTCAAATGCCTAGAGTACCTTTGATTCTTTGAAGATAGGTTTGGTTGATTGGAAAATGAATTGTGATCGCTTATGCTGTGCGATCCGTTTCTGGAATTAACCGTTGTCTTAGGCTTAAATTCCACGAGATTGTGATCTGCAGTTAGCAGCTTCTGTAGAGCCGAGAAAAATTCCCACTGAGATTTTTCTCCAGTCGTTTTCTCCATGTGGGCTTCTCGCCTGAAACAAAGTAAAATTTTTTGAACGTGCAGTTTAAATTTGTGGCAGAGTTTAAATAGGACTATCTTTTTCTTACCGGTATTGTTGGGCCATATCATCCATTTTATTTTTGATTTCTAGGAAAGTGAATCCCAGCGTCTTCATTTCTGCAGCTATTTTCCAGATGATATCCACCCGTTTGCGAGAGTCTCGCAGATCGACGACATGACCTGCCCACAGTTGAAGGAGCATCTCGGTGGCAAGAAAAGACCATTCCGCCGGTTGGGCTGTGTTTGGACGGCGCTCCGTTGTAGGACTCGTATCCTGAAATACAACAATAGATTTATGGGGCAAACATACAGTTGTGCAACTACGAACCTGTTGCCTTAAGGGCTCCAATTCTCTGAACGTCCCGGTAGAGGTATCCACACTCTGCCGCAGGTACTCCACGTGGCATTTGTGGGTGCGCAGATTCGAGGTGTTAAAGGATCGCATGACGCGCTTGCAGCCGGTACAGAAGTAGAGCCCACTGATAATGGCCCCATCGCTGCGAACTATTTCCCGGTAAATTTTCCACACGCTATTGCCCTGCTTTCGCCGCAGCAGCCGATACTCGCCGCCCAGCACCTTATTCGAGATTTCCCGGGCGGTCTCCTGGAACTTTAAGTCGTCCTGCAGCGTACGAGCATCAATCATTTTAACTAAGTTAAGGATTTCTTGCGCGTTATAATATTGTCATGGAAGTTATAAACAAGCAGTGTTGCCAGACTCTTAAATGGCGTGCCCTCCAAATGCTTGCGAACATAAATACCAAAAAATACCGAATTGCACGTTCCCTAAATTTTCAATGACCTGGTTGGAGTCTCGGATACCATACTTTTTGTTTATAGGAATGCATCCCAAACGATAAGATGGAATGTTGAAACGGTTATTAAAAAAATGAATTTATTATATAAAATTTATTTAAGAATTAAATTAGAACTAAAGTTGACTTTTGCCATGGTCATGGCTTTAATATATTTTATAACGAAATTGCGAAAAAAAAAATGTATACATTTATGTTTAATCAGAACCTCCAAAAGCTAGCTTCACTTCGTACTTTAGTTTAATTATATTTTGGGAAAGTACAAACCTATTTCTATCAATAACACTTAAAATTTATTTTGTTAATTTTTGTGCTTAAATAAATTAATTAAATTTTTGTGGAATGAGTTAAGTTCCACCAACGCTTTCTTCATAACTTGCAGCTTTTCTCGCTCGATTAGTAGTTTCTCCTCTTCGATTTGAAGGAGTCTGTCTGCTTGGCTAACATTTATCTTTCTCTTAGAACGATATTTGTGAACTGGCGACGGGGATCTTTCCTCCGGCAGCTCATCCTCATCCTCTTCTTCTTCCTCAAGATCCACTTCAGCTTCACCATCACCTTCGTCTTCTTCCTCTTCTTCTTGGATATCTGGTAAAACTGGTGAGGGGGACCGTGCTCTTTTGATGATAGTTTTTTTCGTACACAACTCATTTTCACTTTCAGCTTTAAGGTCTTCTGTTATTGAATCATCTTTTATAGATGCCATTTCTTCGTTTTCAAAGTCTTCATCGTTTCCGAAAAGTACTTGGGCTGTAAGAAAAAGAAAAGGTTTTTAAGGGCTTTTCTTGCATCGTTTTTTTTATTTTTGTTACCTGGATTATCGACCATGATGTCTTCGAACACATCTACCGCATTGGTGCCAATAAGCAATGCTTGGAGCTTATGAAAGTGTTCCCACTTTGATGGAATTCCGGATTCTCGGACTCTCTCAGCTTCAATTCTGTAATTAAATATAGGAATATATGAAATATAAAATGATTACGTAAGACGGCTATGGCTTTCTATAACTTACCGATACTTTCGCGACATATTGTCCATTTTAGTTTTAAGTTCCGTATGACTTGGTCCAAATTCGCTCATCTCCTTTGCCATTTGCCGGTAAATGAGGACATTCTTTGCTTCGCCTCGGAAATCCTTTAGATGTTGTGCCCACAACTGCAATAACATTCGCTCGGCATCCTTTTTCCATACATGACGTTCCGTTTTAGTGTAGAACTCTTCAAATTTAGCTTGTCGCATTTTTTTCGCCTTTGAGGAGATGCCGTTGACGATTGGAGATGTCTCGTTCTTCGATGCAATTGCATTTACTGGCTCAACGTTTTTTTTCGGAGCTGTTATCTTTGCGGGTGGAGAAGCTATCGAAGGGGTTGGTTCATCATCAAGGAGGACTTGCAGAGGCCGCTTGCTGCTGCGCGGTCCAGGTCTCCGGCGAACAGCCTGTACCTGAAAACAATAAATAGATTTGTTTATTTATTTGATTCTAGACATTTAACTTCAGGAACAAGAGCACCTCAAAAGAAGGTGATTTGCATTGACTGTGGTTGGACTTTATATCACATATTTAAGAATAAATTATGGGAAAACATACTTCATTCTCTGGTGTCTCTTCCGCCAGGAACACAGACTCGTAGAACTGCTCATATTCGGATTTTGGCGGGAACGTTCGCTGAGGCTCATCGTCAATTGCTTTTTTTCACCCCCAAGACTTCGATTGCGGCTGTTCAGCGCAATCCGCTTGCTCTTCGGTCCGCTGATCGTTCTTCGAGAACTCAAAATCCCCTGCTTTCCATTTTCACCACCTGCAATCGTTTTCGACGGCATTGTGATATTCTTCAAGATGTTTGCAACTTGAAAACGTCAGTGGTTCTCGTTTAATTAGTATAATTGTTTTTTAAGCGCACTTAATAATGTCCTCGCGTTTGTTGTCGTACTAGAGATGAAACATAACTCGGTGTTTTTTTCGATACTATCGGAAAAGAAAAACAATGTGACCTAAAGATGAAACTGAAACCGATGCTCCCCCAATTTCTACGTTTTACAACTCTAAAGGTAGACAGCCCTGGTATTATATGGCGGGAAAATTTTAAAACTTTCAAGTGTCGAACTAAATAAACTATTTCACTTATTAAAAATTACGGGTTATCAGTTTGTAAATCTTTATCGCTTACAGATATTATCTGTAAACAAATAATTGGTGTTTAGGTCGAAAAAATTTTATTTGATTTTGTTTTATGTACAATGCTTAAGTTTAACTAATTCAAATGGAGTATTACTTTTCTTCATAATATTTACTTTGGGAATGTTAGCAAGCCAATCATTCTAAACTTAATAATCTTTATTTTTAAATTGTAATCAGGAAATTTTCATGTCATTTTAGAAGTTGAAGATTCAGCCCTTTAAGCATTAATTTGAATGAATTTACTGGGGCTTACAATTGCCCCAAATGTTTCCCCATATGGTTTTCGCACGCACTTTTAGCTAATCAAGCTAGGTCAGCCGTCAATGTATCTGCATCTGCAACGGCAGCGGCAAACAGCATCTGCATCTGCATCTGGGAAAGAGCCCAAGGCAGAACGGACGACGACAATCAGCGACAATTGCCCAAAGATTGCGACTAATGGTTGGCCGACGCACGTCGTCGCATCAGACAGAAGGTGCCTGTGGGAGATTTGCAACCGGTTTCCAGTGAGCCTCCTGTCTTCTGACTCTACCAGTCTTCACAAGAAAAAAATCTAGATAAAATATTTGAAAAATGTAATGCTAAATTCTAACCTTTTTCAATGCATTTATGATTTTGAAAGATTTTGTTATGATTTTATTATAATAAATTGTATATTTCTTTATAAAATCATTTTGAAGGAACATATAAAAAGTTTTCTTTAGCTATAGAATCCTAATAACCGGATGAAGGAAATATTTTTCTCTGTGCTGGACTCCTGGCTCCTGCTTTTGGCCGGGTGCAAAATGTTGTGGCTCGTGTTCGGTGATTGCCAGCTGCTTTTGGCCAAAACTTATGGTTTAGCATTTAACCTGTCACTTAATCGAAAAAGCTGCCCTCTTCCGACCAGAAGTTTTTTAATGACGCTTGGCTCGTGCCGCAGCAGCAGCTGTTGCAGCAATTAGCTTTAAAAAACACATACGATGAAAAATAAATCATTAATGGCTTATTTTAACGCATTTTGTGTGCCTTCATTAAAGAACTTGACAATTTAAACGACGAAATTTGTATCGAAACTTGTATCTTTTGTTGCATAAACATGTCTGTATGTTTTAAAAACATTACAAAATAATATTAACAATATATATTTCGATTTCTTATTCACTGAAAATACAAAAACTCCAACTAGAGCTGCAATTATGATGCCATGCTTCCTTTCAATCCCAATTCAAGCAGCACATAAGCACGCTGATCCAACTGTCTGTTTGAACGTGGCTTTCCTCATTGTGTCGAGAAAACTTAATTGTTTCTTGTGGCTGCTGACATTGTTTCTTTTTTTTTGCCTTCCGCTCGGGAACCCCAATCGCAGTTGAAAAAAACCGACAACTGTGGCCATGACTTTGTGCAACTGGCGACATCGCAGCCACTTTAACAGCACTTGAAAAAGTTTTCGATTGATTTGTAAGATATATGAAGCAATATTAAAGAATATCACAATTTGAAAAGTGATACAATGAAGTTAAGCTATTTTAATGCTTTTATATTTAACTATAATTTTGAAGGAAGATCCTTCAATCTTTTTTTTAAGTGCAGAAACATTAACAACTTGCCGATGGCCTCATGGCATCATTATGGGACTGGCTCCGAAGCTGAGACTGGGCGAGACCTTATTTGTTTGGCGCATAATTTAAGTTAAAGCCCGTGCAAATGTCGTATTGTTGAATGTTGTCCGTTGTCTGTTGCATGTTGCCAGTTGCCAGTTGCTTGTTGCCGGTTGCTCGTTCGTTGTAGCTGGCCTACGCGTTCGGTTCGTTCGGTTGCATGCAACTGATGCCCAGAAAAAGACAATTGAATAAAATGAGGATTCATGGGATAGTTTCAAAATATAAAACAATTCAAGCAGCATAAAAAGTTTTTTATTTAGTAAATTATGATAATAAACTATTAACAATAATGTAATTTTTTGGTTTTAGCGCATTTTGTTTTGTTTCTAAACTAAAATTAAATGCTCAATAAAAGTTTACAATCTAATGTTTGTTATTTCTTATTTCTTGTTATTTACCCGTATTAATATTTCTTTAAATTGAACTCTATTTCAATATTTTCTGTGTATTGATGCAATATCCCGATCGGTTGGATGTGCCTGCTGGCGCTTGATTGCAGGTTGTCATGGGCTCGGCGCACTCGACGCGCATCCATTCAGTCAGTACTGACAGACGGCCCATATCCCCACATTTTCCCCCATTTCCCCCACATTTCCCCACATCCACATCCTATAGGATCCCCGACGAGCGGCGTGTATCTCCAATTGCATTTATGCTGGCCATGTCCCTTTTTTTGACGTGGGTCGATGTCGGTCGGTTCTTACGTGAGTTCCCCAACTGGTTTCCAGATCAGCAGGATAGCTGGATGGCTGGATTGCAGGGTGGTGTGCGCCCACAATTGCTGGATTGTATTATATTATTGCCTTTTCCAACTCTAAATCGGCTTCAGATCACGCTTACAGCTTCGCTGGCGGCCGAGAGTTGCATCCATAGGCATAACAATTGCAAAGAAAATTTTGAACAGTCACGTTTTGCAAAGAAAATCTATGCAATTTAACAAAGCGCTTTTTATTAAAAAATATGGGATTTTTATTTATAAACTATATATAGCTAGGTTTTTTTTTATAATCTGAATTTTTTTAGTTTTATAGTTTTTATTTTTTAGGAACTAAAATTTCTTATTACTTTATAAATTTCTTGTTTCATCATTATTGTTTATCATAAATGATCTTTGACACAATATTTTTTTTCTCTGCATCACTTCATAACTATATTGACACAAGTCTGGCCATAAAGTAACACAACTTATGCGGTGCGCCCGTGTGGCACCGTGTGGGTGGGTGGTGCAGCCAGATAAGATATGTACATATGCCTGCCTAAACCGAACAAAATCTGCATAAATGTGCCGCAGCTGAAGCGTTCCCAACGAAGCTTAAGTGTTATTTTTCGGCCGAAAGAAGTTGCCGAACCTACGGACTTCGAAAAAATAAATACAACGGATTTCACAATACTCAGATAGTTGGCATATTACTTTCACATTTGCAAACTGTTAATAAACATTTCTTTCGAATTAAATTGCAAATTCAAATCTTTATAATTTACAATTAATAGAAATCTATAAAACAAGATACTATGCTGATCAGATACAAAACGATGAAACTTGTTTACTCAGACTCGTAATTAGTACTTTAAGTCAAATTTATAGTTGTTTTATAGATAGCAGCTACACCCAAACTTTATTAATGCATAGGTACGTCGACGTATCAATTAGGCGGACAAGCCCAAAAAAATCTGTTAACTCCGTGGGCTTAGCTTAACCCAATTTACGCGGCACAAAAGTTCTTGGAAGACAAGAATAAGAAATTGTTTCCTTGGTCTATCATCTCAATCTAACTGTGAACAGCATTAAATGAGACTATCCGGCCTAAACATATAAAGCCAGGTTCACAGATAACCGATGGAGATTCACTGATGGGAAGACGATCTTAAACATTCTAGAAGTTTTGAATACTCGACTTTGGAATACCTAAAAATGAAATGGTAAACTAAAACACAAAAGTTTTTATGCTTTCCATTTTATAAAGCCAAAATTGGGTGTAAAAATAATATAGACCATTAGGCGTATACTTAATATTAATATTTGATTTTTTACTTTTATAGAGTATACGTTGTATCATTACAAAAACTGTGAGTTGAAACAAATTTGATTTGAGAAAAGTCAATTAAGCATGGAACTCGCTTAGAACACGAAACCAATAAGGCGGCTTATCAGAACGATTGAGCGTGCCCCAAACAGTTCGCGGCCATTGAAATTAATTACGCACGTACACAGAAAACTAAAATACTGAGTTCTTAAAGAACTTTTGGAAAATTGTTCAGTTATAAGGCTCAGACTAAAAGAAGTTGCAAAAGATAGGTTTGAATTATTTTAAAAAAGTATTCTTTTTATATCCAAAGGCTGTAGTGTAAACGCTGAAAAGCAGGCAACAATTTTTTATAATATATTAGTTGGGACAAAAAGACTTTTAGCTCCAACTGAAAAGTTATTTTACTATTAACTCTTTTAAAAGTTAATTACATAAAAATATCAAAAAGAAATTACAATAAATCATTACTTACATTACTTTATTCGTTGATTGATATAAAAGTATTTTGACTTTTGCGGAGTGTGATGAACTCTGAGAACAAGTTATACAACTACATAATTTTTTTAGAGTGTGTGGAAGGGGGTGGGGGATAGTCTGCGACTGAGGAACAGTAGCAGTAAAAAGTTTAATGAGCTGAAAAGAGGAAGAACAGCTACAACACCAACCACAAAGAATCAACCGCAACGACAAAAGCAACCAGAGGAACTCAAAACAAAAACAGAGAACGATCGAAAAGCGCGTTTGTTTTGATTGTGCGACAGAGACAGAAGAAAGAAGGAGCCAAGCCGAAGAAAAAGAAGAAGAAGAAAGGAAAACGATGGAAAACGCGACAACGGCTTTTAATTTAAAAGCGTATAAAACATACAAGGAAGGAAAGAGATGGAAGATCGCCAAACAAACTGGTTTTAAAACTCCCACTCATACACACTCAAACCACCGAAGACTCTCTTCTACGAAAAGTCTCTCTTCTGCGAGATAACTCTTTGCAGCTCCACGATTCTCTGAATCTCTTTGTTGGCTTCTCTTATTGCGGATTTTCATTTTTTGTTTACGTTTTGCAAAAGGTTTTACGATAAAATAAAC